AGGATCTTACGTTAAATAATATTATGAAGACAACATATGATGCTTCGACGTCTATAAGCCCACCGGAACAGACGTGTAAACCCACGAGAAAATCTCATTTACAGGTTTCGTGTAAGCTTTTATCGATTTGGTCGCTTATTATTTTGTTTTCTCTGGTTATCGTGTTTATGTTCTAATTGTGTAACACGGTGGGTACGTGGGATATAATGTTTTATCCTACATTGTTTCTTTCTTCTTCTTAAAACTCCTTTTTCGTAATACTAACTTCTACAGTATTCTTGTTTTCTTTGACTTTGTTTTTAAAGAAATCTCGTAAGAAAAATTGGATATCCAAAAATGCTGATTTTTAACTTTAAAGATTTTGACAGAGAGAAAAAATGAAAAGCATGCATGCTCTTTTTGTAATACATCTAGAAGAGAGTGGTTATGTGCCAAGCATCGGCTGATATCATCGGCAGAAAAATAAAATACAAATTGAAATGATTCTATCAATTTTTTTATTTTTTTCATTTAAAATCATTAGATGAGCTATCATTGGATTGTTTCATACTCTATCTTGGTTGACCGAGGACTCCACAAGAGCAGAGTAGTTACATTCTTAGCTTAGCTCGCTCGTTATCAATGTCAAGGCATGATGGAAAGATTAACTCGGGCTCCATCCGAGGAAACTAGTTGCTTGACGATTTTTGAACCGATTTCAAGTTTTGATTAGGCTTCTCCTTCTCACGAATCGTCCCTGAATTTTCTCAACAAGTTTCAAAGTTGTTTGCTAGCACCTAAATCTGTCGCTTATGTGACATCGAGATTTATCCTGCAATCTTTTTTTCTTAAAACTCCTTTTTCGTAATGTTAACCTCTATAGTATTCTTGTTTGCTTTGAATTTTGTTTTTACGAAATTACTTGATGATACCAGAAAAAACTGTCGTTTTTAATTTTTAACTTAAACAAATCTCGTAAGAAACATTGGATATCCACAATGCTGGTTTCTAAGAATTTCACTGGAAAAAATAAAATGTTTATGTACTAGAAGAGAGTGGTTCTGTGTCAAAGCAAAACAAAAGACTTTATAATTTTTTCGAGATCACAAATCAAGATTGATACTTAACCTGAGAGATTCGTGAGTGATTATTACCTAACTATTATTCTCTGCTATGAGATATGAGACGTGTACTTATTTCTTTATGCAAGCATTTGATTTAATTTGGACTCCCAAAGATTCTTTGATTACCAGCTGAATATGAGAAACACAGATTAGTTAATACTTTGATTACCAGCTTTGGTAAGAAGTTTCTTGGCTGTAAAAAAAAAAGATAATTGGTGGCTCTGTAGCAGGACTGAGGAAAGAAACTTCAGCACAATTAGGATTTCTTGCAGTATACGTCAGACAGAACCAGAAGAAGAAGAAGCAGAGATACATTTTTGAGTCACGTCACCAATATATTCTTCCAATTCGAGTTTACTTGAAAGATTTGGCTCTCTATCACTTCCTCTAGACTGGCTGAAGAAACTATGCCTGAGGAAACTATCCAAAACTGCTTTGGTCCGTGCGTGGAAGCTACTCATTATCCAAAAAGTATTATTCCCTTGCTTGGTAAGTGGGTGTGAAGCAACTTAATATCGGATCAGAAATACTACAATGATGGTTCCATGGCAGAGTCCCAAACTGATTTGGTATCACCCTCTTCTCGGTGCTTAGTACTTCATGAATCTTATTTAAGTTTATTGACGAGGAACTTTTTTTGTTACTGGCCTACTAAATTGATAAACTATGCTCTTGATACCCTTGACTTGTGTGTGGTTTCTAGAGGATGTCGAGATACAAGAATGGTCGGAATATGTCTACACTTCGTGGGAGAAATACAATGGTTGATCACTACAATGTTTTCGTCGCTGGAGTGACTGCTATAGGTGAAATTGTTTGTTGGGAATACTTGGTCGAGTTTATCGGAGATCACTCCAGTCATATAGCCCTCTTAGTGATATTGATGTAATTTAAAAAATACATGAAGATTTTAGTTTACAACATTAAGCAATCTAAAGTCATATGAATACATGATTTTGAAGATATCGATGAATCGAAGTAAAGATACTTGTAGCCATTTTCATTTCCTATTGAGATGTGTTGAATTGTTGATCAGTGGGTGGAACAATCATGCCGGCGTAAGAATCTCCACCAAACCAATATATATAGAAAGGATTTGAGACGAACTAGATGCTCCACTAGCCACTTGCTTCTTTTTGTTTTAACTCTGTTGCAGTTTCTCTCCCTCACTTACTCCAATGTACCTTATAAGAAAGACAAATATATTAAAACTCACTAAACAAAAAGTGAAAAGAAGAGGAAAATGGAACGATAGCTAATTGCATAAGACTATTTTTTTTTTAATCAACGGATTTATATTTTCTAAACCCTAAACTCAACCTATATGTAAGAAATCTTTCTCCTTCCTATCAGAAAATCCATTACACCAATCATGAAAAGAGGGGATATTTTGGATTCCATCCCAACTGATATCATCAACGAGATATTCCTGAGATTGCCGCCAAAGTCCATTGCTAGGTTTCGTTGCGTGTCGAAGCTATGGGGTTCCATGCTTTGCTGTCCACATTTCAACGAGTTGTTCTTGACCAGGTCCTCGGCTCGCCCGCGTCTCTTATTTGGGGTCTTCAGCTCGGGTCGACGACACGGTGAGTGGCTCTTCTTCTCGTCGCATCAGCCTCAGAATCCATATGATGAGAAGTTGTCTCATATACTAGCTGCCGATTTTCATATCAAATTCACTGGAGAATGTCGATACAGTTGTAGCTATGCTTCTGGTTTGCTATGTTTCCAAGATATACAGATCTCGAAACATGATGATCAGGATACAGTGTCTATGATATGTAATCCTATCACGGGACAGCATGCGATCTTACCTAAACTGAGTAGGTACGAAGAATGGATAAGCTTTTTAGGGTTTGATCATATTGATAAGCAATTCAAGGTATTGTCCGTGGCTTATCCATATTGTGATGATGGCCATAGAATTCTGACGTTAGGAACTGGAAAAATGATGTGGAGGAAGATCTATTGTCCTTTAAGCCATATTCTTTTTCGAAGGTCTAAAGCGATATGCATCAATGGGGTTTTGTATTACTTAGCTATACGAAATTATGAAAAGTTTAATGATAAAGGGCCGTATGTGATAGTTTGCTTTCATGTTAGGTCTGAGAAATTCATGTTTCTAGACGCAACATTCTGTGGGGAATGGCCAATGGATTTTATATTGATAAACTATAAGGGGAAACTAGGTGGGATTATTTTGAAGCATGCTTCTGATGGTGGATTTCCACTTGAGTTGTGTGTGTGGGTTCTAGAGGATATCGAGAAACAACAATGGTCGAAATATGTCTACACTTTGTGGGATGAGAATAAAGTCGTTAAGGTTGACCGCAGTCTTTTCATTGATGGGATGACTACTACAGGTGAGATTGTATTGTCGATGGGATATACATCTAAACCGTATTATGTTTTCTACTTCAATCCCGAAAGGAACACTCTCCAAAGTATTGAAATCCAAGGTTTTGGAGAATACCTTGAAGCACTTGAGATTAGTGGTGAAGTTTATACCTTTGTAGACCATGTAGAAGATCTTAATGTAAACAATACAAAGCAACTGAGGTCAAACCCTTTGTACCAAGGCCTAAATATCATTAGGAAAAGGCCAAAACCAAAACGTCTTGCTCCATCTATGCAGAAGCAGCCGCAGCCTTCACCCGGAACAAGTACGAATTACTAGCAAACCTAGAGTGACTACAGTTTTAGCAAAGTTGATCTTGGATGCCAAGCCAAATTCATGTATTAGAGTCTACGTGTGAGCTCTATCACTCTGTTGGCTTAGGGTCTTTTGAAGAAGAATTGGTTCGTTTAGCGTCTACTGTGTATTATTATAATACTTGTGTTTTCTTCATGAGCTTGTTTCTGGTTCTTGTGTTCATCATAATACAAATTATTACGTGGTACGGTGAGATGCTTTCAAGTTTCTATAACCAGTAGTGATGTTTGCACTCATTTGATCTTAATGAAAGAAACAACTAGGCCGGATCAGAACTGCAATGTATATGTTCCTTTAAGGTTTAGGTACATCTGAAGGAATTCATCAAATTTATCTTCTTTAGCAGTAGTAAAATCAAAGAAATCACGGAAAATATATTTTTGCGTTATGTGAATGTACATAATGAAATGCAACCGATATTTTCCTTGCGCAGTCTAGCGAGCCACAGGGTTCACTTCAGTATCAAAGGTAATGGTCACTTCTCTCGAACTCATTGAACCCATGTTCTGACTTTTCCCTCCCCTTGAGTTTTCTATAGTTATACATTCGGTTAGTTCGGTAACAACTTGAGACATGGTCGGTCTTGTCGTTGAAGTATCATTTACACAAGTCATTGCTAGCTCCACACACTTCCAAACAGAATCAGATTGGTACTCTCCCTTGAGACTTGGATCTACAATTTTTCTAATATCTCCTTTGGTAATCATTAAATTCACCCATTCTGCTATGTGTGGCTTTTCACGTCTCTGCTCAATCACGGGCTGATTTGTTATGATCTCCAATAAAACGACCCCGAAACTATACACATCACTCTTCTCTGTCAACCAATTTGTGTTGTAATATCTGCAAGACATTATGTAAAATATGCATGGTGAATTTTTTTTGATCATTTGAATTTAAGAATAATTAAAACAAAGATGTGTGTGAAATACTCTGGATCTAGGTAACCAATAGTTCCTGCCACAACTGTTGAGACATGACTTTCTCCTTCATTTAGAAATGATCTCGAAAGTCCAAAGTCGGCAAGTTTGGCTTGGAAGTGTTCGTCCAACAATATGTTTGCGGTTTTGACATCTCTATGAACAATTGGTGGTCTACATCCTTTATGCAAGTACTCCAAACCTAGTGTGACAAATTCATTTGGACCAAATCATATAAAACTAACGTTTTTAAGAGAAAAGGAATAGGTTCATAAAGCTTTATTAACCTTGTGCGGCCTCCACTGCTATTTGTAATCTAGTCTCCCACTTTAAAACATCATCACCGCGGTTCCCTGTGTGTTTTAACAAGGACGTTAGCTTATGACTAAGAAGGATTTGTTACATGTTTTTGTTGGATCGACAAGGGATTAAGGTTTTACCTGAGAAACACTCTTTTAAGTCTCCATTAGCCATATATTCGTAGACGAGAGCCAATTCCTTCCCTTTTTCGCAGTATCCAACTAGGCTTACCAAATTCTTGTGATGAACTCTCAAAAGAAGTTCAACCTAAAAAAACCACAAAAATTTTCAAATCTATAGTCCATATTTATTGAAAACAAACAAAAGACACTTGCATAAATGAATATTTTGGTGTTATAAGTACCTCTGCTTTGAACTGTTTATGGCCATGTTTTGAAGCGTGTGAGAGTACTTTAACAGCAACTTGCTCAGTACCATTTACATATCCATGATAAACCATACCGAACCCTCCTTTCCCGAGAACATTTTTAAAGTTATTTGTCATTTCAGTAACTTCCGCGTAAGTAAACCTTTTCTTTTTTGCTATTCTTGGTGGCTCGGATGATCTTGAAGTTCTATCATTTTCTGCAACGCAAAATTTAATACGATTTTGTAGTTTCTACTAGTGCGTAGTACTTATCAGAGCGTATGAGTTTCCCAAAAATACCTTTACTCCTTGATGGATTTTTCTTTCTAAGAACCAAAAACAAAACCGATGCAGCTATAAGAACAGCTATTAAAGCAACTGATGAGACAATCGGTACAATTATACTCTTTTTGGGATGTCCACCTTCTCCATGTTTGTTTCCACATGGTCCTTCTGTACAAAGAAGCTTAGGGTTGCCTTCAACACTATGAATTAAAACTTCAAATATTTATTGATCAAACCTATGATAATCATCATCAACTGAAGATAGTATAATAAATACTTACTTCAATTTCAATCCTTTCTTCTGTATAAGCTTTTGAGGAAGTTGACCACTAAAATTGTTTCCACTTAAATTTCTGTTAAGGTATAAAAAGAGATATATTATACAAGGAGAGAACTTATAAAAATAGTTAAAACACATTAATAATGTTTCGTACTGTCTAAGAGACTTACATGATCAAGAGCGATTTTATGTCAGCTAGAAACTCGGGCACATCCCCGGCCAAGTCGTTATTTGACAAATCCCTGCCATTTATTTTTTTAAAAGAAAAGCTTCATCACATAAGACAACATAAAATGTTTGCTTTTGTTCATGTGTTTGTGTGATACTTACAACTCTTGTAAATGGGTCAAATTCTGAATGGAAGGTGCAATGATTCCGGTTAGTCCACTTGAAGACAAGTTTCTAGTGATACGTTAATGAAAATGTTTCAATTGTGATATATTTAGAATAGAGAATCTTATTTTTATTATGATACGGTGATTGAAAAATCTTACAAGAAAGTGATTGTTGGTGGAATGGAACTATCAGTGTTGCTGCATTTCAAACCAGCCCACAAAAACTGTTCGGGGACACATGGATCTCCTTGCCAATTAATTCTACTCAATCCATAAGCAGTTTGGATCTTCTTCATAGCAAGCACTAGCATTTCATAGTTAATAATATATTAAGAATCAAACACATGCAAAGCTACAATTCATATGTATGAAAAATGTAAATTTACTCACCTTCATCTTGGTTTGTTTCTGACTGAGGAAACTCAACAACAGTATATATTTCAATAGCATTGATGAGAGGAGGAAGAGTTGACTTTGTTGTTTTCACTAGCTGCAAGAGGCAACTCCCTCCTTTACATGTCAATTTCGAATCGGGTTGGGGGCTCATAGTATCTATACTTAACATTTTAGGACTAAAAGGTCCATAATAAATTTTTCCATTCAGCAAAACATTGAATTCCCTGGTCTCGTTGGCTAACAAAGTTTGAAGCTCTGCGAAGTGAAGGTAAAGGTGAAACTGTGTGGTAGAATCCTTTAAGCTCCATGGAAATTCCCATGTTCCATTGTCATTCACACGGGTTGCAGCCGATGCCATTGCACCTTGTGGTAGATCAAAACCATTTGAAGTGTTTACATTGAGAGTGGTAGTTACAAGTGTCCACTCCTCATATGAGAATGGGAACCACCTACGGTCGTTGAGATCATCCGGGTACCTATAAGTATCTTGTATTAGACATATATAGACCAAACCTCGAAGGTGTTTGGCATCAAAGAAAGATTCAAATTATTTTTTTTTATCTTTCCTCATTATATTTCTCTTCTTGCTCTATGGCATCTCTTTATCATAAAACTGTACCAAGACGCAAGACAAAGATTCCTTGCACAAATTAAAGTTTACTTACCGTAAAACGATCCTTGAATCTTTAAGATATCCTCTAAAATAGAGGTTCAAGGAGCTCCCAATGGCACTAATATAAGTATCACTTCTCAATGGTCGTACCTCCAAGGTTGATATCATCGGCGTAGTTGTTCCGGTCTTAACAAGACAAATATCCAAAGTGCTTAACCTAGACATGTGAATGATCTCCACGAACACACCACCTCCGGTTGCATTAAAATTCACCGTAGTCAACTTATTAGGGCCAATAAATAGATCAAAGTTTGGGAGAGTATTAAGACCATCGTAATTTCCATATAAGAAAGATGCTCTAATCAAGTAATTTGTTCCTTGTGTGACCTTCAGGTTATAACAGTTCCGTTCTCCATCTGGAAAGTATCTCAGAGTTACAAAAGCCTTTTCGAAGTTTCGCTCTGAATCCTTACTGACTCGACCGTTCTGTCCACTCTCGATGAAACTAGAATCCGAAGTGAATGTTAATCCAGTAGATGGATTGGTATATGAAGACCCATCAGGTAACAGACCACAATCCAAAGTGATGAATCCTAATACAATATTCAACCAAAAATAAAAAGAATCCTAATGAAACGAGGAATCAATGAGAAGGGATTATCAGAAAAAGAAAACAAATTATGAAAGCGGACAAGAAGAGGGTTTCTTAATTTGAGAGTTAAAAAGATAATAGTATAAAACCTTTTTGATCTTGAGCCTGAACAACATGTATAAAAGCAAATGTGATGATGAACACACATAAAACTCCATGAAAATACTTCTCCATTTTTCCTATTTTTGGAGAATAATTAACTACCTTGACGTCTTTTTAAGTTCTGAAATATTAATCTATGTCACGTTATGATCAAGTGGACACTAGTTAAAGAAGCTAAACCCTTAAATTGTCAACTGCCAAAATAAAGTATAGCAAATATGTCTAGAAACCCCTGAACTTTCTAAGATTTGCAATATCAACCGTTATTTATAGAACTTAAAGATTTCACTACATTAATTCGATTTTTTGAGGAGACGTTTTCTAATTTCTAACCTTTTAAGACAAAATGATCTCTCCTTTAGCCAAAATTAGGGCTCTTCTGAACAGGAAACTTTGGTTACAAGTAAGAGTCATTTCAAAGTTTTGTTATCCGACTGGGTTTATTGTATTTTAACATATTAAGAGCTTAACTCGAAAAATCGTACAAAGTATATGTTGTTCTCTGTGCCAAAAGCAAAAAGAATAGAGAGTATCCTAAAAGATACGTCTAACAAGTTGGTATAGAAAATAACTCATTTGTGTTGGGGACATTAAGTTAAGTCAACTCCATCTCTTCATATATAGATGACTCTTACCTTCATAGTTTTCATTCGAAGAACATATGCAGATAACGTAAGTTAACACTGCGAGTTATTATTTAGTTTTAAAGCATATGAAGAACATGTCAACGAGAGATAAAGAATGTTATTTTGAGACGTGGATCCAACTCCAATGATTCTGACTTTTTAAGAAAAAAGGTTGAAAACCACCCAATTTTCAAAAAAATTCAGAAAAATACCAAACCTTTTCATATGACTTTTATATACCAAACTCTGTAAAACATTTCTAAAAAGCTACTCTGTTAACACGAGGTGAACGGTGTAGTAACAAAGTTATGTTTTCATCTTAAATTGCAAACTAAAGAATTAAGGAACCAATTGCCTAGCTAGACTCTCGGTTCAATCCGTAGAACAATTGCTACATCGTTTCTTTAAAATATCACCCCTAACGTATAAAGTATAAACCCCTTGTTTGATCCATAAAATAATTGCTACAACTTCATTATACGAACACATATCTAGAAATCTCCGTAGAGGTCTATAGAGAGCAAGTAAGTTTTCTAACTCTAAAAAGGAGAAGTTAGAAATAGATGATGATAGTTCACCTGTTCAAACTAGCGAGGTGATCTCCCTCAAGGAGACCAAGAGAGCTATGAATGCCACGTTTGCTTACACAACAAGAACAAACAAATTAGACTCTGACCACACAGGTTTACTATTATTATTCTCTAACGCAATTACACCTTATAAATATAGATAAAAATACAAATATTGTCACTGGTATTTTTATTTTTATTTTTGATTTGATATATTCAATTAACACCATTAATTTGCTTATAAAGTCAGACTATAATTTACAAAAATAAAATAATTAAAAATGATATTGAACAAATTACCGAAAAACGAATAGACAAGTTTATTTATATTTGTATATTTGTCTTATCTAGTGATTTAACAATTCTTACAACTAGGTATATAATATTTTTGTCCAATTAAGATACAGTATTTCATAAATCTCATTGAATGAATTTGTTCCATGTTAATATATGTGTCAATATAAGCTGATGTGTATTATTTTCTTAATTTGATTGATTGTACTTTTTAAATGAGATATAATCTTCTACTAAGAGAAAAGTAATAAAAGTGATTGTATATGGAGGCACAAAAAAAAAGTGAGGTACACATCTGGTAATTAGTGGATTAATTAATTTAATTATATTCTTAATTAATCCACTAATTACGAGATGTGTACAATCACTTTTTTTTAGTACAATCATTATGTAGTAAAAATCAGATTTTTTGGTAGACGTGATTATATCAACAAAAAAAATCAATGAAAACATAAATCAATACAATTAAAACAAAATAAGTCTCTCTATGTGTGACACATCAGCATTTTTGTGTAATGAGAGGTTGACAATTCATTAAAAAAAAATGCAACCAATCAAAACATAAAGTGAAACTCTTAACAACAAAATTACCAAAAGAATCCTTAAAAACTAAACGTGTGACCCAAGTTGTGCAATCAGTCATGAAACCCTAATTTCAATCAGTTCCTCCTTTGTTCCTGTCGTTAATTGTACATGACATTGATTGTGGAAGACATGAGAACAAGTCATCCATGTTAGGTCGATAGGTTTCGGACCGGAGAGATTCTCAAGACAGATGGAACACGAATCTGTTTCCATATTCGAAGCGAATATAGTTTATGGGTATATATACATAATTGGTACAAAATTTAAGATTTTCTTGATTAGACAATTACATATTCAATTAGCGTTCAAAAATCAATAATCAAGTACGACATTCAATCAAAAAAATATCTCAAGGAAAATAAAAAAGATTCGTTTCTATTAGTTCATTAGGTGAAATTCCGTTGGAAAAAATTGAAAATTGGTTATAATGTTAGTCTTTGCGAAATAACATCCATATTTGTTTTTGTAAACAGAACTGGAACATGTTGATTTTTGAGTTATATAGTAAAAAGTAAAAACATTTATGATAAACATCGTAAATAGAAATAATATAAATATGTTCATGTAAAAGTAACTATAAATATAAAGTTTACATTTAGATATTTGATAAACTCCATTAAATAATAAGAATAACAAAAATTGTATGTGTTAACATAAGTTGAAGTGTATTCATTTTATATTAAATTTGATTTTGTTTTTCCTGAACAAATTAGAAATCCATGTATCATTATTAAAAAAAAAAAAAATCATTATGTATATTATTTGTTTTAATTTGAATGATGTGTGTCCATGTATCATGTGTTTTTAGTTTAAAAAAAATGCTGATGTGGCAAGCTGGAAAGTTGATGTGGCAAATTGGAAAGTTGATGTGACAAGGTAGATAGCAGATGTTTACTCCCTCCGTTTCAAAATATAGGTCATTTTGGATAAACTTTTTTGTTTCACAATATAAATCGTTTTCAAGTTTTTATACAAATTATATATTACTTTAATATTTTATAATTATTTCTATTATGCAGTCTTTTTTTATGAATGACTGACTTTTTAAAAGTTTATATTTTAAATATGCATGTTTTTAGCTAAAACGACTTATATTATGAAATAGATGGACTATTAGTTAAAACTGTTTTGATTGACTACAGTTTTTAATGAGTTGTCAACCTCTCATAACACAAAAATGATGATGTTTCACTCATTGAGAGAATTATTTTTTTTTACTTGTATTGATTTTCACCCGATTCAAGACTAATTCTGAGAATTCTGAAGGCCATTCAAAATGGGTTTGAAAAAATAAAATAAATATATATGGGTTGTAAAGATTAAGTTTCGTAACAACGCAAAATCTAGGACAATTAAGATCAAAAAACGTTTTTGACTCTAAAGTAAGAATCAAATTCTAATAAGTTTGTCATTTAAGGTGATATCTCCTCTTTACTGCTAACGTTGAGTTTTTGGGCTATAAAGCCATTGACTTCATCTTCTTTTATCTTATTCTCTTGCTTGTGTCTAAGAGTGCACAATATTGCTAACATTTGGTTGGCTTTTGATTTTGGGTATTGCAAATTAAAGGAAAAACAATTTTACCCTAAGACCAGTCACAACGGTACAAGTTTGTGTCGGGTGTGTGTATTTTTTAATTGTGAAATATTGGAAAAGTTGTGTAAGAAGCTACATTTGGGTGCAAAGTTGCATTCGGATGCAAGACTTTTTATCTCTCTCTCTCTCTTACTTTCTCTCTCTTTTTTATCTTTTGCTTTAAATGATAATAATAAAAAAATTGTTACACCCATACGAGCAGCATTTGCCACTGCTGATGCTCTAAGACTCTAATCATCATCAAAACGTTCACTACGAAGCAATTTTTGAGCTAATGAAAGAAACCATCAAAGCAAAAGTCTTTAACAACTTATGGCTTCCCTCTCTCACTCCCGTTGCTAGTTTTTTTTAAATGTTTACTTATTTATTGGACAATTTGAAAAACTAGCAACTCGAGTGCGAGAGGAAACCCATGAGTAGCTAGCTAAAGACTTTATCTAGCAACTGGAGACCAATTTTTTTACATCTGCGTAATTCTCAAACCTGAAAATCACCGAACTAACTGAGAATCGAACCGAACCGAACCGAATGGAATGTCGGTTCAATTCGGCTAGTTTTTGAAAAATCCAAAAACTGAACCCACCGAAAAACCGAACTCCCAAGCCTAGATGTGTCACAGTGGGTCTCTCTATCAGTGCCGGCTCAATACTTTGATGGGCCCTAGGACAAAAAAATTTTGGGCCCTTAGAATTTTTTTTTTTTAGTGTTTTTGTGTTATAAAAATTTTTTTATGATATTTTTAATAAAAATTTAATTATGAAAACTTAAAAACAGTAAATAAAATTTTTTTGGGCTATTATAAATTTTATTTTTATGTTGTAATCTATTTTTTTAATACTTTGTAAAAATATTTTAAAAATTGGGCCATTTAATTATTAGAACACGGGATTGGGCCCCTGGCCGTCGCACCGCCCGCCCAATATTCTGAGCCGGCACTGCTCTCTATCCTCTTCACATAACCGGCCGACTTTTTGGCGGTCACGTCAGCTTTGTATCCTCCACCACGTCAACACAAAACCCGTCAAGCTCCACGTCATCCATCCAACCACCGCAACCGCTGATCCCAAAGTCGAACGAGTCGTAAACTTCACCGACTTCGTACTCTATCGGCTCCAAAACGACTTCTTCGCCGTTGGATGGCGAAGCCATGAATCTTGGCGGCAAACCAAGCTCATCGTCAGAAGCTTCTAGAAGATAAACCAACTCAACCATGGCATCTTCACTACTTGAAGTCTTGTCCTCCGTCGCCGCCTGCGTCGATATAATATCCTCCTCTAAACTTTTGACCACAGATTCAAGTCCCGGAACCTCATCACCGTCCCTAGAGTCTGGTACATCAAACATGTTTAAAAGATCCGCCATGTGTTCCAGATCATGCCAATCAAGAACCGAGTTCATCGAGTTACTCGACTCTAGCGAGTTGACTTGGTTTAGCTCATGGACGTCGTCCGAGATTCTCTCTGTTTCTCGGCTCTTCTTCATCGGTGGAGATTCGGGTACGGAAGAGTCCATGTTGAAACGTTCACGCTTCTTCTCTATCTTAGCCATTGGAAACTACGTAATGTTAACGTTCTCAGATAAATCAGATGGTTAGAGTTTTTGTACTAGACTCGGTTGAGTTTTTATACTACGTTGTTTATTATTTCTTTATTTAAAATCTATAAAAGAAAAACTACATATTAATTAGAAACGGCAAATGTTAAAAGAAAAAAAAAAAGCAATTTTGTTTTGTTAAAAAGATATTAGTAGTTGATATGACAAAACAAAACAACTGTTTTTTTTCCTTTCAACATTTGCAGTTTCTCAGTAATATGTAGTTTTGCTTTTATAGATTTCAAATAGAGAAATAATAAACCACTCAATTAATGTAAAATACGAGTAGTATGAAAATAGTTGATTTAACAAAATTAATTTAAACGAAACAAGTTTAGATCTTTGATCGGTAACTTGCAAAATTATTTAATTGTTCACTCTTTCACTTAATTTCTCGTTTTAATTTATATATACAACGATTTGACCATTTTACTCTTTCATTAATCCAACCAATCTAACAAAATGTATTTTTGTTAAAGTATCCAGTAAAATGTATAGTTTTTTTTTTTTATCAAACTTAAATAGAAAGAAACTCAAGTATCAGGTAAATAAAAGCCACCGTTCTTCTTATCTAATTTAATATCGACTGTAGTTGATAGTTGTAATGTGAAGCTTCTTCGAAATTTTATTGTAAACATAAACATGGTGATATTATAATCAAAATAATACCAAGTATTTTACTATGAGGAGTGATCGAGGTGCACATCTTCTTCTTCTTTTTTTATGGTTTGGATTAATATGTAAAAGCCATCATATACAATAAATTAAATTTTATATTATTAAACAAGATTTACACTTTGCATAATTTGATTCTATAACTAGATGAAATTGGTTGTAGAATCTAGCCAATTTCAATATTAAACTTTGTTCAGAAGTGTGTCAAATTAATCTTGAAAATTTGAAAATTTTCTAAAGTTTATCTTCATAATTACTTGGTAGTTGGTAAGTTGTAGGAATCTTCATCTCAATAATGAATTATTTGCATGCAAATGGAATCCGAATCATATAAACATTACATTTTCATGGTAGAATACAAATAAGGCATTTTAACTCGGCTAATTATATTAATATACTGTATTACTAATATAACTGAACTTTGTCACTGAGCTTACGGCAAAAAAGATATCACAATTAATAATTTCTCCTATTTTGGAGCAAATTATTACTAATTTTTCAATATTTTGATTTAAGCTTTTTATTAAGTTACTATTCCTTCCAATGTTTTTTTTCTTTTGATATCTTTATTCCCTCAAATGTTTCATTCATCAAAGTGTTCATGATTAAAAAAAAAAAAAAAGTGTTCATGATTTGAAAAAAACAATATTGAGCAGACCAAAAAAAAAAGAAGATTGAGCCGAATCTAGTATTGAAGCGCCGTGGACGTGTGTATTTATAGTATATAGAATTATTAATTAATACTATATAAGCTCTCGAGAAGGCTTTTGGCGTTGTTGTGTGGTTTTCACGAAAAGACGAAAAAAAAGCCAATCTCTTTTCATTATATTTTTGTTTAATACAACTTTTACATGCAACGCACCACGTCATAATTTTTTTTGATAGATGTCGCACTCAACGCAATGGAAAATTCGTTACTAAAAGTTATAATTTGAAGACGCCATGTGTAATATAAAGAGAAATTGTCAAAAATGCCCATTTTTCAATACTCCTTTTCAAAAATGTCCTCTTTGAGAGTCCATTTTTAAGTTTGCCCTCTTTTAATATTTAATTAGGATTAAAACCCGCGCTCCGCCGCGGGATATTTTTAAAAATTTTTTTTATTTAATAGAAATATAATATGTAATAATCAAATCATATTGTTTGATCATTATTAAATCAAACAGATGTGTGCCAACCAAACATTTTTTTGAAGAAGTTATTCGGGCATTAAGTGGCTTTATTAGGAAACACTATATATGAGGTGAATGTTTTTTTACTCAAATTTCATAAGCCTTATCTGATCTCTAGAACATCTATTTGTCTAAACCAAAGTTTGTTAAGCAAAATGTACCCAAATCATCAAATATAAACTGAAATTACAAGCAAAATAAAAAAATATCAGTTTAATTTCGGCAATTATTTTTTATGTGAACAGAGTCAAACTTTTCCTAAACAAAACGAATCAAACCTTACTACTTAACTAATTCAACTCAGTACAATTTCCTCCAACTCAGAACAATTTTCTTGCACCACTACTTTAATCAATTTTTCAGAACTAAAATAAGAACTAAATGATTTTCCAATCATTATGGTTATCAAAATGTACCCAAATCATCAATTTTTTTATGTGAATGCTAATGTTTGATCGTAGCATTCATAGAATTATTATACTTTTCTTCTGTGTAAGTTTGATTATTTTCTTTGCCTGTTTAGTTACTTGCTACCCGGTCGTTTATATGCAGCTCTTCGATTCAAAATTAATGTTTGTTTATTAGCCTCATGTAAACTAAGAAACTCACTCCATCTAAAAGTATCGTTTTGTTTATCCTTTTCTTGCATGCGTGTCTTATAGTGTCATGCACCAACTACTGAACTTCCTCAAAATAATGAGAATTACCTTGCTATTGATTGCATTCAGGAATGCATATCAATACTCGCCTTTATACATTTTTGTACGTAAAATTTGTAACTTTAAATCACTGTAGCTACACCATCTCGAAATTCCCTTCTTGGCCACAACTAACATTTGTAGTCATTAAGACTTTAACATGAGTGCAACTGTAGCATTGATCTATTATACTCATCAAAATCGATTGTTATCTCCGATCCCTTTCCTATTTTATTGGCCCAAATTTCTTTTTCCAGCCATAAAGGTAAACTACAAAAGTACAAAACATTGGTAAAGAGAGAGTGAAGATAGAGGTTGACCTTATTAATGCTTAATCCGATAATTTTTCACTCACCACCTTTTACTTGTTCTCTCTATTCTTCAGGTAAAGCTCCAGTCCTAGAAATCGTGTGTATTCTCAGACCCATCCAGTAAAAAAATTCATATGATTGTTTCCCATGCCTTCCTTGATCACATATGGATGGTGAACTGCAACAATTGATGCAAATGATGACATGAATACTAAAACCAAACAACATATATAAATGTCTGTACATTTGAATGTGGGTCTGCCAAAGAATTTGCACATGAAAAGACTCAGCTAATACAATAATCGATCCAATTGCATGGACTTTTACACTGCATTTGTTCTAGAATTTGAATATTAGGGTCAACAAAAACAATTTACCTTGAACTTTCATGTTTAACTAACAAATATATATATATAAAAGTATATAAGTATATAACAAAGATTAGCGAGGAAATACTTACATAAGATCTTTTTATAGAATGGCTTTATCACCTCTCATCCCTTTTTCCCTAGTCAAACCCACATAGTGACGAAAGTTTACTTTTTAGATTCCAACATCTGATTCCTGCGGAGAAGTCTATAAACAATTTCTATAGTTTGCATGGGATATTTGATGAACTGGAAATACATAGCAAAGCTTGAAGATGAAGACTCTCCATATTGCTGCAGTTACAAAAAAAAAAAAAAAAATTGGCTTAATCTTCGACGGAGAAACGTGAAAACCTAATTTCGTTTGATGTGAATAAATTGGGTGGAGTGAAGATTTGATAACTGTGGCATATTCGGTTTTTTGGAGAAAACTGAATCGATTCCAGCGGCGATGGCCTCCGGTGTGAACAAGTTGGCCGGATTCTTTTTTTAGTAGATGCATTCTGGATTGTTTTTTAATGTCGTCAATACTAATTAATATTTAATGTCGTTCCAAGTATAAAATCTTTCACCAAAAATCTTATACTCCAATATTTAGTGACATTTGAATATTAATAAGCCCATTTCTTCTCAAACCATAAACCCAAGATAATGAGATAGTTTTAACAAGAAAAAATGACATGGAAAAGAGAAGAATTAGTATTGGCAGGAAAATCTGAGCTGTATTAAACGAAATGTTTTCATTGGATGACGATTTTAATGAGGTGTCAACCTGAGAATAGTCCAAAATGTTGAGGTGTCAGGCCTGGAGAGATCCTTAGTGTTTTTATTATATTGATGACCATTTTACCCTTATTTGAAACAAAATTAGGTCCACAAAATACAAAATATTTTTTGGCGGAAAAAGTGATCCCGCAATTTTCCCGCCAAAACACTTGTAAAAACCTTTAAAATACCTTGTAAAATTTTCCCGTAAAAATTTTTCCCGCCAAAAATTTTTTTTGCGGCAAAAGTGATTCCGCAATTTTTTTGGCGAAATTCTTTTGGCGGAAAAAATTTACAAAGTATTTTAAAGGTTTTACAGAGTATTTACAAGTGTTTTGTAAGGTTTTACAATGTATTTTAAAAGGTTTTACAAGGTATTTATAAGGTTTTATAAGGTATTTATAACTTGCAAAACCTTATAAAAAACTTGTAAAACCTTATAACTTGTAAAACCTTATAAAATAGCTTGTAAAATCTTATAATATCTTATAAATACCTTATAAATACGTTGTAAAACCTTTTAAAATACATTGTAAAACCTTATAAATACCCTGTAAAAAACCTTTAAAATACCTTGTAAATTTTTCCCGCCAAAAATTTAACGCCAAAAAAATTGCGGAATCACTTTTGCCGCAAAAAAAATTTTTTGGCGGGAAAAAATTTTACGGGAAAATTTTACAAGGTATTTTAAAGGTTTTACAAGTTTTTACAAGTGTTTTGGCGGGAAAAATTGCGGGATCACTTTTCCCGCATAAAAATATTTTGTATTTTGTGGAACTAATTTTTTTATATTTCCTTATATATTTGTGATATCTTTTATTAAAAGAAGGGTAATTTAGTCATTTTGTACATAAAAAGGGGTATTTTTAAAAATGGACAGCCAAAGGGGGCATTTTTGAAAAGGGGTATTAAAAAAGGGGCATTTTTGTGAGTCTCAATTGTTAAAAATGCCCCTTTTTCAATACCCCTTTTCAAAAATGCCCCCTTTGAGAGTCCATTTTTAAGTTTGCCCTCTTTTATTTTTTAATGACCATTTTACCCTTATTTGAAACAAAATTAGGTCCACAAAATACAAAATATTTTTTGACGGGAAAAGTGATCCCGCAATTTTCCCGCCAAAACACTTGTAAAAAACCTTTAAAATACCTTGTAAAATTTTCCCGTAAAAATTTTTCCCGCCAAAAAATTTTCCCGCCAAAAATTTTTTTTTGCGGGAAAAGTGATTCCGCAATTTTTTTGGCGAAATTTTTTTGGCGGGAAAATTTTTGGCGGGAAAAATTTACAAGGTTTTTTAAAGGTTTTACAGAGTATTTACAAGTGTTTTGTGAGGTTTTACAATGTATTTTAAAAGGTTTTACAAGGTACTTATAAGGTTTTATAAGGTATTTATAACTTGTAAAACCTTATAAAAAACTTGTAAAACCTTATAACTTGTAAAACCTTATAAAATTGCTTGTAAAATCTTATAATATCTTATAAATACCTTATAAATACGTTGTAAAACCTTTTAAAATACATTGTAAAACCTTATAAATACCCTGTAAAAAACCTTTAAAATACCTTGTAAATTTTTCCCGCCAAAAATTTATCGCCAAAAAAATTGCGGAATCACTTTTCCCGCAAAAAAAAATTTTTGGCGGGAAAATTTTTTGGCGGGAAAAAATTTTACGGGAAAATTTTACAAGGTATTTTAAAGGTTTTTATAAGTTTTTACAAGTGTTTTGGCGGGAAAAATTGCGGGATCACTTTTCCCGCCAAAAAATATTTTGTATTTTGTGGACCTAATTTTGTTATATTTCCTTATATATTTGTGATATATTTTATTAAAAGAAGGGTAATTTAGTCATTTTGTATATAAAAAGGGGTATTTTTAAAAATGGACAGCCAAAAGGGGCATTTTTGAAAAGGGGTATTGAAAAAGGGGCATTTTTGTAAAATATCAACACTATTTTACTGTAAACATGAATTAATTTATTAAATATTTTTTTGTTATACACAAAAACTATTTATAAAATTACGTATAATAAAATTCGTTTGTGCGTGTATTCCACGTTTTGTTTTAAAATTCTAAACAAACGTTTAGTTGCACAATTCATCATTGGTCAATTTTATTGGTATTAAGTGAAAAAATAGATGGTGATGAATGGTATAGTAGAAAACATAGTATTTATAGTAGAGAATTTTGTTATTTTTCAGGTCATATAATAATATAAGATTTATTTTCAAACTAAATATTTATTTTTAAAAAATCAAATAATTTAATTAGTAAAATTTTGAAATAGTGTAGAAATTTTAATGAAACAACTTCAAATATAGGCTGATCCATTTAAAACCCTAGCGACCCACGTTGATACTTGAATCATGATGTTGGAGGATTTCATTAAGTGATTTGCTGCTGTTAGAGAATGCTCATTGTTAAATTTAGGTTGGTTATCTAGTTCTAGAACCCAATATATTTCATGCACCAAAAATGTTTGATGAGATGTCTAAATCAATTTTTATAGAGTAAAATTAACCTTGTCAGTGAGAATTAAAGTTATGAGACTTTATGATTTTAGCGAACCCATTCCTATTGCTCACTACTCACTTATTTACAAATGAAGATATAGTAAATCTAAGTTATTAGTGAAGGTGGTCAAAACCTTTGGAGAAGTTAATCTCATTTTAGTGATACGGGCTCTACGAAACCCATTTGTTTATCCAAATTTTTTTTTTTTTTTTACAATTTTTTGATTCGTGCATGTCATATTTGCGCATAGACCATGCTAATCTTCTCTGTATCATTTCAATTTTATCGGATGTCCCCGAAAGGACTTAGTTTTTTTTTGCATTGCTTTTTTTCTTTTTACCTTGTTAGTAATTTCTACTTGTTTAACTTTAGAAACGAATAGAAAACCAAATCTCCTTTTGTCTTGGCTTAACTCTACTCTATCATCTCTAGACGTAACAATTTGTTTTTATGAATTCTTCATTCATAAATCATAATCAGGAGAAAGAACATCAAACAAAGAATCAGATCACGATCTAATAGGTCATATATGTATCTAGATTTTTTTCATAAAAAAGAAAGATTTGTTTCTAGAATTTTATCCTTTCTTCAAGAATTTACCCCTTTCCCATTTCATGCAATTGCCGACTCAGAGGATTGAGAGGGTACATTGACATAAGGGAAAACTTATTTAAATCCATTCAAAATCAATTCTGATAGTAACTATATCACCATTAGAACGTTGAACACTCTTTGATCGCTTTGGAGTTTTAGAGACATCAAACAAAAACATGCACTCTATACGAAGTTTTTGTTCTGTGAATTAAGACGGAGCAAACACAATTTCCACAACACTAGTTAACTTTTTTAATCCGCGATATAAGTTAAGACACCATCTTTGTGTATAGTATACAATTTAGGCTGTAAAATACTATTTGCGGACAAAAGTCTTCTGTTAATTATTCCACTGATCTCTTAAAAGAAACACTAAAATTGTATACTATACACAAAGATGGCGGAGTGTCATTTTGACACATTTCACACAAATTAAGAAAACCTTAGATTATACATATATGCCCCTATTTAATAAGTAATTAATGATTTAAATTCAATAAAAAGTAGCTTTGGATTAAGGGTAAATTGGGAAACTTAGTGTAAAAGTCACATTGAAAATGTAGAATGACACTCTTTGTGAAACAAAAATAAAACTCTAGAATGACACTCTTTGTGAAACAGATGGAGTAAAAAATATATTTAATCCATAATTTACATGGTCTAAATTACATGGTCTAAATTACATGGTCTTTTCGTATTCCTCATGGAAAAATGAGACAGCGTGCTTTAAGACCTCATAGGAAACTGAAGCAGCGTGTTTATTAAGGCAACAACTGAATAGTCTACTTTTCTCTTTTCACACACTCACGTCAATTCAGTTCCATTATATCAATATCTTCCCATTACATGTTACAAACAACAATATATTTGACAACATGGCTTCTGGACATCGTCAACAAAGCAAGTTAGATGCCAAATTCAAAGCTATGTTTGAAACCGAAGACGAGAAGTTCCAGAAGCTTCTAGATTGCTTAAAGCCTCTAAGCGAGAACCAGGTACAAGTTGACAGCTTTACTCTATCCGATTTAAACAGTATCTTTTTAACTGCATGCCAAATGGTTAAACATGTCCAAGTCCTCACCAAAATTCCTTACAAAGATGTACGCGATAGCATGTTAGCCAAGGCAAACTCATTAGGGATTTGTCCTCTAAGTCACGAGATGAATCTTCGTCACATCTACGACGTTTGTCAATGGATGAAAATCAAAGCCGGTATTAAAGCAGTTGTGGAGGTGCAACGTAGCGAGAAGCTAAAGAGGCGAGCTACAGCAAAAGGGAGGACGGTTGCTGAATCGGCTATGATCAGAGCGTTTAACGCTCAGTTTGCTGAGTATAGCTCTGAGCTAAAGAGAGCTCGTGCGGCTTTGGAGAAAGAGAGTGATACTGGTGTTCGTATCCGAGACAAGTACTGGCCAGTTTCTGCATTCGATGTAGCCATTAATGTTTTGCATGAAGAGGCAATTCTTGATTTTTGTAGGAAAGTGGAAGTGAAATGTGGTTTATACAAGTATGTTGAAGGATTGATTGAACGTAAGACAGTGTGTTTTGCTTTACGTGAAGCCGATAATCTTCGGACTGTTCTTAAGGAAATGGAAAGTTTTGAAGTTCTAGTTTCGTCCATGGATGGAAATTGTCTTGTTGGTGATAAAAGGAAAGATATTGGATCAGTGCTTGGTCATGGTGGAGAATCATCGTCTAAGAGGGAGAGACGTCTTACTTGTACGAAGAAAGATATTGGACCGGTGCTTGGTCATGGTAGATAAACATCCTCAAAGAGGAAGAGGCGTCTTACTCGTAACTCGTAAGAAGTAGATTTGACTCATTAATGGGATTAAGTGAAAATGTGATACAGATCGAGATTATAAAATATGCTTCTTCTTCTTTTTCTTTAGTCTCTTTTTTGTAACATTTTTTCTATTTGTTGTACGGGTCACTATTAAAGTTTAATCTACTGTTTAATACAAAAATTAAAATGTGTTTCTAAACGCTCAAACTGGAAGGTCACAACTTGATCGGATCATGTTGATCAAGTTTTGAAATTTCATTTTATATATTAGGATGCTAAAAATATATACTATGATGTAGTGCCTTAAAAAATATAATGATTTGAAAAATTAAACCTTTTAATATAACCAATTTTTTTTAATACAAATATTTTGAATAGAACCAGTGTGTTTATTTTCTCATAATCTTAAGTTGAGAATTAAGAATAACCTATGAGATAGTGGATAGTCTCAAAATTACATGTTATCCGTACTTTGATGGTTGATTTGTCCATTGAAAATAAATAATTTTTAATTTAATAATTAATGTTGAGTCTAAAAATTATTCTCTGAGAAATACAAAACATAGAAATTTTAAGTGTGATATTAACTGGATTTTCAGAAGAAAAAAAAAACGATTATATATCATTAGAGAATTCCCTATTTCTTTGTTTTTTGTACTAAATATTAACTTTCTTTTTCTCTCAAAAGAATATTTTTTGTAATTTTAGATATGTTTAGTTTCCGATTTTCTCGTTAATATTTACTAAAGATTCACTAGTACTAAAGATTTACTTTTATGACTATATCTAACAATGAAAGATATTGGATCGGTGATTGGTCATGGTAGAGAAACATCGTCTAAGAGGAAGGGACGTCTTACTCGTAACTCGTAAGAAGTAAATTTGACTCATTAATGGGAATATGTGAAAATGTAATACTGATCGAGATTATAAATGCTCTTTTTATTTTCTTTTGTTTCTTTAGTCTCTTTTTTGTAACGGTTTTTCTATTTGTTGTACGGGTCATTTTTAAAGTTTAATCTACTGTTTAAAACAAAAATTAAATATGTTTTTCTAAACGCTCAAACTGGAAGGTCTCAACTTGATCGGATCATGTTGATCAAGTTTTGAAATTTCAGTTTATATATTAAGATGCTAAATATATATACTATGATGTAGGGAAAATGAGTAAAAAAACCCTCAGCTTTCTTAAAAATTAACATGTAAAAACTCTCAACTTTTTTTTGTGGGTTTTAAAACCCTCACCTTTTCATAAGTGGTAAAATAAACCCTAATATTAATAAACTCAACTTATTTTTTTAAAATCGTCATATTAAAACAATAAGAAACAAAAACAATTTAATTTATGATTTTTTTCGAATTCGAGTTTGCAATTTTTCTTTCTAAAATTAAGGTTTTTGCGCTATAAAAACTCATTCACAATTTAGTTGAGATTAGGCAAATCATTTTTTTACCATTAGAAGTTATGTTATATAAACTACAAAAATTTATAGGATAGCACATTTGATTTTTTTTCTGTTCTATTTTTCAGGTTTTGGATTAAAATATAGTTAAATAATTATTAACTATATGTAATTTATATTATTTTTTAATGTATTGTAATATGTATATAGAAATATTAACTGTTAGTAAATTTTATTTAGTTTGTCCATGAAAATATTTTGATGTAGAAATTCATATACTTTTCATAGTATTATAAAATTTGGCTTGGTTTTACGTTAGCAAATTTGTGTGATTGAACCGAATAAACCTTTATTAACATAAACTCATATTCGATTCAATATAAGAATTTATATATTATTCATAACAAAATCTGTTTGGTTTCACTTTGATGAATTTTTGTAACACAACCGAATACAATTAATTTTTTTACATCATGACTTTTAAAAAATTTCAATTTAGAAAAAAGATTGTAAACTGAAATTTTAAAAGAAAAATACTAAATCAAATTGTTTATAATTATTATGTTTAATATAACGATTTGCTTGAATTTAAATTGAGTTTATTAATAATAGGGTTTATTTTACCATTTATGAAAAGATGAGGGTTTAAAAACCCACAAAAAAATGTGAGGGTTTGTTTTATGTTTTTTTTAAATGTGAGGGTTTTTCTACACATTTTTCCTATGATGTAGTGCCTTAAAAATATAATTATTTGAAAAATCAAACCTTTTAATATAATCATTTTTTAACAAATATTTTGAATAGAACAAGTGTGTTTATTTTCTCATAATCTTAAGTTCAGAATTAAAAAAAAAAAAAAATAAAAAAATAAAAAAAAAAAAAAAAGGGTTCAGAATTAAGAATAACCTATGGGATTGTGGATAGTCCCAATTTTACGTGTATCTCCGTACATTGATAGTTGATTTGTCCATTAAAAATAAATAATTTTTAATTTGATAATTAATGTTGAGTTTAAAAATTATTCTCCGTAGAAATACAAAACATAGAAACTTTAAGTGTGATATTGACTTGATTTTTAGAAAAGAAAAAAGAAAAAAAACGATTATATATCATCAGAAAATTCCCTATTTTCCTGTTTTTTTGTACTAAAGATTAACTTTCTTTTTCTCTCAAAAAAAATATTTTTGTAATTTTAGATATGGTTAGTTTCCGATTTACTAAAGATTTACTTTTATAACTATATCTAACAAGGAAATAAATAAAAAATAAAAAGTAAAACAAAACAATTCTCATTAACTATTAATAAAGTCTTGAAGCTCACTATTTTTTACACTCTCTCCGCAACACACAAAAATACATAAGGTACGATGATCAATCTTAACTCTGTTTTCTCTTCAATTTTTTCTCCAATGTTTAGGGTTTCAATCTCTATCTCTATCACAAACTCAAAACTATATTTATTTTGTATTTTTTATATTTTTGTTCTAAGATTTTTGGAGTTTAATCGGAGAGAGAACAATGATCAGTTTCAGAGAAGAGACCATCGATCTCAACTTGATTAAAACAGTTCATATAATCTGTAATGATCCAGACGCTACTGATTCCTCTAGCGACGATGAATCTATCTCCGGCAATAATCCTCGCCGTCAGATCAAACCAAAACCACCAAAACGTTACGTCTCTAAGATCTGTGTCCCGACGTTGATCAAAAGGTACGAGAACGTTTCGAATTCCACAGGGAATAAAGTAGCCGGAAACCGGAAATCGTCCTCGGGTTTCAAAGGCGTACGACGGAGGCCGTGGGGGAAATTTGCGGCGGAGATAAGAAATCCGTTTGAGAAGAAGAGAAAGTGGCTTGGAACGTTTCCTACTGAAGAAGAAGCAGCAGAAGCTTATCAGAGAAGTAAAAGAGAGTTTGATGAACGATTAGGTTTAGTTAAACCGGAAAGAGATTTAGTAGATTTGACCAAGCCTTGTGGTGTACGTAAACCTGAAGAGAAGGAAGTTACTGACAAGTCAAAATGCAAAAAGGTAAGTAAGAGAATTGTTACTGACAAGTCATTTGGTTGTGGTTATAATGCTGATGAAGAAGAGGGAGTGATTGGTAAAATGTTGGAAGATCCGTTGATGACATCTTCGATTGCGGATATTTTTCGTGATTCGGTTGTTGAAGCAAATGATATTTGGGTGGATTACAATTCATCGGAATTTAATTCGCTTTTAGATGATCTAAAGTTCGATTTTGTGGAGGATGATAGAGTAGGCAAGGAGAAAACATTTGGATTTAAGATTGGGGATGACACCAAGGTTAATCATCATGCGAAAATCGTATCGACGATTGGGGATATTTTCAACGATGATTTACTTGACTTTGATCCGTTGATGGATGATTTTCGGTTAGAAGATTTTCCAATGGATGATTTTGGATTATTAGGAGATCCAGAGGATGATGATTATAGTTGGTTTAATGGTACTACTGATTGGAACGATAAGTGTTTATGAGAGTTCTTTGACACGGCGACGGTATTAGTACAAATCATTGAGTTACAAGTTCTTGTAATTCGTTTTTGGTTTTGATGGTTTTGTAACTAACTTTTATATAAAGAGATTATTTCATAAGAGAAGCTTTTACTAGTATGAAATTTAGTTTCGTAAACTGATTAAGAATAAAGTTGTAACCATGTCATTGTAGGGATAACATTCAAAAGCCATACCAACTTGCACGAACGAAATATGTTCCACATGAGTTTTTTTGTCCTTTTGGACTAGCTTCTGGTTTCTTTGCAGTAATAGCCTTTTTTATTTGACACAAAGGAGAAGAAACTGAGAGAATTCGATCCTAAGATTCGGTGGCTAAAGATCTTCGGACAAATCGACCTTTCATTCTCGGCCTTTTGTCGGCGTTAACCTTTCTAACCTCGTACCTTATCTTCTTCTCGAACAAACGATTCTTCCTTTTATCTCTGTATCTCCAAACTCTAGCTTCTCTCTCACTTCTGTTGCTTACTCTCTTCTCCTCTATCCCCTGCAATTGAGAACCATTAGCATAAATTTTATACTTAAGGGTGACTTTGCACAATTTGAAACTATGGTAACATTTTTTGTAAGAAAAAGTGAAAGTTGGAGCTTACTGGAGGAACTAACTGGAAGTTACTTGTGTTGTTAAACTCAGTTTGGTTTCTTCTTGGAGATTCTTGTTTATCCCAAGCTGCTATAACATTTTCGTAATTAAGTTTAAGTAACATGTTCCTCTGCTTTGCATTACTCTCGTAATCTTCACTTTCTTCTGTCTTTGCTGAAATCGTAATGACATTGTCGTAATCTTTTTTGCAGCTCATCAAAGATTGTCCAGGACATGCTTCAGCTCCGTTAGTTTTAGCTTCTTCTTCTTCTCCATTGTAATATAGATCCTCCACTGTGTCAGTTTCTTCTTCAAAGTTGAATTGTTTCGTTGTTTCTTCAGTACCATTGTGGTTGCACAAGAAGAATCCCATCTCTGTGAATCCCTCAAACTCTGGCACAAGAGAAGTCATATCATCATCATCATTTGCTTCTGGTATGAAAAACGTCGCTTCGCCTCCAATCTCGGGAACACGAGGATCTTCTCTTCTTCTCGCGTCATCTATCTTTTGTTGTGGCTTTTTCTCACACCGGACTCTAGGTGTTCTTGCTTTTCTTCTGAACCCGCTGTGCCACACCGGGGTTAATGTTGTTCGCCGAAGCACATCATTCGATATCTCATTTGTTCTAAGACAAACTCTCTCATGTTTTGTCGCCACATGGTTTGCAGAATGCACTGATTCATCACAAACATGGCACAAGAAAGCATCATCGGAGGCACAGTACCAAACTGCGTGTTTGTTCAGACACAGTTCGCAAGCTCGTGGCTGCTTGACATCTTCTTGGTTCTCCCGAATCATAATTTCAGCGCACAACTTGAAACAGAGATAAGAGAAGAAATCAAAGTAGAAGAAGAAAGTGGCACAAAAGGAGGTTTATCAGGAAACAGAAGAGTAATGGTTATATACTTTCTGAAATTTTGATATTTTGGTGACTTGTCATGGGCTAAGAACAAAAAGATCTTAAAGTGAGAAAAAGGGGACAATGAAGAAGACAAGGGCTAAAGAGGATGGAGAATAATGGGCACTGACAAAGGAGCCTGCTTAGGTAGGTATATAATAATCTTTTTCGTTGGGATCAGACAAAGACATTTTCCTTCAGAATCTAGAAGATTTTTCACTGACACTTCTTTCTTATGTCAGTAGGGACTAGAAATGACTTATAGCCCAAGTTCTTGACTCTTGTTCCACACATGCTTAATATTCTTGAATTTTAACATTAAGTGTTAGTGAACATACTTATATAGAGCAGATTAGTCTACAGAGGAGGTAGTGAAATTTGAGAAGGGTGAAAGACTTGTGAATTATTGAAGTTTGGCCATACCCATTTTTTGTTGGGTTGTACAAGGAGAAAAGACACTGTACTGATGATTTGGCATCATGTACCGAAGTTGATCCAAACCTTTGCCATCTTATTGGTCAGACTTGGATTATGTTTTTGGGTCTTTTACTCTTTTATGGTTCTTTTTCTTACCCATTCTCTAAGTTTTATCTTTTTGTTTGTTAGTCTTTTGTTTTCTGACTCATTTTGTCTGTGGTCCTTATATGTCTCTATCACCATTTAACATATGGTAACAGGACTCCATAAAAGTTTGAATTACTAAGAGGTTAATACAAATTTCATGAATTGTTTCAGAAAAGAATCCATTTAGACACTACTAAAGAAGTAAAGATGTTCCTACAGTTTTGAAATGAAGGGAAAGTATTGACTTCTTACAGTTAACTCTTTCTTTGTTTTATCAGATACGGTCTTAATAACATATATACATATATTGCAAGCATAAAGACTTATATAATTTACATGTCAGATAAATCAAAATAAGGCAGAGAGACTAAGTTGCGCTTAGTAAAAAGGTACTTCATTATTTCGAGAAACAGGGACAAAATGTACAACAAGCCAAAAAGGATATAAATTATTTGAAAAACCGAAGCTGAGCTTAACTAATTGGAAGTCCTAAGTCCAATTAGTAAAATATGTGTTACAAAAACAGAAAAGCATAAATCAAGTAACAACCTTGATGTGGAGCATTAACTTGCAATAGAGACTCCATTCATGTCTGGTAATCCAAGCTCTCACTCACCTGTTTCATTGGAGCAAGAAGAAATATTTAAAATCTTTGAACCAAATACAAAAATCATCAATCCAATTTGAACTGAGAGATTTTGACTACAGGCCTTAACCCTGGTGCAACTATTGTTTATACCAATTAAAACCAAAATTTTGAAATTCTATCCTTCTTCATACAGTCCAAAACATGTCCCATCTCTTTAAATTCATCAATGAAATTCCGTGACTAGGTTTAGTTCTGTGGCAGATTAAAGATGGACGCAATTGCAAGCAGATTGGTATCTATAATACCGGCCCATATGTCCACAAGATTGAGTCACTCCAAGATCTATCAATTTCATTTCTATACAGTCCAAAACATGTCATGTCTCTTAAATCACCAATGAAAATCCATGACTAAGTTTAACCTTTGTGATTGCAAGCAGATTGATATCAATAATTCACCAGTGCGTCAACAACTTCCGCAAAACTGAGTCACTCTAAGACCTGATCAATTCATACATATAAATATTCAAACGTCCATGTTCCAATTTATAAGATACTACAAACCGATTCACACAACAGGTCCAGTTATAAGATACTCTACACAAGGAATGCTAAAAAGTCTAACCTTTATCTTCTTCAACATATTAACAAGTAAAGTATTGGTCAAGTGCTTCTAAGCAATACACACTACATAAATCAAAGCCAGTTACTCACCTAAGATCAATCACGCACACAACATTTATTCAGCTTCTTCAACAGCTACTGGCTTAGGACCTGGTTTGACAAAATCAATACAACATAAAAGTTCAATACATATATCAAACGAAGAATCAATTTCAAAAAGAGTTACTAATGAAGAATTTGAGACTAATCTACATCAAATTCAAATCCAATTCGAGGTGTATCAATTAAGCCAATGATAAATACCATATTGCAATCATCATTCAAAGACACTAAAGAGTAACTTAAAAGTTCAAATTTCAAAGATTAAGGAGAAAACAAAACCCTAAGAATTTCAATTGAAGAAGCCTTTCAGTATTTCACCAGTGTGAGAGAGAACGCCGGCAAACTCACCGTGGAGAGAGATAGGACGGTGGTCTTTGCCCCAACCAACGCCGCGAGTGGCGTCGAGATACTGCTGAACAAGATGACGACACTTCTGGTAATGGTTAACGCCTTCGACGCGGTAACACCATTTGACCTTCTCGCGCAAGATCTTAGCCTTCTCGATTTGGATCCACTTCTCACGAACAATATGTTCTCTCATCTCCACCATCGCAACCGGATCCTTGTACGGATTCTCAGGATCGAATCCATCCGGCGCCGACTCTTCGAACTCCGGCAATCCCTTCTTCCTCCCCATCGGATTTTTGATTTCTGTTTCTGCGATTGCTTTTTTCTGACTTCATGTAGTAATGTTTTGTTTTTATTTGGGCTTTTAATTCTCTAAATGGGCCTCAATTTGGGCCCAGATAAAGCTTGGTAAGTTTATGACTATATATACAATTATTTTTTGGGTTTTCAAAGATACACTCAATAATCAACACTTTTTTTAATTTTGACAATTTGAGTTTAGACAAATCTAATTACAAAGGTCCTTTATTTCTAATTTGGCCCACTATAGGCCTAGACTAGGTCCATAAATTAATTTAGGTCTTGCCTCTCTCTTTAATTTCTTCCAAAAACCTGGATGGATTAAAAAGGAAAAATAAATAAATGATAGAACTCTTGTGCCCCAAGCCAGAATATATAAGACTCTTATAAATACCTTCTTCCTAAGCTATCTAGGGTTTTATCCGCTCTTCACTTTCTCTTTTCAAAAAAACCTAGAATCGTTTTTCAAATCTGAAGCAGCTCCTGTGATAAAGGCGACGATTCTGAATAAACATAAGAAAGACATGACAGATAAGAAAATATCTGATCCGATGGAGATATTGGAAGGATTGGCTGTTCGTCTTCATAAGATCGAAGGAAAGGTGAATCAGATGGAAGAAAAGATGGACCTGTTGATCTCATTGATTAGGTCAAATAATGAAGTTAAAATTGGCTCTGTAAAGGCCGAGGCAGAGAGCATGTTTGAGGATGAATCATCTTTTGATGATGAACCTTATAGCCGTTTTGGTCCTTTTGTCGGTGGTCGTGGTGTTGGTCCTTTTGTCGGTGGTCGTGGTGGTGATCCTTTTGTCGGTGATCGTGGTGGTGATCCTTTTGTCTTTGGCCATGGTGGTGATCCTTTTGTCTTTGGCCGTGGTGGTGATCCTTTTGTCTTTGGCCGTGGTGGTGGTCCTTTTGTCGGTGGTCATGGTGGTCGTGGTCTCTTTGTCGGTGGTCGTTATGCTGGTGGTCGTTGTGGCGGTCAAGGCTTTTGTGGAGCTTGTTGAGGTTTTAGGTGGCGGAGGAAGAGACCTAGTTTTGCTACTCAGCTTGAGCTTTTTTTTTTTAATGTTTATTTTGTGGCAGCTTTGGCGTTTTTAACTTGTGATATAATGCAACCTTTTCAATAGTTAGGTTTTTTTTCTTATGTTCTATAGTTACGATTTTGTCTGAATGTTAAAGTAGCCTCAATTTTGAGTGCTTTTGGTGTTAAATGACAATGAAAACAGGTTTATTTCTTATGAAAAGAGAGAAACAAGTATTAAAAAACAAAGAGTTCAATCGTGAGTATATTTGGTAGAAGAGCACATGTTAATGTATTAACAAAGAAAAGTTCAATCGCAAGTAAAGTCAGTTTGTGACGTTGATTGTGAAGCTGACTAGCAAAGCATCACGGAAACTAACCAATCCTTTAAATTCACAAGTCCAACTCAAAGAAGGCAATTTCAGTAGTTAGAGCTTGGCACGTGTGCGGCTCTCTCACATTCCCAAATCTCTCTTAAGAGAGACGACTCTCATGATAATTAGCTGTTTTGAATTATTTTTAATTACCTTAATCAAGAGAACCTCCCATTGGAGGTGCTCTTATTAAATCTATTTTAGCATTATTATCCTTTTCAAATATGTTAGGTGCACATTAATATCATGTTTACATAGTCTTATTTATAATAAAACAAATTCACACTTAGGTTATATAATCCTAATAAGAAATTAAAATGGAAAAATCAAGTAAAACAAAACACAAAAGGAAAAAAGCTAAATATATGTATGACACATCGGTTTCAATACCGCTACATCAAAAAGCGAGGAAAATTTATATTCCTAGCAAAATTCCTTCACAAATGCCTTAATATTCTTGTAGTTGTACTCTGATATGGATGTTATAATTTATAAATAATCGGTGAGTTGTAAAAAATAAACAAACTTTGGGTTTGTAATGTAATTAAGGTCAAAACTTTTGAAATATCTGAAGATAGAGAAACTGTTCTATTTATACGCTGATTGCTTGGAAACAAAGCTATCGTTCCATTTTTGAGATCGATTATTATTACTTCATTTAAAAATAAATAGAAAGGACTCTTGTGCCCCAAGCCAGAATATAAAAGACTCTTATAAATACCTTTCTTCCTAAGCAGCTGACTAGGGTTTTTTGCCGATCTCCACTTTCTCTCTTTTTAACCTCTAGTACGTTGTTCTACCCACCATCTTCTCCATGAAAAATAAATCCGCAACCAAAGCTGAAGCAGCTCCTTCTGTGATTAAGGACACGACGCCTAAAGATGATTTGGAGAAAGATAAGAAAAACATGATGACTGAGAAGAAAATATCTGATGCTATAGAGATGTTGGAAGGATTTGGTGTTCGTCTTCATCAGATGGAAGAAAAGATAGATCTGTTGATCTCATTGATTAGGTCAAATAATGAAGTTAAAATTGGCTCTGTGAAGGCCGAGGCAGAGAGCATGTCTGTGGATGGATCATCCTCTGATGAGGAACCTTATAGTCGTTTTGGTGCTTCTGGCTTTGGTCGTGGTGGTCGTGGTGGTGGTGGTCGTGGTCTTTTTGTCGGTGGTCGTTTTGCCGGTGGTCGTTGTGGCGGTCAAGGCTTATGTCGACGTTACTGTTGAGGTTTTGGTGGCGGAGGAAGAGACCTAGTTTGCTACTCAGCTTGAGCTTTTTTTATTTATTATTTTGTGGTAGCTTTGGCGTTTTTGACTTGTGATAAATCAACCTTTTCAATAGTAATCTTGGAGGAAACTTTCTACACTTGCAATGAAACAAGTAAACAACAAAAGCTTTTTCTCTTTGAGCAAACTATAATAAAAAGAAATGGAAAAAGAGAAAAGCAAAACAGAGGAATCCAAAACCAAAGTGTTGCTTTGTTGTTTCAGTTACTCAACTTGTTGAGTCTTCTTCTCAAAAAATCTATTTTTGGTCTCCATTGTTGCTTCTTCTCTTTTCCTCGTTATCTCTTTCATCTCTTCTCTGAACCGTTCTTCTATCTTTTCTAGCTCCTCTTTTAACCTCTCATATTCTTCTTCTTCCTCCAAGCTTCCTCGTTTCTCTGCTTCTTGATCTTCTCTTGTTGCTACGGTCGGGTTTGCCTCATCATCGGATCGTGGGCAATAATCAGAGGACAAAGAGTGACTAATGGATTCACCATCTTGGGAATTTGCACCGTTTTGATGGTTATCCTTGGAGCTCTGGTTCTGTTGCGGGTGAATAAGATGATCGACCGTTACATCGGTTTTCCAATTCGGTATCAAATTGACGAGTAATACGTCAATCAGTTCCGCTATAAACTTTACGTTTTGATCCGTCAATTCAAGCTGTTCAACCATCTCACTCGATACATTAGAAGCAGTGTCACCTTCTTGAAAGAATAGGAAATGAATGTTCCTCACACGCCCTACAAGCGAAAAAGAAGACAAAACTAATCAAGTTCGGTACAATATGCAATTTTTCAAACGCATCTAACAGTTTTTTCAAACGCATCTAACAGTTTTTTAAAACGCATCTAACAGTTTTTAAACGAAAATATACATTTTCGGTGAAATGTTTTGTAAAATATAAACGCAAAAGACTTACCATTTTCATCGACTATACGAAGAATTAGCGAAACAGAGTTCTCATCATTCTCTTCACCTTTAAGGACAAAGAAGTTTCCTCGCTTTGCCCGTCTAACCTCAATACACTTTGATCCTGAATTGTTGCTTGAAATAACAATAGGAAGGTTATTGTCTTCGTCAAGATTCATTGACATCGGTCTATTCCTAGCATTAGGTGGTCCTTCAGACATAAGACAACGTTCTCCGAATGATCCTTCTTTCGGCATTACAATGTCGGGAAGCGGTAATGGATTGTTCATAACTAAACCGTTCACATTGAGAAAAGAATCCAATAAAAGCTCCTCCGCTGATAACCTTTCGGAGGCTGGCAATAAACATTTCTCGATAAATTTCATAACTTCTGGATCTTTAACCTTTGAGAGTGAAGCTGGTTTTATCCCCTAAGTAAAGTATAAAAAAAGGGGACTCACCAAGTAAGTTATTCATATAATATAACCAATGGCAGAAACAATGTGAAAATATCAAACTTACCGATGAAACTTTCTTGTAGATTTGAGCAGAGTTTCTACATTCACAATAAGGATATTCAAAAGTCACCATTTCCAACATACACATCCCGAACGAATATATATCAGCGAGCTCGTTGTAGTTCTCATCGTAAAGCTCAGGCGCCATAAACTCGGGTGTTCCTGTTCGTCATAACACTTTCAATTTTGATCCTAAAAGCCAAAGAAAAACGGATTTGCAAACTAGAAAAAAAAAAAAAAATCATACCAATCACACTTTTGGCATTAGCTTGCTCCATGACAGTAGCTAGACCAAGGTCTCCTATTTTCACTTCTCCATGGTTACCGTTGATAAAAATGTTGTCACATTTGATATCTCGGTGTATAATCGGCGGATCTTGACTATGTAGATATTTCAGTCCTGTTAAAATCTGTCTCGCCCAACACTTCACAGCCTTCATATTCACCTTTCTATGTTTCTTACGGTACCTTCAAGAAAACCAAGATTTGACTACTTTAATCACAACTCCAAAACCGCTATTTTCGCACCGACATAAAAAAATAGCAAAATGAGCAAAATACATACTGCCGGAGACTTCCTGAAGTGAACAATTCAGTAATTATATTAACCGTTTTGTTCTTGTCATCGATCCACGAGTTATAAAACCTTATAATGTTTTTATGCTTCAGCGATTTCAAAAGCCGCACTTCGGAATATAGCCTCTCGAGGCAATCTGGTGATTGCAAAAGATCGTCGATCCTTACTTGATTCCACGCAACTTCAATCCCATCTACTTCGTCGAATCCCTTAAAACTGATTATTTGTTCAAGAGAGTTAAAGAAAGAATGAATTTAAGATTCCCTCATAGCATCATCAAAACACAAACTATACTGTCAAATAACACAACAGATTGAAAAAAACAGAGATTATGTAAGAAAAAACAGAAAAAGGGATATACACTGTCTTGGATGCGCCTTTGCCTATTACTTCTTTGTACTGAAAGATTTTACACATTTGAATGTGTCAAGGGAAAACAAAATGGAGAAACAGAGCAAATTTTGTAAACTTAATATTAAAATTTTGAAAAAATTATGCAAGAGATGATGAATAAATTACCCGAATATATCGACAAGTTGGGTCGACTTCAAGAACTTCTGGGTCAGGTGGTTCTACAATTGCAGAAGCATCTTCTGAACCTTCCATATCTTACTAATCTTTATTAGCTTTCTTCAAAATCAAACTTCTACAACAAAAAATGCAAAAACATATTCCTTTAGATTCCTTTGAAGACGACAACACAAACTTGTAAAGGAAAAATAAAAACATAACTAAGCTTTTGAAACATACAATCTTATATTGAATTTCAGATAAAATTCCAACAAATAAAATTAATCAGCTCAATTAAATATTATTGACCCAGAATTTCTTATTGTTAAATCTATTAAGGGACCTAAATAAACCTCAAATCGCGTCAACGAACATTTATCATGTAAGAGAAAGACGCAATGACATACATGCATAGGAAGAAATTTCATCAAAAATCAGATATTAACATGAACATGAGATTAGAATTTACCTTGGAAAATGATGGTTTGTTCTGTTCTAAGTTTATCCGCCAACTTAACCACAAAACGGAAAAAAGAAAAGGAAAAAAAAGTTGGAACCCTAATTCGATAAATTGATCGAAGAAGACGCAGAGACAAGGGACAAATATACAATTTGTGTTATATATTTTTGTTCAATCGAAACACAAACAACAAACTTGGTTCCACCTGATTTATTTATATATATAAAAAACTTAGCCCATGTAATTTATATATATATATATCCAATTCCTCATGCAATTTCTTTTTCATTTTAAGAAAAAATAAAATATAATTGGGCCTCTTGATCTTTTTTTTTTTTTTTTTTTGTTTTGAAACATCTAATTGGGGATCTTGATTATGTAATGTATATTTGTATAGTCTTAAGATAATAATTAATACGTTTTCGTTTTTGGAGTCGATGGCTTGGTGAGGTGACGCATGTTACAGGTGGCATGTGATCATAGGAGATTATAAACTCAAATGGATATTTGTTTTAGAGTTTTTTTTAAATCCAATCATTGATTACTTATCCTTTTGGTGGCTTTAAGCATCGTTTACCTGATCGGTATCTGAACAGACAAATATTCGCTTTTCATTGTGAAACCAATTTGTGTTTGTAATTTATGAGACAACGATCGACTTCAACCTGCATGGCACGCGTCGTCGCATAACTAATCAAATAAAAATATTGTAAGTGATATTCAACTATTATTATTTAAAACGTATAAATGCACATATCAAGTAGTTTTAGAAGTACTAGGTCGAAACCCGCGCTACGCTGCGGGATATTTTTTGATTTTTTTTAATTGTTTTATCAAAACCAAACCAATATAATTGCATCAAAAATAAAAAGAAAGAGGATTGATTACAGTATGATTATAAATCTGTTCACTTGTCTAAGAGCTTGACAACAAGCCTTTTATTTTTTTTTAGCATAAGAAATATAAACAAGGTTATCCACATAAATTTAGAGCATAAGATAACATAAAAAAACACGCAAGAATAATAAAGTTTGTTACATTGACTTAATTATTGGAATCAGTCGTCGACCACAAGAGACATCAATCTCTCTTGAGAAACATCATAACAGTCAGGATTTAAATTTATATATGTTTTTTTATATGAGAATACATGACTTATATGAAACTTATGATAAAGTTAATTAAACACAAGTTACAAATATTACATGAAAATATAGAAATAAAAAAAGATGGACCATGCTTTGTTATGGATTTTTTTAAATAAATAGGCTAAACAATTCATAAAAATTGGTTAATATAACTTGACTTGTGACTTAAAATTAGAATGTTCAAAGATAAAAAAGTACAGAATGATGATCATATGGTTCTTAGCATTTGAAGGGAGCCTTGGAATCTCATCTTTCTCCTTGTCTTTTTACTAAACTTATATTTACCATTAAGTGTTCTTGGAACATAGTAGATCAAGTGTTTGAGCCGGCGTGAAATCACCTTCATTCAAAACATAAACCACAAATACATAGTTAATTCTTAAGTTATTGCTATGCTGAATAATATACTCTTACAAAAGAGATCACCAATAATAACTAATTAATCAATAACATTTGTTACATTTCGATCAAAATTTACAAAAAAAAAAAAAAACATAGATCCAAAATAAGTCAAATTGCAATTGCAAATTTCACTTGCTACACACCTCTATGGTTACAACATAGAATAATTTGACCATTTCTTTTTTGTGGATTTTATTTGTGAACAGGAAATAACAAAGCTTTGCGCTTTATATGCAGATGATCAAGTGAAGCAAGATGCATGTATAAGAGAAACATAGAGATTTGGGTTTGACCATACCTCTTGAAGTAACAAGACATGATCATAGAGCAGAACAAGTGTGACGTTATAATAAGAGTGTAAGGTTCTTTACTGCTATAAATTTCTACTATTAAAATAAAAAAGAAACATAAACCAATTTAGCAATCATATACTTTTAGGAGTAAAGAATCATAAGGCATTGAAGTAAAAAAGGGAAAGGTTAAAAACCTAACCTATGACCATATATATACATCTTGAAGTAGCAAAGATTCATCTCTGAAACCCTATTTAGCAATGAGAAAGAGTAAGTGTAACTTATGACTTTACAAAACACTTTAATCAGCTTTTTAGATGGGGGAAGAAAATTTGAAGCTATAGAGTAACACATACCTTAAAACAAATTGATGATTTCACTCTAAACAGCTTTAGCATCAAGATCTTTCAACTTCTAAACGATCTTCTCACCTTCTTCTTTAGACAATCCAATATTAGTATTTATAATATTATTTAATACTTTTAATTTGTTAAATAAATAAACACATTGGGTTATCAGTTATTGTTTGTATGTAAGTTATGGTTTGGTTTGGGTTGGTTTAACTTTGGTTGGTTTGGTTTGGTTAGGTTAAAATGTCTATCCCTAATAATATTGATCCGATCTAATTTGAAAATTGAATTATTTTAAAGTTAAAATTTTTTCATAGTGTTCGGGTTTTAAGAAACAAAAATACACAAAACAAAATCAGCGTAACTAATTATTGTGATCTAATAGTAAAAAAAAAATTAAAAACAAAAGACATATTAAATATTAAAGTATGATTCAAATTATGCTTGTGTACCACAAATAATTTTAACAGGAAGAATCTAAGGTTTTTGAAGTATAATAATCGCTGAAAAGTATTTACATATATCACAATATTAAAACAATCTAACATTTGTAAAAAGTTAAACATACTAAAACCATAAAACAAAAATAAACAACTACAAAGATGAACTAAATATTTTAATACTTTAACATAAATATTTATATAACGATATCCGAAAAAACTTTTAATTTTTTACCATAAATATATATATGAAAACAAAATTAATTTACAAAATCTACATGCGGAATAAACCACTTGTTAAATTCACTTCATTCATGTGGCTCTCTAAAACCTATTTGATGTCACACAACTTTTTTAAAATATATTTTTTTTTAGAAATATTGAATTATGAAACAAATGAGAAATATATGTGTCATTATCCTAAATTTTAAAATAATTGTGTGTATTATTTGTTTAATTTGATTGATTGTCTTTTTAAAGAATTTGTTTTTTTTAATAAAATGCTGATGTGGCAAGCTGGAGAGATGATGTGGCAAGTTGGAGAGCTGATGTGTATTAATTGAAATGTTTTGATTGGTTTAAAATTTTAATGATGTGTCACTCCCAGAACAGCTCAAAAAGCTGATGTGTCATCGCTGGAGAGACTCTTATTGTTTTTATTGTATTGATTCATCGATTGAGAAATTGATATTTGTATTTTGGTTCATAAAATTCGACTTACAAACAGTCGATTTTTTTTTTTAAGTTTCTTGTTTAAGTTGTGAATCTTTTATTTTTTTCTCATGAGTTTGTTTTAGCTTAAAAAAAAACAATTTTGCTTTGCTATGTTTCTGGCAGAACAAGTGGGCTTGTGATTCTCCATAGCCCATTTTTATCTACTTTTGGCCCATCATTGTTTATTCTCTCTATTCCAAAAGTCAAAACGATTAGAAAGTACAAAGACAAAATAAGGATCAACAGAGACAGAAACCATCATAAATCCAAACTTAAAATAAATAAGGATTAACAAACACATAAAAAACCATTCATCACTCTATGACTTCAAATCAATCTGGACTAGACTAAACACAATTGTTCTATAACAAGCAATAGTCTAAAGATTTACATGGCATAATCAAACCAATGATCTCTGTTACAAATACTGAAACTCTTCAAACCATTTGTACTTTAAGTGAACATAAACCATTTAGCTTTTGATGCTTTAGTTCCTCCATATACAGTTAGTTACAGCCTTTGAGATCTTTAGGTAGGTTTTGATGCTTGGGACAAAGCTTGAAAAACACTTTGTTGAGTCATATCCTCAACAATCACAACTTTATCTCGAGACTTAGAACCCGAACCGAGTGAGACTTGTCTTCTTTTCACCCCCAATACCTGTTAAAGATAACATTTAACAAGTGATGATGTGATGAGAAAGATTCACATCTTAACTCTCAAAATCAGTAGCAAACAATTCTCACTACCTAACACAGCACATAAACCATTGCAATCCAAATCAGGGCAAGAACTATGTTACATGTATCCTAATAAAGATCTTTCAAGTTAAGGTTGATTTCTGATGGAAGCTCACAAGTGCAGATTCTTTTATGACTGATGGCTCAACAAGAAGTGAGATATACAATGCTCATAATCTATCAAAGAATGGTCTTTTATCCGTAATATGTAACAAAAAGACAAGCCCTAATCAATTTCATCAAAGATTACAGAGACACAATTCTACATCACATTATCAAACAGCTTCAAAGAACTTGAAAGGTGAAAACTTTATCTGAGAAACAGAAAATTTACAGAGCTAATGTATTCGAGAAGAGCAGCGTTAGCTTCACCATCTCTAGCCGGAGCGTCGATTTGAACGCCGACCGCTTCGTCGCTCACATCTCCAGATCATAGAGAGGAAACCAAATCAGTAAAAAACCGAGACTTTACACAAAATCAAACCGAGGAATGAAAGAGTTGATATACCAGTGATGGAGGCGGCTTTGGAACCTGGCTTCGCATGGATGGTGATGGCGACGGAGGAAGGTGTAAGGAGACGCAAACACGCCGGAAAGATCGAAGATTCTGTGACCGTCGTTGATTCGGCCGCCGATTTGGTCTTCTTTCCTTTCTTCGTCGGAGCCATTTTACTTTTCTTAACGGGTCGACGAATCTTGGGTTTATATGTTATAAATGGGCCCTTTTGGGCCTTTTTGCGTTTGATTTGGGTTTTGGAATGAAAAAGTGAACAATTCTTAAGATTAACGTTCTCTCTCTTACCGCTTTTGAGGTAATAATGTTGTTAAAACAGTAAGTAGCAATTATGATTTATGAACCAAGCAAGGAGTAAGTAGGGAGAAGGAGAAGTGGCTGATTAGAATGACCAACCGACGTGATCAAAGCACATGGTAGAAATGACCGGACTAGTGATGAAGCATTGATCCATTGCCTTTTCATCATTAGTAAAATACCTTGATGCTCTCTCTCTCTCCTCTTGAAATAAGATAGGAGCTAGGGACTCCAGTTACACGAGCAATTTCAACAGTATTGTATATACACATCAGTTTTTCAAGAAGCCTCTGTGGGAGGTATGCATCCTGTAACAGAAAATACGAATGCAATTTGAGGTTTTATCTTTTTATAAGATTCTAATACTGGACTAGAAACAGAGAAAAGGAACAGTTGAAACCAAATAGAAACAGAACAATTACTGCAAGAAAGAAGTGACCAATAGAACAAAATCAAAATTCTGAGAAGCCATGGTGTAAACTATATCTTCTACACTCAAATGGTTAGACTTGTGACAACAGGCAATTGGCCTTTTAGCTTAGGCAATGTCTAACAAACAAGCAAATCAATGTGACAGGACAGAAGCAACAATACACCAGCATAAGACCAAAAGGTCCAAAACAGGTACCTTCAAACAATAAATCGCAAGACGCTTCCTTGTTTCAGCATTCCCATTCTGAAGATCGGTTATTATAGAATGGTGGACATTCTATTTCTGAAAAAAGAAAGTCAGGTTAAAAAGAGCCTGAAAATAGAGTTTATACAAAAGGAACCCGCAAGAAACACCACCGCTAATATCAACCAATAACATATCAAATGAAGTGTTCAATAAAAATTTAAGCAGAAAACTCGTTTCACCTGCTTGGAAAGAAAGTGTGCTGAGACAGAATTCAGTGATATGAACTTAATTTTTGATCTCACTTAGCATTGCCTAAAAATATAAAAGAAGAAGAAGGTTGATGGTTTTGCAATTAATTTGAAAATAAAGCATCTAATATAATGATGACTTCAACAATATTTACACAGGTTAGGGACAAAAAAAACCTGTAAAAGGTCAAACTGAAGTCTTCCGTTAATTGTAGCCACTTTTCTTTCCCTTGTTCCATGTTGTCTGAAACAAGACGACTCAATATTATTAGATGTATCCCAATACTGATGAATAATACAATCAATTAACTACCAGATCCGCAAATCTGAAAACAAAAAAAAAAGCAACATAATTTAGATATGAGCCACCACTTCTATGGATATAATGGAAACATAATTTTCAAGATACCTTGAAGAAAATGTTGTGTCCTTGAACCAAACCCTACTGTTCTTTATACGGCCAAGAAATGGAAAATCTTCTATTCCCAGTGTCGCAGCTCTCTGAGAATCAGAAACATATTTGCTAGGGTTAAATGTCAGTCTAGCTCAGCTGAAATACAAATACAAATACTAAATTATATACATGGATACAGGCACGAGATTATATACAAGGATTCAACAAAAGTATTACGAAGATGATACGATTCATAGAAATAAGAAGATGAGGTGGCAGTGGAGTTGGCACATGTAGATGAGCCAGCAAAGAGGAATGAAGACTCTGGATAAGCCAGAGGCTTTGCTGTTACAGAGTCGTCTTCTTTATATAGCGACTGTGATCCATATCGGAGGTTTATGCTTTTATGTTGTGAGATTTCTCGACTGTGATCCATATCTATGTTGATCTAAGTATAGCGATTCTTATCTTCTCTTTGTGTTACAATCCTTGTATTCACTTCTATCATTTTGATCAAGAGTTTGCAGAGAGTATTAAGGTATCTCAAACCTTAACAGAAGACTTCTTCTTTTTACCTCAAGGACAAAGCAATCATAGCCTCAAGAACTTGTGGTTGTAGAAATCATCGAAAGAGAGACGAGTAACTGCAGAAAATGGTAACCAAGAACTGAATATATATAGCGATATGTGTACACAGTGTAGCCGCAAACGGATGATATTTTTCTGTACCTGGGTTAATAGAAAGCAATCTTGAACAGACGTCGATGCAATCAGGATGCATCTGTTGAAGAATCAGCCGAGAGAAGGGAAGAGATGTACTAGATTTGATGTTCCTTAGAACCTATGGTTAGTGGTAAAAGGTTTAAGTTTATGGCATTGGAGCTTTTTTAATCAAAGAATACTAATAACTAATTCAAGATCTCACCTGAACATTGTTATTACCACGGAATGGTGGATACCCGTGAAGTAGCTCGAAAAGGATTGCTCCTACACTCCACATATCAGCCTGCAATGTCTTTCAGTGAATTTCAACTGCAAAACCTAATCATTCAATGGAGCATAAATCTCATAAAACACTGTCACCTTTTCATTGTATCTCTGAAACTGAAGAACTTCAGGAGCCATGTAAAAAGGAGAACCACACACCGTCTCGAGATACTTTCCCGGAAGTAGTTTTCTGCTTTCGACATATACACCTCAAATGCTATAAATAAGCATTATTTTCTCCTCAAACTTTTAAAATTTTTACCTTGCCAGACTAAAATCAGCAATCTTCAACACCAAATCATCACCAGATCCAACAAGTAAAATATTCTGTTCCAATCAAATACTATTGTCACAATTCACAATCAAACTTGAATTCAGATAATCTATAAATCTAGTAGTACCTCAGGTTTCAAGTCTCTATGGATGATGTGATTATCATGAATAATTTCCAAACCAGCTCCTTCATCAAAACATTGATCACTCTGTTAAATCCAGAAATAGCAAAAAACATAAACCTGAAATTTACCAATTTGCTTCATAAATCTCTTGGCAATATCTTCTTGAACTCTACCATAACGTTGAATATACGATGATAAAGTTCCTCCATCACAATATTCCAAAACCATAACGAGAAAATCCTCATCCTTCAAAAAAACACACAAAATTTTGAAAAATTGAAGAAAACAAATTCACATATTGAAAAACTCAGATTTGTGTTAGTACTTGAAAAACATGGAGGAGACGAATGATATTGGGATGATCAACGGAAGATAGAAACTCGAGTTCGTTGTTTAAACAGGTTCGGAGATTGCGATTGAGCTTCGAGAGATTGAAACACTTCATCACAGCTTCTTCTCCGGTTAACTTGTGCTTCGCTAACCAAACTGTTGACGTTGAACTCTCACTGAGCTTCGATTTCGCTGTGTAATCCTCCAGCATCATGATTGGGGTTTCCAGAGATTATCTTATTCAAGCAAAGAAAGATAAATTTTCCATTGTTTCAAACAAAAATGAAAAAATGGTGAAAAGAAGCTGTTAGATCCTCTTGCGTCAGCTTCTCGTAAATGGATAATGTTAGTGTTACGACGTCGTTTGATTAAGTCCCGGTTCATACCAAAATTTTCTAAACCGATAGGTGACTGTACTAGCTAAACCGATACTGTGGATTATAGTCTTTTTTTTTTTGGAGAATATGCATAGAATAGCCAAATTCTAGAAGGAAATTAAGAAAATAACCATGGGTGACTGTAGTACTCTCTCTCTTCTATGGCAATTACAAATATGCCCATATCATTTCCTATCTCTTTTTTTTCTAAATCACCATCACCACCATATATATAACTTCCATTATTTATCCATTGTCGCCACTAATGTGATCACCACCACCACAACTTCCTCTACTATCAGGTCCTCTAGAAACTTCACCGTCAATGATATCAACACCAACACCACCATCACTATTGTCCTTTATTCTTTCCTCACATATCCACTCACTATCTCATCGAATTTCATGCCGTCAATATCTCTCTGGAGATAAATTTATACCGCCCATCTCTCTGCAGATTTCTAGGTTCATACTGTCTCGAACAGCCAAAAATCTTCATTTTTATCTCGTTGGATCTCAATCTTTCTTGGAATCTCCGTCGTTATTTTTTTTTGTAACACAAATATTTTTTGTATTACACGTTATTTATTAAGATCATATGTGAGTTTTTCCAAAAACATGATTTTAATGTTAAAAATACGTTTTTTTTTTAAATGACACATCTTTTTTTTCAATATAACATGATATTTTTATTAAATGACATGTTTTTTCACAAATAACAATATGATGTTGCATCTTTTCAAATGTATATTATAAAATACAACGTTATTTTAATAAATATCGTGCTATTTTAACATGTTTCACGCGATTTGTTCAAATACCTCTAATCTATTATTTTTTCTCCGCAAAAACTTGTTCTTGATTCAACTTGTAGGGATATTTTTGTCTTTTACTGTGCCGTCATATGGTTAGTTTCCCATATAAAAACTGACAATGGTTAGTTACTTAATTTTGACTCAGAATTTGGCTATTTTGTAATATTACCCTTTTTTTTGGGTCGTCTGTGGATTATAGTCTTATATATAGATACAAAAAAAAAAAAACATAAAACTATTGAATTTTATGAATTTTAAGAGGTATACACTTTATGTATAATCTCTTTCCGTGTAGGTGTGACTCGTTAAAGGAGGCATCAATGTCTGTAAAGAGTTTCGAATTAGTGAAAGTTTTTTTTTTGTTTGTTTAACGTATGAGTATGATGAATAGGCCGACTTCCCATAGCTACAATGAACTTTATAGCTCATAAATTTTCTTATATGTTGAAGAATATATGTTTTTGCTCTCATTTACTAACTGCAAGAGATTTATTTCTTCATGTTATGCAATAAAACTTTAAATGAATGTTTTTGAAATCACTTAAAAACGAAAAAAAGAAGTCAAAAAGACATCAAACTAACCAAAGTAAATTTTATACGATTTTATCTACTTTTAGCTTTTTTTATAAAACTGATAAACTATAAACGAAGCCAACCAAACTTTACTTAATATAATTACATACTTTTTGTAAGGTAAAAGATTTTATAGAACATAATAGCTGTAAAAACCGAACAAAATTCTAAACTGAAAAAAGTGTCTATCGTACACCGAACTGTTGATTCTAAAATCCTAAATCACAAATCTAAAACTAAATTTCAATCGAATATTAGAATATGAATCTATAAAACCCTAGCCGAGATTTAATTTTATAATCCCCTACGAATTCTCCATTTTCATGGTAGACTTCCTATCTCCACTAAATTTACAATCCAACTTTGTGAACATATCAAACTTGAAGTACCTTTAACTTTACTTTAGTGATTTGAGTTCAAGAACGACGCTTAGTCTGATCCCTGTTTGATTATGTGATTTATGCTTTCATAAATCCCTTCGAATTCCATGTGCCCAATGCTTTTTATATATTGAATTCTTGTTTATTGCTTTCTCTATTTATTTTCTTAATCTAGGAAAAATTCAACAATATCTATTTTATTGTCTTACCTCTACTTTCATCTTTAAAACCCATATTGTAACTTTGATCCTTGTGGATTCGATCCTAAAGTGTTACATATATTGACATATCGTTCGTTCGTGGTAGTGTGCACATTAGTTTTTAGTTGACCTTTGATCATAAACCAATAAATACAAAGCGAAGACGATTAAACCTTGCCAAATCAAATTACATGTTGTTTTTGTATGGTAAAAGTTTTAAGTAAACAAAACAACTATAAAACCAAATAAGAAAAGTTAGCAGATGATAAAATATAGCAGGCAACAATATAGAGCTTGTGATGTTGTGGAGTATTATCTATCTCACTGTGGTTAAAAAATGCAATGGTTTCTCGATCAGGTAGCGTTGGATCCGATAGTGTTTCAGGGTGATACTAGATCGAACCATTGCATTTGGTCCAATTCTATCGAGGTGAATGTCATGTACCTTGAATGTGAATGTAATCCTTTGGATAATGAATAGTTGAAGTTGAGCCAAAAAAAAAAAAAATATATAGCTTGTGATAGAATTAGATCAAAATATACATGATGGTAATGTAGCAGACGACAAAAAAAAAAAAAAGGTTTTCTGAGTTTTGAATAATTTAAATTTATTTGGTATACCTTCAACTCCACTGAATCAAAAAAACTTACCCGGAAGTTATAAATTAAACTAGAAAATTTTCGAGCCAAGCAGTAGAGAAAATCTACACATTGCTCCACAGTGGTTTTTTTTTTGGAAATTTGCGTTGTTATTATTTAATACATATATATATATATATATATATATACACCTCGCTTATGAAAGAAAAATCCATAAATCGAAGCATCGAAAAAGAATACACAAAGATATGTGATGGGTCGCATCTCGCTATTTTAAGACCTTTTAGTTGAGTTTTAATGAACTTTTTGTGTTCGACATGTTTTCATGTTTTGAGTTTTATATCATTTTATAACTAGTTTATAACTAGGATTTGATTTTTTTTCTTCAAAACTGAATATTTTTTTTATAAATAAGATTTAATCGAGATTCAATAAAGCATACGACAAAAAATATGAATATATTTGGTATATCTTCATCTCTAATAAATCAGGAAACCCTAATCGGAAGTAATAAACTAGAAATCTCTAAGGCAAGCACTAGAAAAAACCTACACATTGCATTGTTGGTTTTTTTATAGAATTTTGTTGTTGTTATTATTCAATATGTAGCTCGTTTATTAAAGAGACATAAATAAATAAAAATCATAAAACAATTATACATAAATATATGCGATGGATCGTACTCGCTAGTTTTAAACCTATAGTTAAATATTAAATGGACTCTATCGCATCTCGCTACTTTTAGACCTTTAGTTAAATATTTAATGGACTCTACGTGTTCGACATGTTTTCGTATTTTGAGTTTTATACCCTTCTATAACTAGGGTTTGATTTTGTGTTTCTTCAACATCAAATATTATATCTTATAAATAAAATTTAATCGAGCTTCAGTACAACAGGCGACGAATAAAAGTATTTATGAGTTTTGAATAATGTAAAGTTCTTCGATATACCTTCATCTCCATTGAATCATGAAACCCAATCGGAAGTTATAAATTAGACAATCTCTGAGGTATGTACTAGAGAAAATCTACAGATTGCTCCATTGTGGGTTCTTTTTGGACATTTGCATTGTTATTATTCAATATATTGCTTGCTTATTAAAGAGAAATCTATAAATCGAAACATTGTAAAAATTTATAGAAAGATATGTGATGGAGCGCATCTCGCTTTTTTTAAGAACTTTTAGTTGATTATTTAATGAACTGTACGTGTTCGACATGTTTTCGTGTTCTTAGTTTTATTTCCTTTTATAACTAGGGTTTGATTTTTTTTCTTTTCAAAATCAAATATTATTCGTAATAAAGAATATTTAATCGAGCTTCAATATAGCATACGATAAAGAAAAAGGTATATTTACATTACTCAAAACTCACAAAAGCTGATAACAACATGGGCAAGATAAATGGATTTCTCCTCAAATATACTTTTCAGAGCACGATCCTCTCCATTTGGAGAGAAAGGAATGATAGACGACATGGAGAACAACCTTCCACGACGAAGAAGCTTGTTAAATTCATTGATAAAAACGTTTGAAACCGGATGAGCTCAATCGCAAGAGGAGACTCAACATTAATTTGAGGGTGGCATCCAAACTTGGATTGAAATGCGACAAGTTTAAGGATAGATTGCTTTTTAGAAGTTAAGAAAAATTTTCACTAAGATGTATAAACGTTTATTTTTTTTTAATATAATTTAAAATTAGATTCAAAATATATATATATATATATATATATATATATTGTCTCGTTAACCATTGGTTTCCAAACCAAGACGAAGTTTTTGATTTACAAAAACAGCTATTTATTCAAAATTTTGCTTTAAATATCAAATAAAATATCACATGTAAGTTGTTTGCATTTTTTGCATTCTTACACAATATAAGAGAAACTTATTAATTTTATGTTTTTTTAACACCAAACTTATTGTTTTTTGTCATAACTCATTCTTGATTAATATTGGTGGACATTTGTATGATTAGTTACTAGCTATATATACGAAGTGCATAGTATAAGTTTTTTTTTATAAGTAGTGCATAGTATACTTTCATTTCAATACATGCATTAAGATTGAGTACATGAATTACATGATATATTGATAGGCATCCTGCATCCATGAATCTTGTATGAACTAAATCTATTACATGAATGATAAAAAATCCACAAATTCATTATAATTATAAAAAACACTAGATATCATTTCCATCTTAATATTTAAAATTAGACTACATAATTCAAATTCAACTAAAGTTGAAAAACATGCTCAACGAGGTGAGAAAAATCTGAATGTAAAAGTACATTTGTTGTCTTTGGTTCATCCATTGTAAAAACAAATGCGTCATAGGTGCTATTGATTCATATCACATCAAAGTCGTCAAACAAGGGGATGTTCATCTACATGTCTCTATGACAGAAACAACAACAAAGCGAATTGGCTCTGAATCCTCTGATAGGAAGAAAAACACAATGGTAAGAGAAAAAAGTTGGTAACGATGTTCTAGCTACAGTATTTTTGAGTCTTGATGACTTGTCTCGTGTATATCTAGTCTTCACCACCGTCGTTTAGCTTTGTTGTTGTGTTTGCCCCATAGACAAGTAACAAACAGCCCCCACAAATCTCTCTAGCTCATTTAGACAATATAAAACATTTTCTTAATATTTAAAACTTGTGGAAAGAAATATTTTTGTAAATGGTCCATAAGAAAATGTTAGTTTCAGTGATCGTTTAAGAAAAGTCTTAGTTTTTGGAACTAAATCCCCATAAGTTAATTAGAAATGGTTGTTTACTGTCAAGTATTTATTATAAAACTCTTAAATTGGTTTACATATTCTGGATTTCTTTCATTTTCTATATAATGTACAGTTAATTAAGAAAAGAAATCTATAGCATAAAAATCATATATATGGAAAGGGGAAAATTCAATAGCATTTTTTTCTTTTTCTAATAAAATTGATTAGTTGGTTCGACAAGTACCAGTTGTATCCTATTTTTTTTGTAACTATATTTCCTTATTTTTGTATTTTCTCATAATTTGTAGTATGTACACCTGTTGAATAATAACTAGTCTCACAGCTTAATTTCGACACTTGTCGATACTTGATGATAAGAACAACTGGTTTTGGACTATAAAATGCATCCAAATTTCTTGTAATAAGACATAAACAACTTCAACTTACACATAATCTCTCACTTTTAAATCAATCTCTCTCTACAAAATCAATTTTAATGTTGGTGGGAAAGATAAGTGGATATGAAGATAACACTCGCTCTTTGGAGCGAGAAACATCTGAAATCACTTCTCTTCTCAGCCAATTTCCGGGGAATACTAATGTTCTTGTTGTTGACACCAATTTCACCACTCTACTCAATATGAAACAAATCATGAAACAATACGCCTATCAAGGTAAGTCACTCTCTCTCTCTCTCTCTCTCTCTCACTCTCTCTCTCTAATTTTAAGGATTTAGAGAGCTGGTACTTGTTAGGGTTAGGGTTTATGACTTTTTTCTTCTCTTTTGTGTTTTAGTGACTATTGAGACAGATGCAGAAAAAGCTCTTGCGTTTTTGACAAGCTGCAAACATGAAATTAATCTTGTGATTTGGGATTTTCATATGCCTGGAATTGATGGACTTCAAGCTCTCAAGAGCATTGGTTCAAAGATGGATTTACCTGTAGTGAGTATGTAAATCTCAAACTCTCATTTTTAATTTTAAAACTAAATCAAACCAAAGTTGTATTTTTAATTTAAAGAAAAGTAACACTCTATTTCATATTTGTGTAGTTATGTCTGATGATAATCAAACGGAATCGGTGATGAAAGCAACAGTATATGGTGCTTGTGACTATGTTGTGAAACCGGTTAAAGAAGAGGTAATAGCCAATATATGGCAACACATTGTACGGAAGATGCTGATGTCTAAACCCGATGTGGTTCCACCGGTTCAATCAGATCTGGGTCAGTCTGTTGGTTTAGGCCAAGACAAAGCTGATTTCAAGATCGTAGACGAAGAACCAAACATCAATGAGAAACAGCTGATCACAAGGACCGAAGATATTCAACCGGTTCAAGTCGACGAGGTAGGCCAACTCAATGACTATTCCAAAATCATGAACCAAGATAACATGTTCAACAAAGCAGCAACGAAACCGCGAATGCCATGGACCGAAGTAATTCAACCGGTTCAATCAGATCTGGTTCAAGCTAATGAATTCGGCCAACTCAATGACTATTCCCAAATCATGAACCAAGATAACATGTTCAACAAAGCAGCAAAGAAACCAAGACTGACATGGACCGATGTATTTCAACCGGTTCAATCATATCTGGTTCAGGCTGACGGTTTAGACCGAGACTACCTTGATTCCATAACCATAAACGGAGGTGACGGCAGACAAAACATGGAAAAGAAAGAAGCAAAAAAGCCTCGCAAGCCGCGGATGACATGGACCGAAGATCTTCACCAAAAATTTCTGGAAGCCATCGAAATCGTTGGTGGCATCGAAAGTAATCAAACTTTTCTTAATCTCTAGCTAGTCTTTCAATTTCTTGATTGTTATCTTTTTATTTGGTTCTAATCTTGTTTGGATTTCAAAATGCAGAAGCTAATCCAAAGGTACTTCTCGAGTGCTTGCTAGAAATGAAGGTAGAAGGAATTACTAGAAGCAATGTGGCCAGTCATCTTCAGGTAAAGAAAAAAAAACACACTAAATATTGTTTCTTTCATGACAAGTAAACCATTGAATTAGGGTTTTTTCACATACCAATAATACAAATTCCAATTTGTGTTGTTGTGCAGAAACACCGTATCAATCTTGAAGAAAACCAAATTCCTGAAGAAACAGAAGAGAATGGTTGGTCCACTGCGTATAATAGACCAGCTCCTTCTCTCCAAGGTTCAGAGAATGTCAACACAACAATACCATCGTACCTAATGAATGGACAAGCAGTGAACCAGATCCAGCCGAATCAATATCAAAATGGTTACTTGACAATGAACAACAACCAGTTCATAACCAATCCTCTGCCTCCTTTGCCCTATATTGACCATCAGATTCTCCACCAGCATCAACAACAGCAATATCAGTCTCCTCCTCAACTTAATTACCTGATGAGCAATGAAGAACTTCATCAAGCCTCTGGCCTCTCTGCAACGGATCTTGAACTCACTTATCCAAGTTTACCATATGATCCACAAGAGTACCAAATCAAGGGCTACAATTATAATTAGTCATAGAGTACTCTCTTACTTAAGGCAGTCTATGTAGGAGATTCTTTGGTTCTAGGGACATTCGAGGCTGTGAGACATAATATGCGACTTCTTTTGTGAGTCACAATATTTTGTCATTAATCTTTCATGTTAACTCATTATATATCCCCATTTCTCCTTTTCTAATAAATATTTTTTTATGGATTTATATTGTTATTAACAAGAAACTGGATTCTAATTTATAATCCACGAATTCCTAATTCACGGGAGTTATTTATAAATTTATAAAAATTGAGCACTTTGCTAAAGACATCTACATGATATAACATATATGCAAAAAAAAAAAATGGTATTTTGGCTATTTGTTGGAATGTGAAATTTATTTATCAACAAAATAAAAGTTCTTTATAACAAGTACATAAAAAGCATAAACAAAATGGTCTTAGAGTCTAGAGACTAGAGAAGATTACATAACTTTCTCAAAAGAGAAAAACTCCCACAAGAGAAATTTAGGGAGTGTATTGAATCTGTATTTCGAATGATTTGAGTTTTAATGAGTTTTTATATGATTTGATGATTTTAAAGAAGTTGTTATGATTTATTATAAAATTCTTTCAAATCTCATCTAAAACCATGAGATTTGGGTTTTTGAATTTTTAACTAAGGAAATTCTAAGAAATCCTTTTAAATACTTTAAAATCATTAAAGACCAAATTCTCAATACGTTTTCAATAACAGTGGATTTCAAAGTGAATTTTCAAAACATTAGTTCAATAACATTGGATTTCATTAGACTTTTTAAAATCCATGATTGAATAACATATGATCTGTTAATTTTATACAAACCACTTAAAAGGTTAATTAGATTGAATATACCCTCCTTAATACAATCCAGAAGAAACGGATTTGGGATTTGATCATGTCCTTAATTATTCAAAACATTTGCAGTTTTAAAGCCAATACTATATAACTGAATCATGTTCTTCGATTATACGTTTTGTTTTTTTTAATTGATTCAACACATCTCCACCCTAAAATTTAGCTACATAATGAGATATCGTTGGTACCAACGTTGTGTTGGCCCAGTGGTAAATCTCCCAGGTGGAGGTACTGGGTTCGACGCCCGTTGGGAGGGATCTCTTCTCCAAAGGAGATGAATTTAACCTGGTGTGGGTTCCGCCTCTGGGAGATGTAGGGTCTTCGGGCTTGAACTTCCAGATATTCAAAAAAAAAAAAAAAAAAATGAGATATCGTTGTTGTAGTATTTGCTCACTTTAATACGAGCAAATGTTGCTAAGCTTGAGGAAGAGTGATGCACAAGGATCGTTGATAATACTAGATTTCCTGTTGATTCCTCAAATACCCGTAAAAGTAGTTTTTTTTTTCTTTATCTTCTGATTGTCGAAACATCGGGACGAATGCCAAAAATGACAGATTTTAATTTTGAAGTAGAATTTTTAGTCATATGTGAAGATTTTAATATGACTAAAAAAGGTAAAGAACTGGTTGGAACACTCTAAACACTAGCTTGCATAAAAAAGGTTGTTTTTGAGCTTACGATAATAATGAGATGTTAAAAGAAAAAAATAGCACAAATCATGTTCTTGGTACGTACAAGAAGAAATAGAAAGAGATAGGCGTATTACTCTTGAGCACTAATGCACTATACAAACATGACCAATTCTGAAATTAATTTTTAATTAAGATCGTATTCAAAAAAAAAAAAAATAAGTTCTGCTTTATATAATATATGAAATTATATCTGAAGCTTATAACATGAAACAAAAAGTGAGTTAAAGAAAAAAAATAACTCATATTCATAACCAAAAAAAGCAAAAAGAGAAAAAAAAAAAAAAAAAAAAAAAAGGACATGATAATGTGATTATATAATATAGAGAAGAAATTTGGGGTGAAAGATATTAGAAAAAGAACATTATATTTCTCACCACAAAATCTTTCTCTTTGTTATATAATCATTATGATGATGTCCTTTTTACAAAGTGCCTAAAGAAAAAGTGGAGATTTATACAAATATTTTATATGACAATGCATGTAGTAGGGCAGTCGTGTGTACATAATTAATCTCGGTGAAAGCTCAAGAAAAGTATAATGAAAACTTTAAATTTAGGATCAAATTAATCCCGACAAAACTAAAGCATTAAAACTCTCTTGTTTCGTTATATTATAAAGTTATTTCATTTGTGTGATCGTGTGACTATGTTTGAGCAAAAATACATGAGAGAAGTTAACGGTTCTTGTAACCTTGTTTCGAAAAAGACATAAGGATTTACAAATTGGTAAGGTTGTGAATTTTATGGAAACGGCAGAGTCGTCATGATGACAAAAGAAACTAAAAAATATGTAGAAAGAATTTTTGTTTCTTCTAAAAGTTAAAAGGGTAATTAGAAGATCTAAAAGTTATAGGGTAATTAGAAGATTTAAGAAATGAGGAAATCTCAAAAATGAAATAAGAAGAAAAACTTCTTAGAATAAACAATGAAAATCCAAAAAACGAAAAATTTCAAATCTTGAATATATAAAACAAGGAAAACAAGATCAACAAGTACGATTCTAAGTGTGTGTACATGTTCTTTTGAAAGTATTATTCAACAAGTTGATCGTTGTTTACATGTATGTATGTCAATTATAGTTCATAAGAAAAAACATGTGGTTATGTGAGATGCAAAATCTTTATGACGATTCTCGACTACGATGGTGGTAATAAATCCGAGGATTTAGCTTGTCACGGCGCATCAATAAGTTAAATATTTCTTATGGCTTTACTACATTATCACTGATTAAAAGAATTGAAAGTGCAAATTAAAAAGGAGAAAAAAAAAGAAGGATCACATACTTGTTCTCTTTTGGTGGGCTAAGTGTTGTCCACAAATTTCGTTAACACTAGCTCCAAAGTCTTTTAATCAGTAATCATTTTATATAATAAATAATTTTTAATTGAAAAAGGGTATACATACTAGCTTAGTAATCAAAATTTGGTGACAAATATAATCTTGGTTAAAAGTGAAATGCATTATTCCGACCTCCACTAAATGATATATCCCTATACTAATGATTTATATATAACTTTTCTTAAAAATTTATCCTTATACTAAAATGAATTATTCATAATTTCACAGTAATACTAACAAAAACCGAACTACAATTAAGTCTTTCTTCTGTTCCATTGTTCCACTAATTCCAAATAGTTAACTTTTAACTATATGAATATTTTTAGTCAAAGCTTCAGTATTTTTCATGTGAAAAGAGACTCACTTCCAACTTTTTTTGCAAGATTGAGCTCTAAGCAGGATTGGAACTTATAAAGAATTTCTTATTTTCTTTATCAATGATGATAAGAAAATTCGTTTCTTATCAAAAAGATTTTTTTTTTCTTTTTGTTATCAGCTTATAACGTAATGAATCAGGGAAATAAAAGAGCAAAACACTCACGAAATAAATAAAAAAAAAGAAATTCATAGATAAATTTAGAAGAATTAAACATTTAAATATAACGATCATGAAATAAATAAAAAGCTTATTAAGAAGTAATAAACATGGGACTTGGTGTTAAGGTTGGGGAAATTTAGGAGAAGAAAGCGACAAAAGTTCAAATCCAAACGTATAAATTTTATACGTTCCTCTCTTTTTGAAAGGTACAGAAGAAATAAACAAACGCCGACTAAGAACATAAAACAAATAAACAAACAACAGAACCATTTATATGCAGACATTTAGATTGTACTTGGGAATATCAAAACAGATTTTGCAAATATCACCCGTAAAGAGAACATAGTTTAGTAAACATAGAAAAAAAGTCACAAAGACCTTATGATAGATCATATAAAGTTAGGGACGATCCTCTATAAGGAAGCCTAAGTGGCTATATATACCTAAAAATGAACTTTTAAAAGCCAAAAAAATCACTAAAATTTCGTGAAAAAACAAAAAAATTTTAGGTAGATAAAAATATATTGATCTAAAATTGGCAAAATCATAATTAAAAAAGACCATTTTTCCCGTGTGGTTTTTCCAAATAGCCAAAATAATGTATAAATTGCATGTCATATTAAAAATAGCGTGTTAGAAGAAATCACTCACCACTTGAGGTTGTTTGCAAATAAAATTATAGCATACTTATTTTGTCAATTTTGATTCAAAATTTTAGAAACTCAAAAATGAAAAGGTAACTACAAGGAGCAACAAATTCAAAAATCTATTTGGTTAAGTAGCAGTAAATCAAAATAGTAGAAGGATGTAGTAATTTTTCTTATGAAGTCTCTGAATATTTATACTTTGAAAATCGAATTAAACTACGATGCAACAAATTCAAATCTATTTGGTTAAGTAGCAAACAATAGAAATAGTAAAAGGAGCTAGTCTTTATTTTGTGAAGTATCCCAAAAATTAAACTTTTAAAATCGAAATTACCACCCAACCATTCTCAAAAATTTGATCAAACTGATTGTGTTTTAAAGTAAAGTGAACTATTAAGCAACAAAACACATACACATGGAAAGAGCAAAGAAATATTAATGCTAAAGCAAAAAGACTGCTTTACACACCACATATTGTCGGCAAAGCATTAAACTGTGGGGAAGATACAACAAAATCTTCCTCCTCTTGATAAAAAAAAAAAAATCAAAAAGTAAATAATATAATCTTCAAACACTGAATAATGGAAATCAAATAAAATCCAGCTTATCAAGAATCAACACAAGACAAACATGATAAAACAAAATTTTCCAATTTAAAGTGAGACAAAAAGTAATAATTCACAATTTAATGTTGGAAAAGCGAGAGTCCCTACACAAGCATCTTGTGGCTGGAGAGGTATGGGCCAAATGGCACAATAAGCACTCAATGATTCATGAATTTGGATAAGCTTTATGGGTCCCAAATTCTCTCAATACTCACTTGAAAAATTGAAGAAAAACATACTTTCTTGAACATAATTTATTAGACTCCAATTATAATATTCTCAGTCCCCACTCAGTAATCAGTAAGCATCTCAAGCTGTATATAAGACCACATTGAATTCCCCAAGACATTAAGAAGCAATAACCAAACAAAGCCAAGCAAAGCAGAGAGAAGAGACTTTGGTTCAAAGACTAAAAAATGGCTGCAAATGAATTAGCTACTTCTTCAGCACAAGCCTTCCAAGAGCAATCCCTTGGAGGTTTTGTCTCTAGAAAGCTTCTTCTGCACAATCCATTTGACCACAACACTCAACGAGCCTTTGCAGTTGCACCATCTCCTCTCATAACCCATGAGAACAATCTCAGTGGAAATGTCCTGATGCTTCTCTCAGTCCTCATCTGTGGCATCATCTGTTGCCTCGGGTTACATTACATCATTCGTTGTGCATTCAGACGTACTTCAAGTTTCATGATCTCCGAGCCTATCTCTGGTCTTTCAACACCATGCGGTTCATCAACCAAAGGAATCAAGAAGAAAGCTCTTAGGATGTTTCCAGTTGTGAGTTACTCACCTGAGATGAACTTGCCGGGGCTTGGTGAAGAGTGTGTCATTTGTTTGTCGGATTTTGTTTCCGGTGAACAGATCAGGATGCTCCCTAAGTGCCACCATGGGTTCCATGTTCGTTGTATTGACAAATGGCTTCAACAACATTTGACTTGTCCAAAATGCAGACACTGTCTGGTTGAGACATGCCAAAAGATCTTAGGTGAAAACAGTCAAGCAGATCAAGTGGCAGCAACACCAACAGAGAGCGTAATTGTCAGGATTGCTCCTTTAGAACCTGAAGGAAGAGTAAACACTTTAAGAGAAAGCAGCTAGATGCCATGAGAGGCAGAAACCATCAAAAATCAGAATTTGTGATTTAGTTAGATAGGAGATTTTTGATATGAGCATAATTCATGTCTTCAGCTTTAGAAGGATACATCATTTTTTTTTAACTCTTTCTTTTTTGCCTGTAGCACAAAGTGTATACAGATTACAGAAAGAATATAATCTCACTTTTCCAGTAGTATTTCACGACTTCATCAAACTTCTTTTTGAGAAAGTAATTTTTTCAATGGAATGTAAACTAAATTAAGAATCATCTATAACCAGAGACTGATAAATGCTAATCATATATTCTTACTTGTCACAATCAGTACACAGAATCAAATAATCAATACACAGAACAAATGGTTTCCGATAATGAATGGCAAGGTTTGAGTGAAGCAGTGTTTAGTCTACGAGATGCAATTACGGTCCAGACTTGGTCACGTGTATTATTGATAGTGACAAATGCATGAAGTTCGTGAAGAAAAAATGCATCTATCTACTTGACTCGACCCACTTAAAACACTACTATATGCCTCAAAACCAATCCACACATGAGTCATCAAGATAGTGTATACCAGAGGATTCTTCATCGTAATGATAAAAAAAAAAACTATGATTACCAGAGGAACGTGATATGGACCCAACCCACAATAAGGAAAACCAACCGATCTTAGTTTATAGGTAAAATCAGACCTAAAAGCTAGTTTGGGGGATGCATAGTCTTGTTAGATTCTCAACCGCCAGTCAAGTGATAAACCCATCCTATGGGATAGCCTTGACACGGTGTACTATCGAAAATTTAGAGTTGATCTGTAGATACCATCCTAGTTGAGAGGATCCATACCCCCATAGGTAACATACAGAACATCTAAGTGAGATTAAATATCCAATTGTTGTCATCACAGCGTCTCCTACTCCACTCTGGCGGTTGATGCCTCAAAATTTACTTACCCTGCATCTAAGCAAATTGGTATATCAGATTGTAGTACATGTTCTGTTAAGATTTAGTATACTCAAATCAATCTATACTTTTCTCCGAAACAGGTGCACATCGTGGGTATGCAAACTCCCTTGTGCAATATATTTTCATGATAGCTGAACCGAGAAAAGGCTAAGCCTAACGATACAGATCTACACACTGCTATCTCGTAGTATGAAAACAGAAACAAAACTACAAACTTAGCTTACTTTAATTCCATCTCTATGATAATAAATAAATTCGTGCAAACATAAAAGAATACATAGAGTGATCAACATTATATACCACTAGATATCTTAATCATTTTCATATATCCTCAAGATATCAAAGTCCTATAACTGAGTGATTCCACAACCCATTGTAAGAAAATCTAATAATAACTGATTTAGTTTAGGACCACATGTTCTAACTACGAGATTTTGGAGATCCTGTAATATAAAAGGGAGCAACATGTCATAAACAAGGTTATCAAAACAAAAGACATGCCATAAACAATGATTGTTCAAATAAGGCTTAAGATCCTCGGCATTTCTGATTGGATGAGATACAAATAAAGTGTTGAAAAGTTCAATTAATAAGCAATACTCAACTTAAAAAAGAAGGAATTTAATAGAGATCGAGGCCGTGCACAAAAAAGAAGGGTTATTGGTTAATAATAGAAGACTGGTTAACAGGTAACATTTGTCCATTAAGTATCTGAGGGATATCAGATCATATCCAATAATATGCCATTGAGTGTGTAAAAACTGCTATAAAAGTATTTTTTAAGTACAACTTTATCCATGATAAATTGCGGTTTTAGCTTAAGTAATGCCCTTACTAATACAGCTAATAGTCTATAATTGTTCAACTCTCTCAGCAATTGAGGCTTTCTAGAAATCTGCCATAAATTTACTACTGGAACAACCACATGACATCAGTACAATTACCATATTAGTATAGCAAAGACATTAAAGGTGTTCAAATTTCTGCTACAAGTTAAATTCCCATTGCAATTATTATAATGTTCTTTTGCTGGGTGGAACTATCTACTCTAATATTAACAGAGTTAAAAGTAAAACAGTGTAAACACAGAAGCAATAGAGGACATTGATAGCTTCGGAAGATAATGTTTAAAAATACTATCTTAGTGCTTTAAGAAAATCCTAGCCACTTGTTGGACTAAAGACCTCAATCAATATGATTAGATTCATGTCTACACTTTTTGTAATATAATACATATAGTAGCTATAATTCACAACTATGCCAATAATATATTCGAGAAAGTTTTGCGACATACCGTTATAAAGCAAAAGAACTGTACACAATAGTCTGTGCCTATTCATCCCCAAAATGAAATTCCCTACATTGTCAAAACAGAAAAAAAGATATTTAGAAACAAATAGATATTTACTTAAAAGTTCACCAAAAGATGAACACTGAGCAATGGCACTAAAGAATACGTTCCACCAAAGAAAGTCAATAGATTGGCAAAAAAAAAAAAAAAAAAAGAAAGAAAGTCAATAATGGTACATAGATGATTTTTTTTTTTTTTTTTGTGCACCATGGTACATAGATGATTAAGAGACAGGATTAAAGCTCTGTGTTTCAGTATTTCAACTTTCTAGCCAAAGTGTAATGTTCCTGAAACTTTTCTCAGCATTAAAACCCATTGGGTCCAAACCATTTGTACATCATGAATGCATCGAGCAAAACTCTTACTTGAGTATTCTCACCAAGTCGCGTTATTTCACCTCAACAGAACCATTTATATGCAGACATGTAGCTACTTGGGAATATCAAAATAGATTTTGCTAATATGATCCAAACTTAAAACATATTATAATGAACATAAAAGAAAAGCCTTCTTATCAAGAATCAACACAAGACAAACATGATTAAACAAAGTTTTTTAGTATAAAGTGACACAAAAAAAGAAATAATTCAAAATTTAGTGTCCCGACACAAGCATCTTGTGGTTAGAGGGGGTATGGGCAAACGACACATTCAGCACTCAAGAATTCATGGAATTGGATAAGCTCTTTCTGGGTCCCAACTCTCATTTGAAAAAGAAAACCACTTTCTTAAACAAAAACTATTTACTCTCCAATTATAAAATTCTCTCAGTCCTCACTAAGTAATCAGCAAGCATCTCAAGCTATATATAAGACCACTTTGAATTCCCCAAAACTTAAGTAATAACCAAACAAAACCAAGCGAAGCTGAGAGAGCAGACTTTGATTTGAAGCTTTTTCAAAGAGTAAAAAATGTCTGTAAATGAGTTACCTTCTTCAGCTCAATCCTTCCAAGAACGATTCCTTGGCGGTTTTGTCTCTAGAAAGCTTCTTCTGCACGACCCATTTGACCACAACTCTCTACGAGTCTTAGCGGTTGCACCATCTCCTCTCATAACACATGAGAACAACCTCAGAGGCAATGTTCTGATGCTTCTCTCAGTCCTCATTTGCGGCATCATCTGTTGCCTTGGGTTACATTACATCATTCGTTGTGCATTCAGACGTTCTTCACGTTTCATGATCTCTGACCCTATATCCAGTCTTCCCGCACCACGAGGTTCATCAGACAAAGGAATCAAGAAGAAAGCTCTCAGGATGTTCCCACTCGTGAGTTACTCACTTGAGATGAACCTGCCCGGGCTTGGTGAAGAGTGTGTCATTTGTTTGTCGGATTTTGTTTCCGGTGAACAGCTCAGGCTGCTCCCTAAGTGTAACCATGGGTTCCATGTTCGTTGCATAGACAATTGGCTTCGACAACATTTGACATGTCCGAAATGCAGAAACAGTCTGGTTGAGACATGCCAAAAGATATTAGGTGACTTCAGTCAAGCTGATTCAATGGCAGCAACACCAACAGAGAGCGTAATTGTCACGATTGCTCCTCTAGAACCTGAAGGAAGAGTAAACACTATTAGAGAAAGCAGCTAGATGCAAAGAAAGGCAGAAACCAACAGCAATTCAGAATCTGTCAGCAGTTAGATAGATGATTTTAGATTCTAAATCATAAGAGGAAAAAAAACACCGGATATTTTTTATGTCTTTCTTTTTTGCCTGTAGCACAAAGTGTCGACAGAGAGAATATAATTCACTTTTCAATAGCATCTCACGAGTTCATCAAAGTTCTTTTGGCAAAGTTTTTTTTAATGGTGGAATGTCAGTTATGCATTCTTATCCAAAAACTTCAAGAATCATCTATAAGCAAGATTGATAAGTGCTAGTCATATTCTTATATGTCACAATCACTACACAGAACCAAAAAGTCACTAGACAGAACAAATCGTTTCCCGGTAATGAATGCCAAGATTTGTGTAAAGAAGCAGTGTCTAGTCTACAAGATGCATGCATTTACGATCCAGACCTCATCTTGTGTATGCTTGATATTGAAAAATGCATCTACCCACTTGACACGACCCACTTTATAAACTACCCATATACCTCAAAGCCAATCAACACACATGAGTCAGTCATCGGGATAGCAAATAACACATGTCACATGATCCTTCCCCCGATGATAACGAAATAAAATCTTCCGTAGGAATATGGACCTAACCAATAATAGAGCAAACCAACCAACTTAAGTTTCAAGTGAGACCTGCAAGCTACTTTGGGGAATGCATAGCCTTGTAAGATTTCAAGACACCAAAATTTGTCTTCTAAGATTCTCATACGCCAGTCAGTGATAAACCCATCTTATGAGATCTAACTTTGACAACAGACATATCCGAGCCAAAATACACTGTACAAATGTAGAGTTGATCTGTAGATACCATCCCCATAAGTCATACACCAAAATCTAAGTGAGGGTGTGAAGCAAGATAAGTGAGAAATCCTTCACCATTACTAAACCAAACATGGTTAAACTTCCAAGGATTCTCATCACAAGCATCTCCTACTCTACTCTGAGGGTTGATGCCAAATACTGTATTGATGCCTCAAATTTACTCACCCTTTATCTTATCAAATTGGTACTAAATTTGGTATCAGAACGTGGTGTCTAGATTTAGTATACTTGATCTACTATTCTTCTTTTCTCCACAACAGGCACACATCTTGGGTATTGTACACTAGCTACTGCAAAATATTTTCATGAAAATTAAACCAACAAAAGGCTAAGCCTAACGATTCAGATCTCTCGTAGTCTGAAAACAGAAGAAAAACTATCAAGTTGGCCTAATTTGATTCTATCTCTATGATAAAAAAATTTGTGCAAGTATAAAAGAATACATGGGAGTGTATAACTAGATATAGTGATATACCACTTGATATCTTAGTCGTTTTCATAGATTCTCCATATACCAAAGTCGGAATCCTGATCACTGAGTGATTCAAAACCAGCTAAACAAGTTGCAATCCACAACCTATTGTATAAAAAATAACTAAAACTGATTGAGATAAGGACCACATATTCTAACTACGAGATTTTGGAGATCCTGCAATTTAAAATGAAGCAACATGTCACAAACAAGGTTATCAAAACAAAAGACATGTCATAAACAAATAATAGTTCAAACAGGGTTTAAGATCCTAGGCATTTCTGATTGGATGAGATATAAATAAAGTGTTGAAAAGTTCAATTAATAATCACAGCCCCACTTAACAAAGAAAGTTTAATAGTAATTAAGGCTGTCCACAAAAAAGAAGGGTTATTGGTTAACAACATAAGACTGTGGTTTACAGGTAGCATATGTCCATTACACGCATCTTAGGAAAATCAGCTGGTATCAGATCATATATGGTAAAATATGCTATTGAGATTGTGAAAACTGCAACAAAGTAAGTACAACTTTTTCCGTGATCTATCGCGGATTTAGCGTAAGTGATGCCCTTACTGCAACAGGCAATGGTCTAAAATTGTTCAACTCTCTCAATAATATATAAATTTGCCTTCAATTAACTACTGGGACAACTGTAGGACATCAATAGATCATAGATGTTATTATAACAAAAGATGTTCAAATTTCCGATACTATCGCAATTATTATAATGTTCTTTTGGTAGGGGAGAACTTTCCTATTATTAATACGCGTTAAAAGTATGTAAATGGAGAAGCACTAGAGAACAACGATAGCTTTAGAAGATAATGTTTCAAAATACTATCTTAATGCTTTAAGAAAATCTTGGCCACTTGTTGGCCTAAAGACCTTCATCAGTAAGATAGATTCATGTCTAACCTTTTTGTATTATAACAAATATTGCAACTATGCTAATAATATGAAGGAGAAAGTTTCGTCGACATACCGTTATAAAGCAAAAGAGCTGCTACACAATAGGCTCTGCCTATTCATCCTAGCACAAAATGAAGTTCTCTACATTATCATGACAAGAAAAGATATTTAGTAGGAACGATGAAAAAATAGATATTTAGTAGGAACGTTGAACAAATAGATATTTACTTAACAGATATTTAGCAGGAACGATGAACGACTAGATATCTACTTAACAGATATTTAGCAGGAACGATGAACAACTAGATATTTACTTAACAGATATTTAGTAGGAAGAGTACTTAAAAGTTCACCGAAAGACGAACACTGAGAATACGCGTTGAAGAGTAAATGATTAAAGAATAGGTTCCACCAAAGAAAGTCATAGATTGAAAATCAATAATTGTACATACATAATTAAAAGACAGGATCAAAGCTCTGTGTTTCAGTATTTCCAGTTTCTTTCAAAAGTGAGCTTTATTTATAACGTTCCTGAAAATTTTCTAATGACCCTTAAAAACCATTGGATCCAAACTCTTACTTGAGTATTCCCAGAAATATTCCAATTCTCATGTTATTTCACCTCAAGAGAACCATATACATGAAGACATTTAGATACTTGGGAATTCTCAGAATAGAGTTTGCAACTACTAGCCAGATTTAAACATATAATAATGACAATATAATAAGATCTAGCTTATCAAGACTCGACACAAGACAAAAAAGATAAAACAAAGTTTTCTAATTTGTAAATGATTTCCAAGCTCAATGTTGGAAAAGTGATAGTCCTTATACACAAGCATCTTGGGGTTGGAGGAGGTATGGGCCAATGGCACAATCAGCACTCAAGTCTCATTTGAAAAAAAAAACAAAAACAAAAAAAAAGAAGAAAACCCACTTTCTTAGAAAAAATATTATTAGATAAAATACTCAGTCCCCACAGTAATCAGTAAGCATCTCGAGCTATATATAAGACAACTTTGAATTCCTCAAAACTTTAAGAAGCAATAACCAAACAAAGCCAAGCAAAGCATAGAGAAGAGACTTTGATCTTAAGCTTTTTGAAAGAGTAAAAAATGTCTTCAAATGAGTTACCTTCTTCAGCTCAAGCCATCCAAGAACAATTCCTTGACGGTTTTGTCTCTAGAAAGCTGCTTCTGCACGACCCGTTTGACCACAACACTCAACGAGACTTTGCGGTTTCACCATCTCCTCTCATTACCCATGTGAACAAGCTCAGTGGGAATGTTCTGATGCTTCTCTCAATCCTCATTTGTAGCATCATCTGCTGCCTCGGGCTGCATTACATCATTCGTTGTGCATCCAGACGTTCTTCACGTTTCATGATTTCTGAGCCTATACCTAGTCATCCAACAACACGGGGTTCATCAAACAAAGGAATCAAGAAGAAAGCTCTTAGAATGTTCCCGGTCGTGAGTTACTCACCTGACATGAACCTGCCGGGGCTTGATAAAGAGTGTGTCATTTGTTTGTCGGATTTTGTTTCCGGTGAACAGCTCAGGCTGCTCCCCAAGTGCAACCATGGATTCCATGTTCGTTGCATAGACAAATGGCTTCAACAGCATTTGACATGTCCGAAATGCAGACACTGTCTGGTCGAGACATGCCAAAAGATATTAGGTGACTTCAGTCAAGCTGATTCAGTTGCGGCAGAACCAACAGAAATCGTAATTGTAATTATTGCTCCTCTAGAACCTGAAGGAAGAGTAATCACTATTAGAGAAATCAGCTAGATGCAAAGAAAGGCAGAAACCATCAGTAATTCAGAATTTGTCCTCCAATTAGATAAAAGATTTGTACTTCTAATTTTTTTATGCCTTTCTTGTTTGCCTGTAGCACAAAGTGTATGCAGAGAGATTATGTCTCACTTTTCAGTAGCATCTCACGAGTCCATCAAACTTCTCTTTGTAAAATTATTTTTACGGTGGAATGTGAATTTTGCAATCTTATCCAAAAACATCAAAGATTTATCTAACAACCAAAGATTGATAAGTGCTAGTTGTATATTCTTATGTGTCATATCAATACACTGAACCAAAAAGTCACTAGACAGAATAAATAGTTTGCCGATAACTAATGCCAAGAGTTATCTGAAGTAGCAGTGTTTAGTCTACAAGATGCAATTATGGTCCAGACCTGGTCGCATGTATTCTTGATAGTGACAAATGCACGAAGATTCTGAACAAAAATTACATCTATCTACATGACTCAACCCACTTAATAATCTATCTATATGCCTCAAAACCGATCCACACGCATGAGTCACCAAAATAGCAAAAACCATGAACAAGACAAAAAAGATAAAAAAAGATAATAGTAGGAACTATGAACAAATAGATATTTACTTTACAGATATTTAGTAGGAAGAATGAACATACAGATATTTAGTAGGAAAGATGAACAAATAGATATTTAATCAAAAGTTCACCAAAAGATGAACACTGAGAAATGGCGTCGAAGAGTAAATGATTAAAGAATAGGTTCCACTAAAGAAATTCAATAATGGTACATAGATGATTAAAAGACAGGACTAAAGCTCTGTGTTTCAGTATTTCCAGATTCTAGCAAAAGAGAACTTTAATTATAATGTTCCTGAAACTTTTCTCATGGCCCTTAGCACCCATTGGATCCAAACCATTTCCACATCATGAATGCATCCAGCAAAAATGTTCTCAGACATATTCCAAATTCTCACCAAGTTGCGTTATTTCACCTTAAGTCGTCTGATTGCACCTCGATATGTTAGTAACATTTCACTTCAATCATTCAAAAAAATAACGTAAATGATCAATTTTAGTTTGAATGATGTTTCTCTCTGTTCAGTTTTCACAACTTTATTCATGTTACCCCTCATGAAAAATCAAGAATTTCAACTATAAAGTGAATGAGTATCAAATTAAGATATTCCAAGCAAACGAATCATTATAGCACAACAAGTAAAGTTTATTTGCTTTAAAGAAGGTACCAAGAAAACTGACCACTAAATGTTTGTACCAGTTATATGTAACCTAATGGCACAAACAAAAGAAAAAAGGAATCCATTTCCGAGTGAGACTGGTGAGAAAAGATAGAAAAGATGCATCTCCTACTGTGTAACATCAACTTTTTATCCCAAAGATACACAATCTTCCCTAATCTAATGTTTCACTAAACCAGCTATTAGGAAAGTAGCAAGAAACAATGTTCTACAAAAGCACCTTTCAAAGAATCTTGCTTTGATTTGGAGCTACAAGAAAAACATTTGATACTAGATTCATGTAGATTTCCCTCGCAATTTGCAACCAATGAAAGACGATATCTCATAAAGCAAACAAAAAGAATCATTTTTTATTCGTTCATCCGTGGGACCAATTCCTTTACCTCTGATTTAAAACAAAGGCATGTAAAGATAAAGAGAGAAAAACTGTTTAGTAAAAAAAGCAGGAGGTGGATACTAATGCTATGAGAGTGATCTTTCTTAATAAAAGTAGCCTTTAACAAGATTGATTGGGAGAGGCTTTGTCCTTTTAGCTACTCTATAGACAATTTACTACAGATGGGGTGGATTCCTGTTCCCCAAACATAAGTAGAATTCACTAAATGGAAATATTTCATCCGTACACTCTCAAAACCGCACAGAATCAACAAAACTTTTAAGATCCACCACTGTTAAAAAATAGCAAAAAGGGAAAGAAAAGAAAAGTTAAATCACTGGATCAAGGTGATACCTGAAACCAAATCTACTCCTTTACAGACTAGACACAGATATCACTGGGACAGAACTATCTACGATAAACTCGATTTTCGTCAACACCATAAGTAGAAAACATATATTTAGAAGCCATAATAGGCTAATATCAAAGGCACAGTGAGATCTCAGTAAAATGAACCAGGAGATATTATATGAATGCTGCTATCTCAAAGATAGGGAAAGTTCATGGCTGCTCCAGTTAAAAAGCTCATGGGTCCCTGGAAGCAATTCTGGGAGATATGATTTGCTAAGGCCACAGCCACATGGCACTACTATTGCAGCAACTGGTATGATGGACCCATTTTCTATAACAAAGCATATTACTCTGCAAATGATTTAATAAAATTAGACACTAAAGGTACTTAATGTGAGCTTGATCTTTATAGCTTCTTATTCATCCAACCATAATTTAAAAAAATGAAATAAGAAAAAGAATCCCTCATTAAATATCTGGAAAAAAAATTGAAACCTTACCTTTCCTCTATATAAACAACCTCCAAACCTTTCCTCTATATAAACAAACAACCTCCAACGGAAACCCAGAAAGCCACCCATCTATCTTAAAACTAAGTTATTATGTCCACTATCATTTCCATTCCCACCATGAAACCAACTGAGATCTTTCAAGAAATTCTTGGAAGTTCTTACTCAAGAAAATTACTATTTCATACCCGTGATCAATCACCAACTCCGGCACCGTCCCCATATGTAAGCGATAACAACTTTGATGCAAATGTTGTTATGGTCCTATCAGTCCTCTTATGCGCACTTGTTTGCTCACTTGGACTCAATTCTATAATAAGATGTGCCTTGAGGTGCTCCAATTTAGTACCATCTGAAGCTGGTGACAACTACCCCCGTTCGCTTGACCAACACAGGAGTCAAACGAAAAGCCTTGAAGAGTTTCCAGACAGTAAGCTACTCTACTGAACTGAATCTGCCTGGCTTAGATACCGAGTGTGCTATCTGTCTCTCAGAATTTGTACCCGAGGAGCGTGTGAAGCTGCTGCCGACATGCCACCATGGATTCCATGTCCGTTGTATAGACAAGTGGCTTAGTTCACACTCGTCCTGTCCCACCTGCAGGCACTGCCTCATCCAGACATGCGAGAAGATTGCCGATTGCAGCCAAACAAGCTCGTTAAACTCTACTCAACCACCACAAGACAGCATCATTCTGCAAATAGCACCACTACAACCGGAAAGATGGATACGCTGTTTTAGGTGAACTAGAACTAATCATCTAGATATTCTAGCAGTTATGTTTACAACCGGATTAAACTACTATGTACTTAGAATTATTCGAGATCACAAGCGGTCTACACTTCAAAACAAGTTTAGCTTTTCAACAGTAAAGTTGTACATATTATGAAAATGTTACTTTCTTCGTATCTTGAACTCTTAAATGTTTATATTTCACAGTTACAAGCCAATGAAAAAGTGTTAGATAACAGCCAATTTTACTAAATCAGCAAAAACTCACATTGGAAAACAAAACAAAAAACATATAAACAATTCAAAAATCCAATGTACAGGATGATGAGAAGGAAAATCACTTAAAGGCTTAAAGCAATAGTTTAGTGGAGGTGGCCAATACGCTTAGTCAACTAAGAGAAATGTCTTAATCTTTACCATTAAGAAGTTTCAAGGTTATTATTAAAGTCAGGCTCTGCCACTAGCTTATTTTTACTGATTATCATAAGGGTTACTACACTTTGATATAAAGCATATAATAACATAATGTACCCTTCCAGAGGTAGAAGAGACTTCTTGCTTTGTTATTGCGAAGCCCCGGAGAAAAATGTAAAGGTCCGCAAATGAGAGAAACATGCACTAATATAATCCACCGAAAGGAGAACAAAAGAGAGCGGTCACAAGTATAAGAAACGGCATAAAGCGAATGGGGTCCGAGCATGAATCCACCATATGGTCAAATCAAATAATACTAAAAGGGGTGGTTCGATGTTATAGTGATCACATGAAGAGAATGATCAAAGGAAATGAGTGACCACACTAATTCAACCTGCAATATCAATTACTTAAACCTGACAAAAAAATGTAACAGTACTCTAGAACTAAACTCACTAATCTCCAAATTGATAAACAAAATCGGAAACCCTAGATACCAAATGGGGAAACTTTGCATCAACCAAATTAGATTATATTTTGAAGAAATTACTTCTATGGATCAAAAAATGAACAAGAGCACATGAAATTGACAAAATCAAGTTTTGCTCCAATCAAACCAATAAAGAGAGAAATTTCGAAAATGTGATACGAAATTCAAATCAATCTGTATGAGAAAAAAAAACCCAGAATAATATGTGAAAAAGGGGAATTTTCTCACCGAACTCGTTGATGAAGATCTTCTGAAGACGACGAAGTAGCAATGTTCAGAGATTGTTCGCTTTGTTGGCGCCAATGATTTCAGAGTATTCCCTTGAACCAGTTTATCGGATCGTCCATAGTTTCTACTCGGGTCGGTATATACGGGCCCATTTATATAAAAAGCCCATTATAGCATTTTCATCTTTACAAATTGAATTAAATATGTAGTGTTAATTAAAAATCCAATGTAATTAAATACAAACGGACCCATGGAAATTAATGCTGTTAAGCGACTAATGGTGGTTCCATTACATCGTAGGGTTTGAGACAATGCAGGTTTCAACTAAATATCTAGAGTTCATGTATGAATCGGCTAATGTATCTTGGTTAACGTAGTTTTTGGTATGATTAATTAGTTCATAAAAGTACTGTCACGATGGTAATAAAATGTGTATGGATTTGTATTTTTCCCTCATCTAACGTTTAAAAAAGTACCTCTCTCAATTTTTAAAAATTACTTTATATATAAATATCCCTTTGTTGGTTATAAACATTTGATTTACCAGGTATCTAATTACATGTGTCCAATATAATGAATGTGGTGAGCCACTCACTACCAAAAGAAAAAAAAAAACTAATAAAACCAAGAAAAAAACTTATAATTGACTTTTTCAGAAATTATATCAAAACATGGCCTGTCAATCTGTCATAGAACTAAAATATGCATTATTATATCAATAGAGTGTCAATTTATTATAAACATGATCATGAGCAATGTAAACTAGAAGTAGTTTCATAATGATGGGGCACAACGTTCTTATGGTACTACCAACTCAATTTTCTCTCGGCATGTGCGGTTCACATGGTTCATAAAGTTGACTTTTGGATTTCCATCTCACAACAGCTACTTCTTTTCCGGTTTGCTCCGGTTAGTGGACCAACATTAAAAGTTAAGTTATGGAAGTTTCTTCAACCCATCTTTTGATTTTTGTTTACTCTCGTTACGAGTATATATAAAAAATTGTAATTCTTGTTGTATTTTATGGTTACTACCTCATGTGGATTGAATCTACCTTTTGTTGGATTCATTATTGTAGGTACCTATAACTTATTTGATTCAGATTCTCCAATTGATATCACAACATCATCATACAGTCAAATACGTAGAGTGACTATGAACTATCTATATAGTTAAAATGTTAAGTCGAGTGATGAACGAACGAAAAAAATTATTTACGAGAAATGAATGTCCGTGAGGGAAAGCTATGAAATCTACCTGAAAATCAGTTAGAAAACTAAATGTACGATAAGTTCCTTCGACTAAACCACTATTTGAAGAGTCACTTTATGAACTGGCGTTTTGATGGTGGAATGAGCTAATAGGATTTTGTATATGATCTTAATCTATGACTATGAGACGTAAAAAAAGATTAATAATGTACCTCTTTGTCCTGTATTAACTACTCAACTTTATATTCGAGATGTATCATGTATGCCTAATTTTAAAATACGAAGATTAATAATGTTGTATCTGTTGGCACAAAAATTGCTATATCTGATAATTTAACCCGTATTTGAGTAATTTTTACTAGCTAATAGATGTAAACTTATTTTACAGGATATATATATGGGTCTGCAATCACAGGTCTAGTGATTAATCATGTTTAAAGGATATATACATGGGTCTACACTCTACAGACTACAATCACAGGTCACTACATTTGATTTGTTTGTCTTTTGAAAATAATCATCAAAATGTTTAAGGAATTGTATACTTTTTTGAGAAAAAAATAATAACTATACCCTTTGAATATAGTAATTAAATTTGTTGAAATCGTGGATTTTTATAAACAAATCCAAAACACGACCACCGTTGTCTCCTCGACTCGGTAACACCAATCGCCGACTTGAAAATTAGAATAAAAAAATAAAAATACAATAGAAAGGAATGATTATTGAAGCTGTCATATAAGCCTATCACAGTCAATCCAAGAGCCCATCTTCGCCAACTGATAAATCCAACGGCTCATAATTTTCCACCAACTTTAAAAAAAAAAAAAAAGCTGTCTGACAGACAGGTCACGTTATTTTTTTCCTTAAGGCCGAAATGATTCATCTCTCGAATTTATTTTAATTTGTTTCTTTCCAAAACAAGAAGAAAAATAAAATAGTTTTCCTCCAGATAAACCCGCCTATATAAATAGTTGAACACACTTAATATTCCTCCCCTCTTTGAATTGTCTCGTTGTCTTCAGCTTCATCGGCCGTTTTATTTTCCGGTGATCAGAGAGAAAGAGGAGAGAAATTGAGCCAGATCCTCATCGTCGTGGTTCTTGTTTCTTCCTCGATCTCTCGATCTTCTGCTTTTGCTCCTCCGATTAAGGTAAATAAATCCTCCGATCTACTACTTGTTCTTGTGTTGGATCTCGATTACGATTCCAAGTTACTACTAAAGGTGTTTCGGATTTATGATTTGATTGAATTTTGATCGGAAATGTTTTGATCTTGGCTCCGATTAGCTCAACGATTGATGTTTGACTTGATCTTGTGTTGTATATGCCATGGATCCTGATTCTTTCGCTTCTTCTGTCTATAGAAATCTGAAATTTGAAACGTTACTTGAAGTTTGACTTCGGATTCTGTTGATTTATTGACTGATGAAGAAACTTATTGATCATCTGAAATCTGCTTTCGTGATGACTGTATTGATACATTGAATTGAATCTATTGTGAATGAAAAGCCTGGTTTGATTAATCAAGTGTTTGCGTCTTTGGCGATCAAGATTCAGATCTTTATGTTTTGATTGCAGCTCGTAGATCATGGCCGAGGCTGATGACATTCAACCTATTGTCTGTGACAATGGTACTGGAATGGTTAAGGTTAGTCTCTCCTTCTATTTACTTTTCAGATTTTAAGGATTCTCTTTCTTTTGGCAAGATTTGATACAAATTCCTTTGTACAGGCTGGATTCGCCGGAGATGATGCTCCCAGAGCGGTTTTCCCCAGTGTTGTTGGTCGACCTAGACATCACGGTGTCATGGTTGGGATGAATCAGAAAGATGCGTATGTTGGTGATGAAGCACAATCCAAAAGAGGTATCCTCACACTGAAATACCCAATTGAGCATGGTGTTGTTAGCAACTGGGATGACATGGAGAAGATTTGGCATCACACTTTCTACAATGAGCTCCGTATTGCTCCTGAAGAGCACCCGGTTCTACTTACCGAGGCTCCTCTTAACCCAAAAGCCAACAGAGAAAAGATGACTCAAATCATGTTCGAGACCTTTAATTCTCCAGCTATGTATGTCGCCATTCAAGCTGTTCTATCACTTTACGCCAGTGGTCGTACAACTGGTTAGTACATTATTGATATTGACAAAACAAATTTTTGTTTTTCTGTTTTTAATGATTGTCATATTGATCACAGTGAAATGATTTTCTTTAGGTATTGTGTTGGATTCTGGTGATGGTGTGTCTCACACTGTGCCAATTTACGAGGGTTTCTCACTTCCACATGCTATCCTCCGTCTTGACCTTGCTGGTCGTGACCTCACTGATTACCTCATGAAGATCCTTACCGAGAGAGGTTACATGTTTACCACAACAGCAGAACGGGAAATCGTGAGAGACATCAAGGAGAAGCTTTCCTTTGTTGCTGTGGACTTCGAGCAAGAGATGGAGACCTCAAAAACCAGCTCCTCCATCGAGAAGAACTATGAATTACCCGACGGACAAGTGATCACGATCGGTGCTGAGAGATTCAGGTGCCCAGAAGTCCTTTTCCAGCCATCATTTGTTGGAATGGAAGCTGCAGGGATCCATGAGACAACTTACAACTCGATCATGAAGTGTGATGTTGATATCAGGAAGGACCTTTACGGTAACATTGTGCTCAGTGGTGGTACAACTATGTTCTCAGGTATTGCAGACCGTATGAGCAAAGAGATCACAGCTCTTGCCCCAAGCAGCATGAAGATTAAGGTCGTGGCACCACCCGAGAGGAAGTACAGTGTCTGGATTGGTGGTTCTATCCTTGCTTCCCTCAGCACTTTCCAGCAGGTAAAATTTGGACTGCCATTTCTCATTTTTTGCTTCTTGCGGGTGATAAAATGTAGAAAACTCCGCTAATTGTTTGCATTTTGTGTGTTTATGTGTGTGTAATCAGATGTGGATCTCTAAGGCTGAGTATGATGAAGCAGGCCCAGGCATTGTCCACAGAAAATGCTTCTAAGCTAAAGAGAAAGCGTTTCCATGACGGGATCACAGTTCTTTCTACTTCTCCAATTTGTTTGTTTCAAATTTTTTTCCCCTTTGTCATTCGTGCACCATGTGAGAAACTTTCCTGTTAAAGCGTTTGGAGAAGTGTTGAAGGAGGAGCAGGTTTTAAAAACCCGCTCGTGCTCTTACCTGAGGCACAATTCCACGTTTCAAACTCAGCTTCATTCTCTATTCTTGTCCATTTGTTTGTTTGTAGCCTCTTGAAACTCGGATAAAAACAAAAGTTTTTGGTATTGTGTTAGTATCTCAACAAATATTCGACAAATTACCTATTGATCGCCTAGACATACGATTTTTTAGAACAAATTAGTAAATTGTTTAAACAAGTATTCTTGGACTGAAACTCTCCCTTAGGCCTTAGTTTTTGCATAAATCGGTCCCACCTTTAAACAAGGAAGCAGAATCAATTGGTTTGGTCATAAAGAAAATATAGAGCCACTCTCTGGGGGATCCTCAGAGACTGAGAGTCATGTTCCAGGGTTTTGAATCATGGGTATGGTAAAAAAGTTAAAACTCATGCTTTTTACTTTGATACTTCACCTTGTTATACTTATATCTAATTCAAATTAAGCAAATAGACTTATAAATATCCGATGATAGTGTCGTGCACATTAGCAAACTGTTAAAAGAAAACATTTTACTTAGGACTAAAACAGATGGCCCTTGGTATAGTTTTGAAACAAAAAAGAGTATAATTGAAAATAAATAAATAACGACAAAAGGACTAAAAGTAAATAAAATTAAACTGGGATATTGTAGGGCTTTACCCCGAAGGGAGCCCTTCCAGAAATTCTCGAAGGCCCAAGACAAGCTTAGGCCCAGGAGGGGGTTTGGAAATAGTTTTCAACCAGCAATAGACGCGCCTCGGTTAGAACCTCATTAGCTGCGTCATTGCCCCAAGCGCAAAGATAAGTTTCAGCTTCTCCAAAGCCTCTTTATTTATACCCGAACAAAATCCTCATCTCAAAACTTGTTTCCGATGTGGGACTCTGGCTTTTACCAATTTTTTCTCTTTAGTTATCGAACATTTATTATTCTAGAAAACCTAAGAAATTAGTGTCGCAGCCGCACCGGAGAGAAAAATGGCGACTACAACTTCGTCTTCTTCGTCTGTTCGCGAATTCGAGCTTGAGAAGGAGATAAAGAGGCAAGAGGTTTCGTTAGATGAATTGAGCAGTCTCTCTTCTTCTCGAAGTGTCTACCAGAAAAATGGTAACCTCTTCTTCCTCACATCTACCGAGAAAGCGAAAACCTCTGCGCAGAAACAACTTGACTACGCTAAATCTGAAATCGACAAGATTCGTTCGCAGACATAAACAATAAAGCTTTGTAGATGCTGAAGATCCAAGGAACTTCTCGATACAGAGCTCACCTGTCCTTTGTATTGCTTCAACTTGTTGATATGATTGATTCTATATCAAATTTAATTAGTTCGTGTATGATCTTTGAATTATCTTGGAATTGCTTGCAAATTACTTGATTTTGATATCATAATCAGGTATTCTGATAGTATTAGTTTTAATTCAACTTGAGTTACTTTGATTCTTGTGTTGAGACTTGAGACTACTGATTCTTGGTTAACACTATATGGCCATGAATTGTACTATTTTATTCAGGGTTTAGTGTCTTGGTAGGGAATTATTCAATGGAACATCTTCAGAAAAAGAAACTATGATCAAAGCTTTAACTCAAGACAGATTTGTCTTCTCTTTTGCCTAGCATTAAGATTCAATATCAGAATCAAAACCAGAAGAGAGATTCTGATTCAGGAACCTTGACAGGTGCATGAGCTTGTTGAACGTTCTCTGATGCAACCATATATGTATGATCTTTTTGACACTCAGAGATATGACCGTAGCTAAATCATTTCCCAAGTTTCAATCTTTTGGTCTCTTGGAGAGGTAAAGTCGTGAGTTCTCTTGCATTGATTATCACCATCGTGAGACAACTTATATATCTTTTGGTCTCACCACAGATGCAGCATAGGGTAAAAGTTGGCTGCAAAATGTATAAATACTAGGATGCTGTTTAGCTTCCACGGCACAGAAAACGTGTTATAACATCCATTATAAGGGAAGACGAGAAAATAAAATTTGTGGCTCACAGAATCTGGAAAATTGCAAACGAGGGTCAGAGCAAAACTGTTTGTACTTAGCATATGGACAAATGTCTTTCTGCACATCCAATACCAAATCAAATTAAACAGAGGAATTGATGCATAACTCTACGTGTTAACCATCTAAATCAAATTGGTAGAACAGTCTTGGCACAAAACAAAGGTTACAGGAATGAAGCTAAGTTTTTCTTTTATAATTTCAGGTTGGCTCCAAGAAAGGGCACCATAAACTGATCTTTTTGTGTTAAAAAAAAAAAAGAAATCAGAAACTTTCCAGATACGCTAGGGTTTGGATTATCTCGCCTCTTCTCTCCTTCTTTTCGTCAATCGATTCTCTTCTCCACTCTTGTAGAGAAGCTCTTGCTTATACCATCACCATGTTTTCGTCTTCCTCCCAGCACCGGTCCGCATTTGACGTTCTTATGTCGAATGCTTCCGCCAAGAAGAAGAGGAAATTAGAGGAAATCGAAGATACGCCGTCTAGGGTTCGTATTTCTGATTCCGCAAAACCCAAATCAGATAGGGTTACCGAACTGAAGAGCAAAATTGGATTGCTGAAGAAGAAGCCAGGTGATTTCGACCCGAGCAAAGTGTCTTGTTGGGACAAAGGGGAGAGAGTTCCATTTATGTTTCTCTCATTGGTTTTTGATCTGATTGCAGTTGAAAATGGCCGGATTGTCATCACTGATATTCTTTGTAACATGTTGAGAACCGTCATCGCCACTACTCCCCAAGATTTGCTTCCTACGGTTTATCTTGCGGCTAATGAGATTGCACCTGCTCATGAAGGTGTCAAATTGGGAATTGGTAAGGGTTCCTCCATTATTAAGGCAATCTCTGAAGCTTTTGGTAGAACTAAGGCTCAGGTTAAGCAACAATATACGCAACTGGGAGACTTAGGGCTTGTAGCAAAAGGAAGCCGTTCGTCTCAGACTATGATTCTCATGCCCAAACCATTAACTGTTGTCAAGGTTGTTGATACGCTTCGCCAAATTGCTAAGGAATCTGGAAAAGGTAGTAAGGATAAGAAGAAGGATCTAATGAAGACACTTCTTGTTGCAACTACAGATTGCGAACCTCTTTACTTAACTCGTTTACTACAAGATAATTTGCGGTTAGGGTTCTCACGTCAAACTGTTTTAGCGGCCTTGGGACAAGCCGCTGTATATAACGAAGAGCATTCAAAGCCACCTCCAAATATCAAGAATCCTTTAGATGAGGTTTTGCTTCACAAGGATGTCACAACTTACCTTTGTAATCTTACACCACTTTGCTGGATTCATCCTTGTTCTCTGTTTTTGTAGGCTGCAACGATTGTTAAAGAAGTATTCTCTGTGCTTCCTGTCTACGACATTATTGTTGGTGCTCTTCTAACTAGTGGTGTGTGGAATCTTCCTAAAACTTGTAACCTTACACCGGGTGTTCCAGTTAGGGCCATGCTTGCAAAAGCAACTACAAGTGTGGATCTCATACTTGAGAAATTCGGGGACACCGTTTTCACAGCTGAATACAAATATGATGGTGAACGAGCACAGGTTATGCATTGCTTTCTACTCTTATCCGATGAATAATGCTATTATTCATAAATCTATTACCGCAGATACATTATATGGAGGATGGTACAATCGAGATATTCAGTAGACATGCTGAAAGAAACACTGGCAAGTACCCTGATGTTGTTCTTGCGTTATCAAGGTATTTACACTTGTTTCTTGTGCTGTTACTTGTTGAAAAAACTAGAAAGTGATCCAACCTTTCTACTGAAGTTTGTGTAATCTTCTCTATGCAGGTTTAAGAAGCTCTCTGTGAAATCTTTTATCCTGGATTGCGAGGTTGTTGCCTTCAACAGGGAGGAAAAGAAAATACTTCCGCTCCAGGTAACTCGATAGCCAGGCTTTATGGTTGCAATCTTGCCAAAGATGAGCATTCTTGTTAGCCAATGAATGATCAAATTAAAGCTTTCATGCTCTTTTAGACCAGATTTTGCTGATTTTACAACAATTCTTTTTGCCAACATTTAGTTTACTATATGACTTGCTGTCTAGGTTTTTATATGTCTTGTTTTATTTTCTCAGACTTTGAGCACTCGAGCCCATAAAAATGTGAATGTCAGTGATATAAAGGTTGGCGTATGCGTCTTTGCTTTGATATATTATATCTAAATGGCCAACTACTTATCCAGGAAAATCTGAATATTCGCCGAGAGGTAAACCATATTAGTAAATCATAACCTTTTATTTGATATCAGTAAAGCAACTACTGTTGTGCAAATATGTAATCATTTGTTTGCACCTTGCTTCTGCCAGAAGCTATACGATTCTTTCGAGGAAGATCCTGGGTATTTCCAGTTTGCAACTGCTCTAACATCCAACGATATTGGTGAATTACAAGAGTTTCTTAAAGCTTCTATTGACATTGGGTTAGTATATATCTTACACTTGTCCGCATCTTTAACAAGTGCAATAAACATTTGGTGTAAATTCTTGTCTCCATATGACATTGTCTCATTATCTCTATGCTGTTTCAATTCTTCATCACATGTATGTTATTTTGTAGATGTGAAGGTTTAATGATAAAATCATTGTACTCGAATGCAACCTATGAGCCTGCAAAGCGGTCAAATAATTGGCTAAAACTGAAGAAGGACTATATGGACAGGCAATACTCTTTAATTTGTTTTAAATAGTTAAGATAGTAGAGTCCTCTACTAACTAACTCTAGTATATGCTGCAGCATTGGAGATTCTGTGGATCTTGTACCAATTGCGGCTTTCCATGGACGAGGGAAACGCACAGGTGAACACCATTCGAAATGCGTAGATGATACATTTTTCACCTTTGATGTTGTTAACGTAAGCTATATGCTTTCCTTGTAGGTTTCTTTGGTGCATTTTTACTAGCGTGCTACGATGTCGATAAGGAAGAATTCCAGAGCATTTGTAAAATTGGTCAGTCTAATGCACATTTTTCTGTATGTCCTGTTGTTATGTTTCTCAATTTTCTCTCATACATTTTGTTTACAAATTGGGCTACTAGGTACTGGATTTTCTGATGCAGAGCTTCATGAGCTGTCGTCGAGTCTTTGCTCTAAAGTGATTGATATACCAAAAGTAAGATATTTCTTTCTTCTCTATGGCCTATTTATTTGCTGCATTACCAGATATGTTATGTTGCCTGAGTTTTTGCTGATTGTAATGGCTCTAATAAACCAGCAATACTACCAAGTCGATGACGGTCTCAATCCAGATGTCTGGTTGGAGCCCACCGAGGTAGGTCTATGTTTGCCTTAGTAATATTTATAGGTAACAGCTTCGCGCTCTATAATATGTTTGCTTGAAGGTGTGGGAAGTGAAAGCAGCTGACTTGACAATTAGCCATGTACATCGTGCAGCTATCGGAATTGTGGACCCTGATAAGGTTCAACATTAGCCAACTTTTTCTTTTTTCTTCCTTTTGAGCTATTGCATTTACTAATTAGACCGTTTCAATTTGTTTGTTTTGGTTAAAAGGGAATTTCTCTACGTTTTCCTCGTCTAGTCCGTGTACGGAAAGACAAGAATCCAGAGGAAGCAACATCATCAGACCAGGTGACAGCTCGTCTCACCCTAGCCACAGTCATAGACATGACTAGGCTGGTTTCTGATTATTATTTTTTTGATAAATTCCTGCTGCATATTTCAGATTGCTGAAATGTATCAAGCTCAGAAACACAATCAACCAAGCAATCAAGGCAAAGGTGACGACGATTGAACAACAACTGTAATTTGTCGTCAGAGCATCTTTCCTTGTATGTTCTAGGTTGTTCCTGGATATCGAATGATGCACATTTATGTGTTTTATAAAACTGTTTTTAGATTAAATTAATGGGAGGTTCCGGACAAAAGTGTTATTTTCATTATACCAATATGCACCCACTGTAACGAACTAATGATGCCTTCGATTGGTAACTTGCAGAATCGTTCAATGGCGTTTTTTAATGTGATTCTGCAGGAATTTCGTCAATCATAATTTTTTGCCTAATACTTAAAAACATAAACTTGCATTTTTGCATTAAAAAAATATACATGAATCTCTATTAGGCAAATAAATGAGCTTTTACCCATTTTTGCCTAAAGCATTTTATTTTCTTATTTTTCCTATGTTTAACCGTTAATTACCACTGAATAAATTGATTAAGAGAAACACTTAAACAAGTAATGAGGGGATTATTGTCTAAAATGCTATTTTTTTGGAAAAACTTAAGAAAATGCTATTTTTGAATAGTTTACGGATTTTGCCCTTTTTAACATTTAAAAATATACGTATTTATGATTTTTTTTTGGCAAAAATACGTACTTTATACCAAATACTAAACCCTAAGAACAAATGGATCCGACTAAATCTAAACATAACGAGTGAAACGCATGTTTAAATCATATTTTTGGAGCTTAAAAAATGGCAAAATCCACAAACTACTCATAAAAATGGCAAAATCCACAAATGCCATTATAAAAAGGGTAAAATCCGTAATTAATTCAGTAATGAATCAAATATTAATTATTCTTGTCAACAACGAGTAATTAACTCAAACAACGTCTACAAATAATTAACTCCACTATTAATTGTCAACTGTTTACAGACAATAGTAATTGTTGCATGCCAACAACTAATATATTTTAATTTATTTCATTAGTTACAACATTTATTTGTAATGCGGGTCAATACATAAAAATTATAAAAAATGAGATTGCATTTATGATTTGGGCTTTACAATTCGTTAGAATTTTATTTATTAAGAATATATTGACAATTAGTGAAAAATAATTGCTTGCAATAAATATATCATTTTTTAATAATAAGAGTATTTAAAATATGTCAATTCTATAATAATATGTGATATAACTTTGTGTAAAAATATCAAAAAATACATAAAAGAAAGAAAATCTTTAAGAAACTATTAATCTTAAATAAATTTTTATGGGAAGTTACATTATGCTATTCTACAAAATTTATCCAATCGACAAAATTTTCTTTCAGCAAATTTCATTCTACAGATTTTCATTCTGCAAATTTTATTCTGCAGCTTAATTTTATTTTCTGCAATTATGCGGTGTTACCAATCAGAGCTGATATTTGCGTGTTGATTTTCTTATTCTTGGGTTCAAATTTTAAAATTTTCATTTTCTTGGCCTCAACTTCCACTTTTCATTTACCCATAGATCTATTCCACTAGTTCGAATCCAAAAAGTTTCAAGCCCAATTCTCAATCTGGCACAATAGAATACAACCTAGGATCATAACTTGTGATCTTTTCGTTATCTCATCCACCACTCAAAGTGCCGAATCAAATGATTGATGTCGTGAAACATTGGTCTTTCAGAAGATATAGTACAACGTATCCATTTCCAAAATATGCTGATAAAATGGGTTTAAGCTTGGTTGGAGCATTCTGATCTATGTTCTTCTCCTTCTTCACATGGTTAGAACCCAATGACTAGCTAGTTTTGGTGTTGTCGCATGCGATAAAGCATGAGAAACACCTCTTGATGGCAATGAAAAACATGGCCGGGTTAGCCAAAAAGGTGAACAGAACGGTCAATACTGTCGTGTGGCCAGAGTCGTGCTTTCCCTTAGGCAAAAAGGGCAAATGCCCAAAGCCACCAAAAAAAATCAAAAAATTTAGGTCACATATTTGTAAAAAATTAAGAATATGTTTAGTTAGTTTGATATATATATAATGTATTTTCTTTAATAGAAGTTTTTAGTGAAAATTATATTGTCAAATATATGCCTTTAATGTCATAGAGATTTTCTAGTCTTGAAAATACATTCTTTAGTAATATATTACAATAGTAAAAAAAAAAAAAAGCAAAGAATAACAAAAAAAAATAGTACATCTAGAAGGTTAATATAATAATATAGAACATTTTAAGTTAGCAAAAATATTTTCATTTTTTATCTTATTGGTTTTCACTAAAAATATTTTACTCTGATTCAATAGAGATTTTTTCTATCTACTTAACATTTTTGAAGTACAAATTTGCTCATCTAATCGGGTCGGGTTTTTGATTTTGACCCGGAAATCTTCAATCGGATCTTTCCTTAAATTATGGCAAAATTTAAAAACGAAAATACCTAATAAAATCTAAATTATATATTTTCTCAACTAATTACTATATCTAAACTCTTTATTTATGGTATATTCTTTACAATTTTTATAGATTAGGAAATCAAATATGATAATTTAATGTTAATATAACAAATTTGAGCTAATATCCTAAAACCTCTCTACATAATTTAAACATAAATATATGATTTTTATTTCACTTTTATTTGATCTTATATTTATATTATTTTGAATTATTATAAAATATATATAGTTAATAAATTTTAGTTTTTTTTTTCTACATATGTTATGATTCAAATTTTTTAAAACATACATATATTACTCAATCGATGAAGAAAAAAAGTATATGTGTAATCTATATTAACATTTTTTAAGAACAAATTGCACATTTAATCAGGTTATTTTTTTTTATTCAAACCCGAAATTGAGTCATTCAGATCTTTTCTTAATTTCTACAATTATCTAAAACAGGACAGCATACCACGGGTGAGATCCTAAAATTAACAAATCAAAATACAATTATTTAATATTTTAAGATACAATTATAAATTATTTTTACGGGTTGGTCCAAAAACACATACTAATTTAAATATATATATTATGGAAACCATTTGAAAGTAAACTTTTAAATTGATTCGAATTATATGTCTTTTAAATAAAAGTGTTATTAAAAAATAACAAAATGATGTTTAATTCCACAGGACAAGAGTATATGGTGAGACGGGTTTGAGTCGATATTAATACGGGACAATATACCACTAATGAAATTCTAGAATTAACAAATCAAAATTTAATTATACAATCTTAAACAGTAAACAAAACAAATATAACTTAAAATTTTTATTTCTTATATACAACGCATGTGACTCGCGGTGTATAACAAAAAATATTATACACAATAAATTCATCATTTTATAAAAAGATTAAAAAAAATAATAATTAACCCGCGGTGTACCGCGGATCATATTCTAGTAAAAAAACATTATAAGAGTCAAAAGTTTTAACCTTGTCCTAGGCCTCCTCAAGTCTAAACACGGCACTGTGTGTGGCGTTGGCATCGTGTTGGCGCTACTATTCCTTCCAATGGTAGGACTCGTCGAGTCGAAAGCAAATTTCTGATGTTCCTCACGACGAATGCATTCATCGCCACTTTTTTCTTCGGGAACATGTGGAAGTCCGTGTTCGACTCGTTGGTGTTGGTGTTTGTGGAACACCCTTTTGATGTAGGAGATAGGTGTGAGATTGGGGAGATTGAGGTAAATACACAAAAAACTACAAATTTATTTCATTATAACACTTTTAATAATTATATTGAGTGATTTATTATATTTTTCTTCTTGTTGTTGTTCAATCGTAGATGATAGTTGAAGACATTGAAGTCCTAAGCACCCATTTTGTGGGCGTAGATAAGAAGAAGTACCGATACACCAACTTGGACTTGTGGACAAAGGCGGTGTGTAACCATGAGCGAAGCCAATGCACAACTTGGGGAGAGATACACATAAAGAAAATGAAGGAGAGAAGAACAAGGAAGATTAAAGTCTTAATGGATAAGTAAGTATATATCGCTAAGCTATAATCATGTAGAGACCATATATAGTATTAGAGAGAAAAAATAAGTAAATAAAGATTTATGTAAGTGAACTTTTAATTGTTCCAATCAAGTTTGTGTGTAAGTAAAAAACCATGAGTTGTATAGAGATAGTTCAAAATGTTAGTTCATCAACTTCTTTATCCGATTGGATTTCATATGTAAAAAGATTTAACCGCTAAACAAAGTTATCATCACTTTTAGATGTTACAGAAAACCAATTCATTAGAGACTCTCTTTAACACATGTTTTTTTCAAAACTTAAGCAAACGTGTGATCCCTTTCACTAAACCTTTCCGAAAAGATTATGTTTTACAATTTGCTCAAATTTGTTTTAATTTTGCTCAACTTTTCCTTGTTATTTGCATAAAATTGTAAATCTATTGAATATCAAAAACTTACTCTTATTAAATTTTATCTATAGCTTTCTTATATGATAATGTGTTTATAATTTATTTTTCTATGTCACTTATTATTATTGAATGTTAAAATACATAGTTAAAACTATTAATTTTAAAATTTAAGGTACAAATGCATTTGCGTATATTTTTAAGTTGGGGTTCTTCTCAAAATAATGTTTATTTCATTTCTAATATAAAAATAATAATAGTAGATTTCTATTTTTTTCTGTTAGTGAATTTAGGGACGCTGAGATTTCCCGCGTGATCGAATAGAAAGAAAAAAAAAGTCGTCTTTTTTCTTTATCAAAAATATATATTTAGTTCCTTTATTCATATTATATATAATTACTATAATATATTTTTTTGGTCAATATATATAAATAGAATTTTATTATAGGCGATATAATATATTTAGTTGCGTGGGTGTAGTCGTAAACTATATTGGTCTAATTATTCTATTTCATTAAAAATTTTGTGTTTGAAAATAAAATAAAAATAAATGAGTGGATAATTTTCTTACATTATATTATTTTTGAAATTTTGTGTATAAAAATAATATAGAAAAAATATATGAATTGAACTGGTGAAATGTGGTAATGACTTTTGTAGTGGTAAGAAACAATAAGAATGTTAAAAGTGATAATAGCGCTAATGTTTTTTTCTTTTTTGAGATGTCAATATAGTGTTGCAATCCAACATTTGTTTCTCGAAAACTTAAAATGTTTTAAATCTGCTGTTTCTCCGACACTTTTATACTATAAGCATTTGACCAAATCGTGAATTCCTAAGCGTATCTTTCTCTTGGATCATGATATTGATTTACACGTAAATATAAGATATTCTACATATGTTACACATTATGTTATGTGTTTCATTGTACAACTAAAGAATAACATGACACATAATTATTCATTTACTCTTTTAATGCAAAATTTTGAGATTTGTTATTTATAAGATGAATTTGAAGCTTTTTATACTTTCACATAAAACTCAACCGTAATCTATTAAATTGCTTCTCTCTTTTATAAATTATAATATCTTATATATATAAACCAAAAAAAAAGTGTTATAGAACTTATTTTTTTATCTATAATGAGACTGCTAATATCATTTTGTAACGTTATCTTCTATATCCCTTAAATTTTTGCGTTTTTTCATTAATTTTGTCACTTAATCTGGTATTTTAATACATTACTATAATTTATTTTTAAGCTTTATGAATATTTTGGATATAATACTCTTATCTTTGTTTGTTTTACCTATTTTAATATCTTAAAATTAAATTAAGTATAAATTTAATTTTACGACAAATACATAATCTTTGTATTACTATCAAATACAGTAATTATATTAAAATATTTATACTAATAAATACTTCATTGCTTTGTATATATAAAATTATTCATTTATTATACTTAACTCTTTTGTTATGTATTTAAAATTATTTTCATTTATTATAAATAAATTTGAATTAGTTGATATTTTTAATACACTTTAATATAAATAAATAAAAAAAGTGTTTTGCTAATGTGCACAGCTTATGGTAAGTTATATGTATGTCCTAGATATATATTTTTAGACTTGAGAGATCTCCTGTTTTATCCATAAAAGCTATTGGATCGATCATAATAAAGCAATTACAAGCTTTACTTTTTATTTTGTCTCTAGAATCGATCTAGACTCAACAACTTATCAAATATAGCTTTCTTGCTTATCCAATGGATGTTGGCAAAAGATGTTGAATCGATGGTTTAGAATTAAATATAGTAACTTTCAAAACTATTTAATAAGATTGTCTAAAACCACATGAAATATTTTGAGTTGTTTTAATGATAGACTGCGGATAGTATTAAAGAAAATAAACTTATTCTCAACAATTTTCCTAACAATTAATAGCAAAGTGTATCGATTCACCAATAATACCATATATAACACAGGGACATTAAATATTTTGAAGTTAGTTCTCAGTTGGAGAAAATACAGTATATTTGGAAAGCAAGGAATGAAAAAATCATTGAAAATAATGATAAAGATCCGTTAGAGGTATTACGGTTAGCGGAAAAAGAAGCGCAATTGTGGCAGTCAGCTCTAATCGAGCTTCATCATGAAACTAATGGTACTGTGGAATTGGTAACTCGTTCTCAAGTGGGGGATGCTTCACTTGATTCGAATTATTCTGGATGCCGTTGCTTTGTTGATGGATCGTGGAAAGAGAGTGATAAGTTCTCCGGTATAAGATGGTTCTGTACATCATCAAACGGAGAACCGCCAACCATGGGAGCTGCCAACCTCCGTAGAAGTCTATCTCCATTACATACAGAATTCGAGGCTCTTCTCTGGGCGATGAAGTGTATGATTGGTGCAGATAATCAAAAGGTAGCGTTTCTTACAGACTGTTCTGATCTGGTGAAGATGATGTCTTCTCCAACCGAATGACCGGCGTTTTCAGTGTACTTGGAGGAATTCCAGAGCGACAAGGAAGAATTCTCATCCTTCTCTTTATCTTTAATTTCTCGTAATGCTAATGTAAAAGCGGATAATCTGGCACGAAAAATTCGTACAGAACCGTTTCATTTCACATATGTAAACAACATTCCCCAGGAATGGCTCTATTGAGCTCTAATTAATTTCGGATGACAAAAAAAATAGTTAGTTGTCAACATAGTTGTTGTGTTCATCTCTCAAGTCATTTCAATATTTTTCTTTCAAATCTAGTGTCATTTTTAATTGATACATGTCATTCATTAAAATTTTCAGTATCTGTTTGTCTTCTTTTTTTATATCCGTTGACAAAGTTCTTGTCTTTTATCGGATCTTTTCCTCCATCAACTCTTCTGCTACCATATCGTTCACGGTGCCCACTACCATTGTATTGACCTCAACCACCACCGCATGTACTAGATCTGTAACCTCCGGTACCGCATTCATAACCTCGACAACACCACCTCCACCCAAATTTGTAATCTTTTCCACTTGTTTCTTTTGTATCCTTCACCGCGACCTCCTCCTCCATGTTCACCATCATCGCCGCTGTCGGACTTTACACCGGAATTGTGATATTAATTATCGCTCCAAGTTTTATCTTCTTCAAATAAATATATTGTCTTGTAATTACCATAACTTAAAAGGATAATTTGGTATTTATCATACCCCTACCCCCACATTAAAAAAAAGTTAGTTTTCAAAGAAAACTAACCCAACGTTAGTTTTCTTAATTTTTGTGTAGAATTTGACTATTTGCTAATATTACCCAAAATAGAATGTACTTTTCATTCAAGACAAAATGGTAATATTTAGAATGTATTTGTCGTCAAGGATAATTTTGTAACAACAATAATTTTCAACATTTTATATCTTAAGCGTAGACTGTTGAGACACAATTTAGCATAGGATACATAAATAATATTTTCTCTTTAATTTTTTAATAAACAATTACATCAACATTCACATTTTCAAGAAAAATATAATCTAACCGGTTTAATAAATTGGTTTATGTAATTTAAATCCCACGGTTAGTAGTAGTAGTTTTGCGGGTGCCTCCTCCAATGTGCATCTCCTCGCTGCTGGAAGAGGACGGGTCAAGCCCATACTCGCTTGTAGCACCGTATTCGCTACTTGCCCCGTAATCCCGACTGTCCAATGTCACTTTCCGAAACTTCCTCATCTCGGCACCATATGTGCCCATCTCATAGTCTGAGCTTCCTTCACCTCCGCTTGAACTCTGTCTCGGTTTTACACCATCGTCTAAGTCATCCAGTGAGGCATCACCCTCCAACGTCCTAACAATCTAGGAAAAAAAATGCAAAAAGAAACGATTAATATGTAAAAAATGTCCAAAATCTCGTGAATTGGACGATCAATGAATAACTAACGCCTACACTTTCTAGTTGGTCATTTGGCACCCGTTTGTGACCAGTTTTCAATTCTTTTTTGGAACAGTAGAAATTTACTTTTAGGAATATATATTTAGGTGGGAGTTACTAAGTTGAGTAGTGTAAACAATTTGAAATAATGACACCCTTTAATAGATTGATTGATCGGTTTTAAGTTGACCACTTTTTGTTTGGACCGATTTTGGTCAAAAGCTCGGCGATAAAATGATTTTAGCCGCCCAATTTTTGAATTAAAACTTTGATTTAATAGTAGTAGTAACTAGTAAGTTATATGTCACGCTTATTATTACCTGACTCATCTTTGGGCGGCGACGACCAGAATGTCTTACGGCTGCAGCAGCACAAGCCACCATGCGTGCCATCTCATAAGGCTCGTATTGGTTCTCAAGGAATGGGTCCACCAATTCCCCATATTCTCCCTCTTGAGCTGCGCTCATGCATAATGGTCTTGCCTGCCAATAACCATGTATCTAAAACATGAAATTGTTTTCTTTTGTTTTTGGTATATATGAATGTTTTTGGTATAACTCACCCAATCGACTAAACTGTCTTCCATGTCACCACTAAGATCAACCGGTCTACGTCCGGTTATGAGCTCAAGAAGCATAACACCAAAAGAGAAAACATCTGATTTCTCTGTTAGTTTCCCACTTGATGCATATTCAGGAGCTAAGTATCCGAATGTTCCCATAACACGAGTCGATACATGTGTATAGTTGTCTTGAGAGAGCTTGGCCAAACCAAAATCTGCAACCTGGTGATTAATTTAAAGAAAATTGTTAACAGAGAAAATTGTAATTACATGCAAAGAGTTGAAGAAACAGAATTTAGGTAACTAAAGCATATACCTTGGCTTCGAAGTTATGGTCAAGGAGAATGTTTGAAGCTTTAATGTCTCTATGGATGATTTTTGGATGACCTAACCACAATTATCAATTATCATACACAAACATGTAAATATCTTTGGTTTTATTTAAAGTGAAAAGATGAAAAGAGATAAATCACTCACAATCTTCATGTAGATAAGCAAGACCTTTTGCTGATCCTAAGGCAATCTTGAGTCTCGTTGGCCAATCCATCACAGTCCCACTTTTCCCTATAATTCAATTGATTTTGTGAATATTTTTGTGTTAGTTTTTGTATAGGTCATAATCCTACCCTAGAACACAAGAAAACTCATCATAAATTACCATGAAGGTGGAACTCAAGTGTGTCATTAGGGAGAAACTCATAGACCAACAGCCTCTGTCCTCCCGCATTACTGCAGTATCCGACAAGAGACACAAGATGTCTATGATGAACGCGGCTGATGATCTCAACCTCTGCCTGGAACTCTCTCTCACCTTGCCCGCTTCCGGCTTTTAGGCTCTTCACCGCGATCTCCTTTCCGTTTGGCAATATTCCTTTGTGAACATATCCAAACCCGCCTTGTCCCAACAAGCGGTCTTTTGAGAAACCTTGAGTTGCGGCTGCGAGCTCCTCATAAGTGAACGTGCTGTTGTTAAATCCCAAAGCAACTGAAGGGTGAGGTGGTGGTAGAGATGGAGCGTATGGACCTGATGAGAAATTTGAGCTCATTTCGCCGCTATGGATCACATTTGCGCCTCCAGACACTGGTGCTGGTGGCGACGGCATTGGCTGCCAATTTCCTGGAGGTGGTTGTTGAGGCGGTGAATTTACCCAGTTTGTTCCCATTGATCCAGGAGGTGGAGGCAGATTCACAATGTGATCATTTTGGTTGTAGTGTTGTTGTTGTTGTTGTTGTTGTTGTGTAGCAGCATTTTGGTTGTAGTATTGATCACCCCCAGCTAAAAAATCCAACAAAAACAAAAGTATGACAAAGGCTTAGATGATATGTGATTGAAAAAAAACATAAGAATCGGAAACAAAAAACAAAAAATTACACTTTTCTTAGCTAAGAAGAAACTAGGGTAGAAGAATTAGGTGAAACTAAAGCTTAAGAAATGGTACGAAGTTTAGTTAGGGTTCAAGGTTTTGTACATTGTTAGATGAGATGGTGTTTGAAAGAGAAGAGCAGAGGAATATGAGTTATCTAATTCTTGGGTCACAAGAAACAAATGTCATGTTTTTTCTTGGCTAATAAGAAACTAACAGGGTTTAATTAGGGTTCATGGTTTTTATATGTACATACTTTTGCCTGCGGCGTAAGCATTGCTTCCGTAGTACGGCATCTGATCAAGCTTTGATTTCTTCTTCTTCTTTCGAAAACAACAGACACATAACAAGATCATGACGATGAACAAAAGTCCAGCTGCAGCCACAAGTCCTATAACAGCACCAATGTTTAGACCATCGTTACTTGACGAATTCGAGCCATTGTTGCTTGTAGGCGGCGCCAGCGATTTTGGTAGCGATGAGGAGCTATGATCGGAAGTCTTAGACGGTGGTGGAGGAGTATGAGAAGTGTTCTTGTTTCCTCCATCGCCGTTGCTTCCATCATTTCCTTTGTTGTTTTCGTTGTTGTTACCTTTGTTGTCACTATGCTGAGGCGGGGAGGGTGAAGGAGGAGGTGGAGATTGTGATTGTGAGGAGGAGGATGAGTCAGACAGTGGTGGTGGAGGGGACAAGGAAGAACCATCGGAGGAATTATCCGGCGAAGGAGGAGGTGGTGATTCTTGTTGTTGTTGAGGTGGAGGAGCTAGGTCAGGGGAAGATGGAGGAGGAGGAGATGTTGTTTCTTGATTGTCGGAAGGAGGAGGAGATGTTGTTTGTTGATCGTTGGAAGAGGGAGGTGACGGAGGAGAAGGAGGAGGAGGAGCCGGCGGTGAGTTCTCCGGGGATTGCCCCTCCGCCATTATCTCTCTCTCCGGTGGTTTCAATATGAGATGAAACAAGAAACACCCAACTCTGTTCCTGTTCTCCTAGGAACAAGGAACCATTTTTTTCCCTCAAATTCTATTTTTAAGAAAGTTTTCGAATACTTTTTGTTATTTCTATATTTGGTAATTATACAGCCAGGCACAAAAAAATATTCACAACGACAATTTTCAGTTACAGGATAGATTTTCTGTTTGTAAAATGTTAATTATTTTTAAAAATGCTCTCGTTGAGAGTCGAACTCAAGACCTCCCGCTTACTAAACGGGTGCTCTAACCAACTGAGCTACGAGAGCTATTCGATCTTTGTTTGTTATTTGATAGTTATCAATTTTTATTGGTCAACGGTACAATCAGCAATCTTTATTTGTTCTTTGACACTTATCAATTTTTATTGGTCAACGGTACAATCAGCAAGGTTCTTTGTTGGTCAACGGTAATAAGTTTTGTTGACAATGAAAATTGAGATTTTAATGTCTCTAATTTAATGTTGATTACAAGGCTATTCATAACGAATTGATTTCCTTTTTAAAAGATAAAAATTAAAATTTTAGAAAAATGGAAACCCTAGACTTCCTACTGCTTTTTTAATCTTATAATACTGATTTTACCCGTTCATATTAGCTCACATCGACATTTTCACTTAGAAGATAACACAATGAAGAAAGAATAGTTTACGTACATGTTTCACATATGCGCATGTGGACGCAACAATTGGAAGGAAAAAAAAAAACTTTGGTTGATTTCATCTGATAAACATGTTATTTCTCATTTTAACAATTTTTAAAAATATATATATGTTCATGCTCTTTCGATGAATTGATACGTTTTAAATTTTTTTGGGTCTAGTGATGTACTCGCAGCAAAGATTTAGCCTAAATCCTATAGAGGTTCACGCCGTTTTTACTTAATCAAAACACCATTGTCTTGTGTTGTTTTCTTCTATATATATATGCCATGTTCTCCTATCGAACTTGCTATATCTCTCATGTGAAGTTTCTTCGATTTTCTTCTTATAATGTGGCTTCGTTATCAAATTTAAATTTTTTTTCCTTTCCATGAAAATTGTACGTTGATAAGTATGAGAAGAAAACATATTCCTAATTAATCTTCGTGAATCTTTCAAAAAAAAAAAAATCTTCCTAATGCTTCCAAATCTTTTTTTTTTTTTTAACTACCCCAAAACTCAATCCTATCATCATCTTCTTCAATAAATATTAAGATGAGCAACTGCTTTATACAAAATCTTCTTCAAATGCGTATAAGAAAAATGTAGCTTACAGTATATAGTTTTTTCATATACCACAGCTATCATAATGTTTCAAGCTTACTTTCATCTAAGTATGAATGTAGTCATGTCAAGATACTATTGATCATATGATTAACTTTTAGTTTTTGATCCCTCGATCTGTTCTTTCATAAATCAATTATGTTTTTAATTCTAATACTTAAGGTATCCCTGAGACATTCAATCTATATCGATGATAGTTTCTTCTCTTTCTGAATCCATTTTCAAATCCAAATCCGAAGAAGAAAAAGGGTAACAGCAAACCGATATGGATTCAATGAAGAAGGAAAAAGAAACCAATTAATGATTTGATAGTATATTAATCTGCATATAGAAAATGTAAATATGATACTTATTCATAAACAAAAGTTAAGTTTTACAACGAGACTTAATTTAAAACGGAGAAAGTAATATATCACACGTAACACAATTATTATTACTATAATTTAACAATCACACACGAGGTTAACAAAATTTCCAAAAACGGCAACAATACAGCTCAATGTATGGCATATTTGATATACAACATACAAATTTACGTACCTTTTTATAACTCAAAGTACTGACGATGCCCATGGAGGATGTTGGCACAATATCTACTTGATTATTTTACTGACTATAATAAAAAAAATCATGAACAAAAGTCCAAATGAAAAAATACAAATAATATAAATCAACTCATAAGGTTTTAATATATAGAAATTATTAATTAGCCAGTCGTATATTTTTACTTTTTATCTTGTAAATTTATTATACGTATTTAAACATTTGTTCTTGGAAGTCTTTCACCTTCCTGGCGATGATTTCTTAAACATTGTAAGATTCAAAACGAAAAATTAACTCCAAAAAGACTTACGAAAACAATAATTTTAATCGCCAACTTAAACATATACTAATGTGTAGCACAATAAAAAGATTGACGACACAATTTTATTGAAAAACAAAAACAACAACAACGACAATGACAACGACAACGTCAACATGTAAATAAAAAGTTCAGAGACACTCAAATATGAGTAGAGGACGAAGCTGGGTAAGGGTTCTTGCGAACGTACTTACGAGCCCAAACATGTTTGCCATCGATGGTGAACTTGTTTCTAGATCTCGCACTCACAATCTGGTCCATCATCGACGCACACTGAAGTTTCAATACCATCTTCGCAAACAACGGCTGCTCATTTGCTTCAACTTCCTGCATCTCTACCGATTCTATCACTTCCCCAAACCTCCTCGTAAAGTAAACCCTAACTTCCGCTTCCGAAATCGGGTACCCTTTCGAAAACGTCAGGAAAACCGTCCGATCATCTGCCGCCACCACCGCTTCCTTCTCTTCTGCCTCCATTATCTCTTTCTCTTTATGGAACTTGTTTGTTTCGTCTTCAACCGGACGACGAGGAGGAGGAGAAGCAATTTTTACTTGTTGAACACTCAACCTGTTAGGGTTTTCTTGTTGAAAACTCAACCTGTTAGGGTTTTCTTGTTGAAGACTCAACCTGAGTTTCTTCATGTCCTCAAAAAATTTCTCTCTCTCTAAAGCCAAAAGTTTCTCCCTGTTGATCATGTGAGCTCTCTCGCATAAATCTGTGAAAGCTCGAGTGCCAACATCGGTCCAAATCTTTGACACTCCAACGCGAAAAACTTCGCGGTCTTGATTGATTAATCTGAGAGTAAACTTCCCTCCAGTCATACTTAAGAGCAAAGGTATAACGGAATTATCATCGTTGTTAGCAGCGAAGAGCGTTGATGCGAAATCTAGGTTGTATAACAAATTTATACACACACCGATTTCGTTAGCCACCGCGTCAACGAAAGCGTCTGGTAACGAGACAATATACGCGATAACGTCACGGGCATAGCCAGATTGCTCGAGGAACATGAGAAAACACATCGCTAGAAACGACTGGTCCACGTCTCGGTTTAGATGGAAGACAAGACGACTGAACAAGGTTCTGTCGATTGTGTGAAAAGCATTGAACTCGTCTCGTGTCACCACAACTGAAGATGAAGGATTGTTAGACGGATACAAAGGACAAGCCATTACTGATTTTTTGTTTGTTTTCGATATTTGTGGTGATGAGTGATGTTATCTATGTGATTAGAGAGGGTTTATAAAGAGAATCCATTGAAATGGTGAAAAGCTGTAAATCTTATTTTTCCTTAATAATTTGTATTCGTTCCTAAAGAGTTTTTTGTCCTCGTTCATGTATCTAATTAATTACACATACAAAAGTCGTAACCCTCCGATTCAGAAAGAGGCTTGGCATCGTTTTGTTGTGAGACATTGTGACCCTTGGATCATCATCATTCATCACCCATGACCCTTCGATCATTCACCATCCATCCCTAAAATTTGTTTTTCCGTATCATTTTCCTTAACTTTCTTTTTATGGAGGAGCCTAAATCATTATTATTACTATATTACTATTATTTTCTTTTACAGCTCTTATTGAACTAAGATAAGATTTACACGGTCAAACATTTGATTTAATAATTTCATTAATAACAAATATTATTATCTATAGTATAATTTCTATTTGATCAAATATATTTACATCATTTGATTCAACCAAAATTAGTTTTGTCATAGAGGTTTTGTAGTCAAATAATATATATATATATATATATATATCTCATTTTTCTAATAGTTAATTGTATTTCTTATTTATTTATAAAATCTAATAACTAATTTTTCCATACATTCCGTATTTTTTTTAGGTTATCTAGATCGTTAATTAACTATAGTCGTAAAATGGTAAATAAAAGATTTCGTACGGAATGACCAACATACTATTTACGCATAAAACCCGATATTAGGTAAAATAACATGTCATTGAACGAATTAGCATATACGTATCATGAATAAACTGTGTACGTTTCCGTATTTTTTGTGATAAATAAAGTAATTATAAATAAAATAACATTATTTATTTAAATTAATCGAAAATTTTATATCAAATTTGAAGATAAATTCTTAATAAACCATAAGATTTTATACCTTAAATAAAGGTCAACATTTTTTTATCAAATAAATAGAAATATCCTGTATAAGGTTAATTATAGTTGGATATACATATATTTCTAAAAAAAAACCATCACCACCTACTAATATCTTTAAAAAAAAAAAAAAAAAAAAAAAGACAGGTCAGCAACAGCATAAGGCTTCAAGAGAAGAAAGAAAAAAAAAGAAAAAAAAAAAAGCGTCTTCCCCAAAAACCCAGAAAATCGCAGAGAGCTTTCTCTATTGTCTTTGTTCAGATCTCGATGCCTTCTCGTAGAAGAACTCTCCTCAAAGTCATCATCCTCGGCGATAGCGGGTAAGTTTTCCGGTGACTTACTCTTTCTCTCTCTGTATGTATCTGCTTCTACATGTTGATTTACTGTTTTTTTCGATCAGTAAGTAAATACTTTTTCTGGGTTCGAATTTTGTGGATTAGATTCGATCTGAATTGGTGTGATCTCTTAGTTTTGTTGATTTCTGTGTCTTCTGGATTTGATTGTTTTGTAATTACTTGGAATTGAATTGTGAAGTGATGATTAGAGATTGGATTAGTTCTCGTGGAAGATTAGTTGAAATTAGTCTCAAGTAATGATGCTGGTATTTTAAGTTCATGTCTAATTCTCTCACTATGATTCAGATTTGGTGTTCTTATCTGTTTTTGACTGGAGAGAAATTGAATACTGAATCTTGTATCATATTCAAGATTTGTTTGATCCTTCTATTATAAGCACCAACCTTTTATAAGAAATCATTCGGTCAAGTGTTCGCAATCAAGGAAGAATTTGTTGTTAAATTGTTTTCGGTTTAGTTTTTTTTTCTTGGTGAGTGAGAGTGAATATGTTTTGAATCATATATTTATCTGTCGTGATGCCTGGTGAAGCTGTTGAGCTATGAGTCCAAAAGTCTTATTGTTGTGTTTATCGAAGTTAAGAGACTCATTGGGAATTTTGATTTTGTAATCTTGCAGGGTTGGGAAGACTTCTTTGATGAATCAGTATCCTTAATTTTCTGTGAATGGAGTTAAGAGGAAGTTATTGCAATGTTTTTTTTTTAAATATATATGAATAGATTCTCTTGTCTCTGTTTTATGACTAACAACAATCTGTCCTCTTTCGAGTTAGATGAGTTTCGTGTTTCTGTTTCACTTTAACACCACGCCTTTAGATATGTGAATAAGAAGTTCAGCAACCAGTATAAGGCGACCATTGGGGCTGATTTCTTGACTAAGGAAGTGCAATTTGAAGACCGGCTTTTCACTTTACAGGTTTGTTGTATCAGCACACTTTATCAGTGAAGTAATTTTATTTTGTCTTGGAGTAGATTTTGCTTGTGGTATGAGTTTGAATCCTTAGTGGCAGAGTTGAAATTGGAACAACAGTTGATTAGTTTATGAGCTTAAGGCTGATCTCTGCTTTAACTTTTGAAGGAAATTAAGTTCTCTGCAGTCTTATCTTATACTAATGAAAACTTAAGTTCTGTGGGATTCTTGTGCGCTGTTTCAATATTGAATTGGTTCATACTTGTTTCTGATGTGATTCTTTCGGGGTTTGCTTTGGCATGATCAACTCTTAGGAAAGTACGAAAAGGGTTGACAGACTCTGTCCTAGATTAAGAATTTATCCCAAGTACTATATGGAATGCCCTCTTTACTTGACCATAAGAGCTAAGTTCTTGCTTTATCTTTTACAGATCTGGGACACAGCTGGTCAGGAAAGGTTTCAGAGTCTTGGTGTGGCATTTTATCGTGGTGCTGATTGCTGTGTTCTTGTATATGATGTCAACTCCGCCAAATCTTTTGAGGATCTCAACAACTGGAGGGAAGAGTTTCTGATCCAGGTATAGATATAGATTTACTATACTCTCCCTTCCCAGTAGATTAAACAAAAAGAACTTTGCTTGAATGCCGGTAATTGTGATTTGCAGGCAAGTCCTTCGGATCCAGAGAACTTTCCCTTTGTTGTAATCGGTAATAAGATCGATGTGGATGGTGGAAACAGCCGGGTGGTACGTATATAATCTCCATGTAATAAAGAACAACATCCTTGAAATTTGAAACCTCTCTGCATTGTTTTTAATCACTTTTTGTTTTGAATTGGCAGGTTTCAGAGAAGAAGGCTCGAGCTTGGTGTGCTTCGAAAGGAAACATTCCATACTATGAAACCTCAGCTAAAGAAGGCACCAATGTGGAAGACGCGTTCCTGTGCATAACTAAGAACGCAATGAAGAGTGGAGAAGAGGAAGAAATGTAAGTTAAAACACACACAATCACAATCATAGGCTTTGCTAATGCTATTTTTCTTTTCGGGTAGATGGGTCGACTCGAGATTATGTCTGAAACTTGTTGATGTTTAATCTTTTAGGTACCTACCAGACACGATCGATGCTGGAACCAGCAATCCACAGAGGTCAACAGGATGTGAATGCTGAAAGTATTCAAAATACATCTGCTCTCTCATCAGTTATCTCACTCTTGAGGTTTTTACCATTTTACCATATTGTAAATCTGTTGTTCTGTGGTACATTAATATTTTTTTAAAAAAATTAGAACCCTAATAAATAAATAAAAAGCCGAATTGGGTTGGTCGGTGTTTATGGATCTCTTTTTCTTACTTCTTTCATTCTTGCTTCTTCTTACTTTGTCTAGCTTTAAGGATGACTTATTTATATTTGATCCAATGTAGATTTGAAGACGACAACGGCCTATGGATATATAACACATATATAATAGGGTACGTATTATTATTTTTTCAAAAAGTTAGTGAATTTGATATTCATCAAATTGTATTCAAAGCATTATATTTTATTTTATATTTTAATAGCTAATGAACAAATCATTTGAGAAAATCTTATATAATTAATAGTCTATATATATTGTATAACTTTCTATTAACTTTTCATTTATATAGAGATGTAGGAAAAAAAAACTTTTCAAATAGAAGTTATCCGAAAAACAAAAACAAACAAATCTCGTTGAGATGAGTTTTACTCATATTGATCATCTTTTTTCATAGGACAATTAATTATTATTATTATTTTTGCTAAAATAATCAATAGATTTCACAAAATAATACTATAAGAAACAAGACACGAAAGGCACCGTATATTTATTTATTTATATATATTATCAAAACAAAATGTGAAGCAAATCTAATTTTCACAACACAAAGACTCACTCACATTAATGGTAAAAAGGAAAAATCCCTTATAGCTAGGGTTAACATTTCTGCACTAAACAGAACATATTTAGTATACGTGTATAACACAACAACACAAGCAGCTTTTTCTTTACTTAATTAATAACATATACGTGCACGTATAAATCGATCCATACATAAACACAAAGTCATATATGTAAGAGACTTCATTAATATTATTCCTTAGGATTGTGGTAGATGAGGACAACAGATTTGGTGTCGAAATTTCGGATGAATCTCTCTTGGCCGGTCCTAAACGGATTGTTGAGAAGCTCTTTGATTGGTTCAGGCAACGGTTCATTCTTCATCATCTTCTTCCAATACTCTTCTGCAACTCCTGTTCTTCCTTCACTCAGATTCACAAACTGTACCAAGAAATATGTACAACATTCAGATATATGTATCTATATTCAGATCTTAATTAGGGTTTTAATATGATTAAAGAAGAAGCTTTTACCAGAAGAAAGCTGAAAAGGACGATGAAGACGACCAAGTAACGTTGTTGCTTCATGTCTGCTTTAAGCTTTTTTTTGTTGTTTTGAGGATTTTTTCTCGATCTATGTTAAATCTTTAGGTGTTTAAAGTTTATATATATAGAGAGACCCGTTTAAAGGAACTTGTTTTCTTGATAACAGTGATAATTCCCTCTCTTCTTGCATTTAATAATCATTTAATATTACATTGTAAGGTCAACTTTGTGTTGTGCATATGTATATAATGATGATATGTGTAACCTAATTTGTTTATTTTTCTTGTCTAAATCTTCAGAGTGGTGGGCCTCTTAAGTAAGGATTTTTGTCTATTCTTCTCTGGAGCAATCAACTATTACAGCTCAGATAGCAACACCAACATTTTTTTATATGTATTAAGAATATATTACTTATATAATTGCATAGAACAAAGAAGAATTCTGTAAATGATTATGTTAATGTAAAAGTAGATAATTCTATAACTTAAGATTCAATAAAGTATAGGGACAAAACATATTAAACGTAGCAACTAGAATTCCATTAAAATTGTTTTCAAAACGATCTTTTTATCAAAATTTAAAAAAAAACAATACTCCCGCGCAAGGGGTATAGTAAAATGACAAGTGATCTAACTCCATTGACAGAAAATAAAATCTAAAAAAAAATTAGAGATTTTTCACTTTTATATATGTTCAATCGTTCTATTATCTCATGCTAACATAGAACCTTCAATACATAGGATATATAGTTAAGATTGTTGATTAGTTAACAACTTAACATAGATAACTTCAAAAGTCGTAAATACATAGAAAAAACTTTTGGTTTTCCTTTTAAATTTCGGGTCCACTTGAATTAATTATTCTTAAAAAATATAAAACAAGAAGAAAATGTTGGCTTTTCTCCGTGAGAGTTACTTTAATTTATGAAAAAGACAGGCCAAAAGTTTTGTTTGATAACAAGATGAGATTATAAAAGCTGGATCTAATCAAAAAGAAAAAATTATAAAAGTGGGAACAAGTGAAGCGGGTCAACTTTCAATGTGTGTGCACATTAGCTCTACGCGACACATAACCCAAAAGTATTTTTGGAACATTGACTAATTTAATAATGTCTTATGATTTCATTATTATTAGTGGGCTACTTCTTCGAATTACTTATTAGTTGGGATTCGAATAATATAGCGGGCGATTATTTACACCGATTGATATGCCGATTCTTCCTCCAAAATGTTGTTTTGATGAAGTTAAAAGTTATAATTTTTGATGAAGTGTCATTCAATGCCATCAGCATCGAGTCCAAGCTTTGTGTCTTGGGCATGCACCGTAGTATATATGACTGGATTAGTTTGGTCGCCATGATGGTGTGTTGTCCACCCAAAACTAGACCGAGTTACTTGACGTTTTTAACCAAATGCATGTAATATGCAAAATCTATGTGCCATTTGCATAAACATTCATATTAATAAAAAAATTATAAATCTATTAGTCCCATTTTGCTAAAACTAGATATATATATACAATAAAATACAAAATTGTTTGCAAATAATTAGATAAAACAAAGATATCAATGTTAGTTATTTATATTACTTTTTTTTTTTTTATGTCAACCACACATTTATTAAAAAGCTCCATAGTTGGTTACCCAATTAGGAGGAGAAATGTTTACGTATTATTTATATTACTTTTAGTTTTGCAAGAACGATTAAAGAGGAAACAAATAATTATCGAAATCTACAAATAAAAAAATTATGATTACAACAGAAAACACAACAAGGAAAACAAAAACGATAACCAGAGAGACCGGAAGAAATATTGATTGCTCTTAAGTCTTAACATATATCAACAGAATACAACTTTGAAAAACCAAGACCATTTAGTAATGAGATAGTTATTTTTGGTACTAATGTACTAAAGAGATAAATATAAAAGTTGGAATGTGAACTATTCGGTTATCTTTTGATCTACATAACTTTCTAGTAAAATTAGAAGGATATTTGCTACATATATATATATATAGATATATTTAGGGTTTTTTTTCTTTGTGATTATAAAATTAATTAAATTTAATTTAATTAGTTTTATTTTGACAAGTATGGAAAGAATTTCAAAAATACCACTGTTATGATATCTCTTTTAAAAATACCACATCTTTTATTCATATAAATATATATATATATATATATATATATATATATATATATATTTAAACACTTTGTTTCTAAAAATACAAAAAAAAATTCCGATATAGAAATACAGAGTTATAAACTTTCTAAAAGCATGTTATAAAAAAGGTTTATAAAATTTTAGAAAGTTGTTATAATGCATGTTATAAGCTGTTTGTTAAATTTTATAAGTTTTTTTTTTTGTTCACCAAGATTTTATACGATACTAGTTATCCTCAAAAGAGGAAAATGTTACAAAGAGAGGAGCCAAAGCAATCAAACTCCATAACCAAAAGCAAATCGATACACAATATAAAAGCAACTATAAAAGCAAATCGGTACACAATTTAAATTTTATAAGGTTAAGATGTTTTATAAGACATGTTAAAATAATATTTTTGAATAATTTTTTTTCCTACTAATATTTGTAAAAAAAAAAATAGTATCATAAAAGTGGTATCTAACAAAATTCTCTTAATACTTATACACATGTCGACTTGTCACATGCTCTTAGTCTATGCTAATTAATGATTAATGAAAAACACTATCCTACTTAATCTATATGATTTGGAAAACTTTCCTGATAAAACCAAAGCCACGTACGTGTTGTCTAGTCATTTATCTATACATAATTAGAAATTACAACATTGTGAATATAAAGATTGATTTGGCAACTAGTAGAGTACACAAATAACCTAACTGCTTAATTGGCTAGAGAACAATGGATGAATAAGACCCCACCATTAGTTTTGAAGTTGATCCTCTCAAATCCATGGAAACTGTTGATGAAGGCAATGATGTATTTGTAATTATAAACTTCAATAAACTATTATTTCTCTTGTTATGATATCAACAATATGGAATATGGCCAAGTACACTCATATTTTTCTAACATTATTTTAACTTTCCTAACTTTTAGTGGCCATGGAATTTTGTCTAAAGATTTGAAACCGCTTCTACAATATTCCCATTAGAAAAGGATAATCATGAGTCATGACTACCAGCTTAGCTTTAGAAAGAAAGTCATAAAGAAAAAGCTGATCTTAGTGCTTCTCATAAGTGGGGATTTGAAAATTTGTTCTATTATGGGGTTTAATTAATAAAGACTAAAGAGTGTAGATAAGATATATGGTCAGAATGATTTAACTTTTGTCTCTGATTAATTGTGGTGCAAATGAAAAGTTTTTAAATAGATGATGATTTTTCTATTTGCGGCAAAATTGTAAAATTGTAAATAATACAGGTTTTATATATGACAATATGACATATCGGATAAAATCCAAACCAATTTTCAGATTTACAACAATGATTTATGCAACCAAGTGGTAGTCTTTTATTAATTCTCACTTGTAAAGAAGTTGTCTTATAGGTTTAAGCAATGTTTAAAATAGCGCTAGGTGCTAGAAGGGCGATGACCTTTGCGTCTAGAACTCCTAATCGGAGTCTTGGTAATTTTAGACGGTTTAAGTGGTTTATGCATTTACAACATAAAATATTATAAATATGATATTATAGATAAAAACATAAAATTATATATTAGAAAAATAAAAAATATTAAATCATAAACAAGAATTAGACAAAAACATTTCTTTAATTTATATAAAACAACATATGAACGTTTATATCCATGTA